AACGCAGCAACATGCAAGACTTGTCTAAGTGACAAGCCTGCCCAGTGTAGCAAGATCCATCAGGTCAAAAGTCTCGAGGCCAAACTGCCTCAGAGTCTGTGGTCACCCACTGCAGCAGGATACAACTCTGGCATTGTTCTATGGGACTAGCCCTCAGTGTCTCAGAAGTGGCCGGTTTCTGCACTGGTCATGCTGGTGTTGGTAGCATTTTCCATCAAAGTGCACCAGACTTTTCCACCTGATGCACTGTGCTGCGTCTGGCAGGGTTAGGGTTAATAAGGTTTAAGTACTAGTATTTTACTGCATGAATTTGAGGTTTGTCAACAAAGAGGTTTGGCAACACTTCACGAGGAAATTCGGGTAAGCTTCGAAATGCGCCACGTTAGGGAACACGACTATATATCCTCGAGTCACCATAATTGACGCAGATAACGCTTGCAACGCGCCCGCATTGTCCAACGCAAATTGAATGCGAGTGCGTCAAAACATATCCTCATCGTTTTAGGTGGACTCACGATACCCGAGGGAGGTGCGTGGCGAATGTCAGACAAGTCGACCGTTGAGACAACTCGACTCGGGACAAGTCGACCGTTGAGACAACTCGACCATTGAGACTGGTCGACCGTTGAGACAACTCGACTCGGGACAACTCGACCGTTGAGACTGCTCGAGTTAATGGAAATGAATACACGTGGAGCAGAAAAAGTTGCACAAATCTGTGGCAAGACCGATCACGGGTGCGGCGCGGGCATACTCGATGTACAGAGGGCGTCGCGTCGGGCCGGTGCGCCCTGCCCGCCCGCGAGGACCGGGCCGGGCCCGGCACGCGGGCACGTCGACCAGCGCGGCAAATGGGCGCATAGGCCCGGCACAAACGATGTCACCGTGCACGGTACGGCCACGTTGACCGACCGGGGATGAGATAAGTGGGCGCACAGGGCTGGCAAAAACGATGTCACCGTGCACGGTACGGACAAGTTGACCGGCAAATGGGTGCACAGGCCCGGCAAAAACGATGCCACCGTGCACGGTACGGCCACGTTGACCGGGGATGCGCGCATGTGGCCTTGAAAAAAACGAACGATGTGTACGGACAATCACGCTGCGCTATATCGGCTCTGTTATATGCAACAAAAAAACTCATGTGTCATCACTCCCAAACGGCGATCAGCCGCCGTCAAAATCCCCGGTACTATCCCCGAAACTAGGCCCAAAACATGCGAGGCGACTTGTCTCAACGGTCGACTTGTCTTTCCATTTATCGCACTAGTCCGAGTAACTTGGACCCAACTTATCGCCTTTTTAAAAATTTGGACATGGTCTGGCGATAGTAGGGTCCAAGCCCATTCCTCGACCTAGACAACACAGTCACTGACAGTCCCAAAAACCAACATTTTCCAACAAAAAACATCAGATTTCACCTTCAAAATGGCCTCCAAATTACTAGATATGTCACCTGAGGTACAAGTAGACATAGATGATTAAGATGGTTGTACTTAAGTTTACTTACGATCCGGAAAAAAAGTGAAATTTTCCGTTCAATTCTGGAGACCCCCTCTGCCTAGGTTGTCGTTGTTGTGCTCACGTTCAAAACTGCATGATAATGGCGTCTGACCTCGACCTCATGCAAATGTGGTGCGGTGCGCTTGCGCATAATGCACTGCATGCATACACGGCAGATTCCCCTGCGCCGCGCCGACGACTGTTTCCTGATGTAGAGCGCTGTGTAAGTTCGCGGTACGCCTGGGAGTCGCGCTGGCTAGCCAGGCGTACCGCGAACTTACACAGCGCTCTACATCAGGAAACAGTCGTCGGCGCGGCGCAGGGGAATCTGCCGTGTATGCTGCATTATGTGCATTATGCGCAAGCGCGCCGCACCACATTTGCATGAGGTCGAGGTCAGACGCCATTATCATGCAGTTTTGAACGTGAGCACAACAACGACAACCTAGGCAGAGGGGGTCTCCAGAATTGAACGGAAAATTTCACTTTTTTTCCGGATCGTAAGTAAACTTAAGTACAACCATCTTAATCATCTATGTCTACTTGTACCTCAGGCAGTACGGGCGCACGCACTAACTCGCGGATTGTCCTCAGTAACGCGGAAATCCCCCGATCGGGGGACAAAATGTGTCCCTGTAAACACGGAATGTCTCTGTTTATAGGGACAGTTTTCGAAGATAAGATCTTGCGCCCTCAGGGGATGTCTGGCGCATGTCAAGGATGCTAAAATCGGATTCCTTGTCGAAAGACACCCCTTTCCAGTGTTTCACTTACGTAATCCAATGTATAAATCTCGAATTACAGGCCGGAGAATATTTCGGCCTCCAGCGCTGCAAACCTCATGGTTCCAGTATCGATACCGAATATATCAATAGTATCGATACTGGCAGTACCATTGGTACAGCATTGTTGAAGTCGAATATTACAATACAAAGAATCGATTTTTGGTATCGAAAACGGTAAAGTTTGTTTTGTTTTGCACGTGCGACATTCGACCAACCTACCTGTACATAAAATAAATTGTCATGATGAACTAAACAATATTTTTCCCCAACTTTAATTTGGGCTAGTCACATAATTCTATATTACTAAATTAACTGTTTATATCCATATTGTCAGGTGAGGATGACCAATGAGGAAAAGCAAGCACAGTCAGTGGTGATTGCAGAGGGAAGTTGATGGACAAAATCACCAAGTGGGAAATTAAATACCACCAATGTTTAATGGATGGGCATTTTGTAATTTGGCAGTTCTCTGTCATGTCTGTGATTAAACAAAATTCAAATTGGCGTGAAAAGTTACTTTTATTTAACCACTTTAGTGTAGATGGCTCTTAATAAACTTACCTGAATACTTCAGATGCCTGACGACTGCTTGCCTTTTTATGACTTTTTTTTTTATATCCGATTCTAATTCATTATGATGCGCAATCTCTACATTTTAATACATGAAAGTTGAATAAACATAAATCAACATGGGAAGATGCCAAGTGAAGATACTTATTCCTGTCTTATCTGATGGTAAATAAAACAACATTGTATTTAAAATTAAAGACCAGTATTCACAAATTTTAAAAGTATTTCCCTGTTGGCTCCATTTGTATTTATTCTCTCGATTCAAAAAATCAAACTAACAGTTAAAATAAAACAAGAGAAATGACTAAATATTCCTTCTTTTTTGGCACTCAAAAATTAATCACAAGGGATTACATCTAATTACATTCAATGTATTTGTCAATCTACCAACTATATATATTGTTTATGGAATATGTAATGTGTTTTGTTTTCTCCGATGCTGCTTTTGTATAGTTTTTCTGCCTACAACATTGCTTTGTTGTTTGTAATTAATTCCATTCAGTACATCTTATTTCAGTTTTTTGTAGGTTTCATTCTAACCAGTAGAGTTGAAACTTGTAACACATATTAACTCCTACTTTTAAAGCAATAAGATTCATATCACGATCATGAATTTGTCCGACAACGATGTCAACAATATTGTCTTGTGGTATAATATTCTTTCACCTACAGAAATTACTTGGTTGAATGAGTCCTTACAAATAAAGCATTTTGAAGCATTATAGGGAATTTTTCTGTGCCAAAAATTCTCCTGACATGCCTGAACATGATTAAAGCAGGTTTCATATTTCTTCAATAATTTCAAAGTAATATTGAATTAGCATTCTTCTGAACAAAAGCCAAAACAATATCTAGCAGCTTGTTCACTCTTTGATGCATTGAATTTAGCACTGCCATCACAGAAGCACCGTTGGAAGGTTGGTAATCCTAGAATGAAAAAAAAACACATAAAGGTAAGTTGGAACAAATGACAACTGATTAATTGTTACAATGAACCACTTTATCAATGAACGAATGATTAAAATTTTGCCAACTTTGATCTTATCAAACTTTTTTTTTTTTAATTTAATGGTTAAGCAAAAGGAGTTCATTTCTAAAAAGCAGCTGATCTTTTCAACTATTGCCTGTCCCTAATTTGTTTATTCAAATTTATTTATAACAATGAAAAAAGCAGAAAAAATTATACAGCTCATTTTCAACAATCTAGCCTGAATAATATTGCCGGTTTATAAATTACATGTATCGTATAATTGGGCCTGGGTTGGGTAGCATTCTCGGTCATCATGAGCATGCAAAATTATTTTAAAACTTAAAAAGTTCTGAAATTGAAACCAATCCTGTACTCACCCAACATCAAATTCAAACACAATCAACAAGGTCATCTGTAAAGACTAGCCCAAAACCATGTCATCACTCAAAAGATTTCACAAAAGGTGCTAAATATGAAGAAAACAATTTTAAGAACGGAACATTCACATCGTGCAAAACAAAACACGAAAGGCCCAAGGCTATTCTCCAGCCTAACTAAACCTACTATGACATACAGGTCAATTAAGTCAGGACACCAGGCTCAAAACGTTTGTCCCCCGATCGGGGGACAGTATCCAAATCGGGAGACAGCGCTGCTCCAAAATAAATTCGGGGGTCGACTGTCCCTGTTTTGGGGGACATTCTCTACAGACTGGGACAATCCTCGAGTTAGTGCGTGCGCCCGTACTGTCAGGTGACATATCTAGTAATTTGGAGGCCGTTTTGAAGGTGAAATCTGATGTTTTTTGTTGGAAAATGTTGGTTTTTGGGACTGTCAGTGACTGTGTTGTCCAGGTCGAGGAATGGGCTTGGACCCTACTATCGCCAGACCATGTCCAAATTTTTAAAAAGGCGATAAGTTGGGTCCAAGTTACTCGGACTATTATCGCACATACGGTCGAGTTGTCTCAACGGTCGAGTTGTCTCAACGGTCGACTTGTCCCGAGTCGAGTTGTCTCAACGGTCGACTTGTCTGACCCCCTGCGTGGCGTGTATACAACGCCACGTTCACGGGTCCTGCAGCGCACGTTTTTGTCCGGATACTGGGCGTTTACTTTCAACCCAATTTCTTGCGCGCCAGCACTAAAAAATACTGCATCCTTCAATACTTACTGCATCTGACTGTGAACCTGCATCGCCATGTACAGAAAGATTAGCACCACCTTCCTCCGTACCTGCAGTCTCCCCATCATCTTGTCGGCGTCGCACTTCGCGCCGTCTTCTAGTGTCAGCCATTTTGATTTCTGTTTTCTTAGAAAGCCGCTGTGCTGTGTATGATGGGAAGAATTCTTTACGTAATCACATGGTGGCGCTATGCACTGTAAATAAGGGAATAAATGTGTGCTCCGGAGGTTTTTATCACTCTGTTTAATACCACTTAGAGTCTGGGTGCTGATAATTACCCGAGCCGGAGGCGAGGGTAATTATCAGCACCCAGACTCTAAGTGGTATTAAACAGAGTGATAAATACCGACGGAGTACATATTTATTCCCATTCATAAATACCTTTTCGGTAAAAAAAAATCATATAATTCGTGCAAAACATCCCGATTTTGTTCAACAAATTCACTTTATGCTTTTTGAATCATCCCTCCTGCAAAATAATGGAGTGTTCAGCTGGCGAGTAAGATGAAAACAACCCTTTTATGGAGATTGACGCGCGCGTATCATGTTCTATGCGATGTCGCGCAGAACGCACCTGGCGCGTTGCGTTTTGAATTTAGAACTATAAAATTCTAACTCCCTGGTAGTGTTGCGCATGCCTACGTGAGGATTGTGAACGTTCAACCAATTAAACGATAAGAGGCACTGGATTTTTAGGAGTCCACATTTTATTGTGACACTGGAAAAGTGTTTAAGACCAGCTAGCCATGTCTTTATCATCCGTTTAATACCGGCCACGTGACGGGCTCTCGACCAATAGGAATGGCTAAACTGTCTGAGGTATTTATGAATGGCTTTTAATGGGCCGGATCGGATTAATTAATATTTTTACCGCTGGAAGCCTGATGTAAATAATAAGGGAATAAATGTGTGCTCCGGAGGTTTTTATCACTCTGTTTAATACCACTTAGAGTCTGGGTGCTGATAATTACCCGAGCCGGAGGCGAGGGTAATTATCAGCACCCAGACTCTAAGTGGTATTAAACAGAGTGATAAATACCGACGGAGTACATATTTATTCCCATTCATAAATACCTTTTCGGTAAAAAAAAATCATATAATTCGTGCAAAACATCCCGATTTTGTTCAACAAATTCACTTTATGCTTTTTGAATCATCCCTCCTGCAAAATAATGGAGTGTTCAGCTGGCGAGTAAGATGAAAACAATCCTTTTATGGAGATTGACGCGCGCGTATCATGTTCTATGCGATGTCGCGCAGAACGCACCTGGCGTTCAACCAATTAAACGATAAGAGGCACTGGATTTTTAGGAGTCCACATTTTATTGTGACACTGGAAAAGTGTTTAAGACCAGCTAGCCATGTATTTATCATCCGTTTAATACCGGCCACGTGACGGGCTCTCGACCAATAGGAATGGCTAAACTGTCTGAGATAGGCCGTGTCCGAAACAGGCTTCCAGAGCTACGGCTACGTCTATTGTCAGCGCGTCTCCGCGTATTTTCAAAGGGCACAGACCTAGACCTAGCTCTAGGCAGTTGATTCGGATGCAGCCGTATTTATGAATTAAACATTCATGTACATGTACTGATGTAGTTTGTTTTACCCATGAATTGTAAAAAATTAACCTACCATACAAATGGAAACAAAAGTGAAAAAAAACTGCACGAAAAGTATAGGAATTGACTCCCAACCGGACTGCCGGAGTTCCTGTCGCGATGAAATAAAACGGGGTCCACTTCGCAGACTTGCGGGGACTGGACCCTTTCAAGCTCGCAGGTCATGCTGTTATAGAGCTTCTTCATGTCTTTTGCATGGTGGTCGGTCGGTCGGTCAGTCTGCCTGTCTGTCTGTCCCCAAAAACTGACCAAAATCGTCACCGACACCACGAAGTAACACTCATCTAGATACCAGTAAAAACTAGCAATCGGAGAAAACGGCAACTAAAGTTGAACGCCTTCTAAAACAACACTTTGCGTCAAAACGACAGAGTATTTTCAGTTGGGTTTCTCGTTGTGGACACTTGATGAATTGAATTTATCAAATCTGCTGTTTTTCACCCGTTTGTGCATTAAATAAAAAAGAAATAAGAGAAAAAAGATGAGTGTTAGTTCGTGAAACCGAAAAGGCTGCGAAACTGTAAATTTTCGTTTTCACGAAGTAATACTCTTCAAGCGCGCGCGCTCATACAACTTATTACAAGAAGAGTGTTACTTCGTGGAAACGTTTTTGCTCACTTAATATGAGCAGAGTGCGCGCCATGCATTGCAATGGTAAATGGAACTTGAGTGTTACTTCGTGAAAGCGAAAATTGTCACTTTTGCGCAAAAGTTGCCATGGATATTTAGCGTAATTATTAAAGTAAAGCTCTTGAAGCCTTGAAACTTTGTGCAATTGTAGGCCTTGATGAATAATGTTTAAAAATCAAAAAAACTGAAAATCGAAAAAAATATGGTTTAACACGGTAGAGTGTTACTTCGTGGTGTCGGTGACGAAATATTTGACTAACAATAACTGACTATTGACCAAATGCAATGCCGCGTGGTGTCACACGCCGAAAGTTTTCGAAACAAGTTTGTTTCGATCCGGCCGGATCGATGCGTATTAATATGGACGTAACGGAGGAGCGGTAGCTATATAGCTCCAGGCCATTGACTAGTCAAGCATCTACGTGAATCATTAAACGTTGCATGGACGATACTTGAACACATGGCATTTAAAAATTGACTCTTGTCTTTTTTGTGGTAATACCAACCAATTCACCAGCCGGCCTTGGTGGGGGTTGGGGGTTGGAGGGGGCCAGTACGGCCGTCTGTGTGCCTCTTCCATTTGTAAAAAGGGGTATGCACAATAGCGATGCCTGTGCTGATCTTTCAAGCATTTAAAAATGCATAGTTTTTAAATACAAAGCAGCAATGCCCCTTTCTTATTGATATTTGCCAGAGACACTTTACAATTAAAAAATCGAAGCTCATCACCGCCGAAAGGATGTTTTGGAATAATTTTTTTGACAAGGCCAGACAGTGGTAAGTGGTACCGGTACCATGCGACGCGGCCCGGTGTCACGGTCTCACTTCTCCGGCGTGCTAGCTTCTCCGGGTGAATGCGGCGGATAATTGAGCACGTTACAGTGCACGTTACATGAGCACGATTCATGCTCATGTGTCCGCTGTGCTTACTTTTCCTTGGGCTGTGTTCTGAAGTAAGTCCATTACAAGAATGTGTTATGTAACACTTCCTGTGGGTAAAGTCATTCCATGGTCTTGCAAGCATTCTGATTTGTGTTCCCAGCGTCATGCATGTGTCATTGTGTGTGTGTGTGTGTGTTCATGGAGGAATAATTAAGAACGAAGCTCCTTGGTCCGTGTTCCTTGCTCGTTCATGCATGGTCCATTTTGTCTTTATTATTGCAACCATGGCTTAAAATAAATGTGCATTTCAAGTGTTTTTTTGTTAATGAGGGTTAATAGTGCGTGGCACGAAAATTCTGGATTGGACTGGTACCCTGTAACCATTCATACAAATAAGATCTTACGTGTACAAGTACAACCCTGAAGAACTCACCACACTAATACAGTGACGAAAATGTACACTACTGCGCAATTTTGTGCATGCGTGTTGAAGCGAAATTTCCCTTTTGGAGAAGCTAGCACGCCGGAAGTGAGACCGTGACACCGGGCTTGTACCACTGATCTCTATATAAAGACTGGATAGCGGATACAGGCGCGGATCCAGGGGTGGGCCGCGGGGGCACGTGCCCCCCGTCAAATTAAGTCCACAAAAAAATAAAATGAATAAAACAGGGGGGGAAAGAGGGGGAGGTGAGAGAAATGGAGGGAAGGAGGAGGGCAACCTTCTATTAACAACAATACCGGTGCCGATATTAAACATCAGCGGCCTGCAAACATTGTGTACTGGCCGCATGACACAGGGAACTCGAGAAGCTTCGAAATAAACCGCGATCCCGGCCACCGTACGTACTCCATACGTAACTCTGCATAGTATATCGGTTTATGAAATGCGATTCATATGAGCGTATACGTACCGGTACGAAAAACACGCACGTGTGTGACAGCCGATGTGCTGCGTTTAGCGCGATGAGCGCAACACTTTGCCAGCATTTCTTCGGCGCTTTTAAGGAGTCCAAAACATGTCCGTTTCCGTAGAAAACTTCCATAGAAAATCTTATCTTATTGATAAACTGGAAATTTAAACTTGATACAAAACAGTAGAAAGCATCCTTGCAAAAGTTTACAAACTAAGTCTATACAATTCCCTTTTAAAAATAAAATGCACGAAAACAATTATGCAGACGAAAATGGTTATCAAGTGAAAAGGCTTGTTAAAGCAAGAGTATATATTAAACCTATGAAAAAAATCCTTATTTAACTTAAAACATTTTGCTCAAATAACTCAGGGAAACTGAGGGGCCAGGAATCGCCTCAGATTGCACCACAGAGCATCTAATAATCAAAAAAAATCCAGGGGCCCTTAAGCGGGCCCCGGACCCCACGCCGAAAGGCATTCGCGCTCCGCATTATTAGTCCTCGGGGCAGATCTCCCTAGCCTTACGCATCCTTAAAACAGTTTATAAACTAAGCCTATCCAATTCCTTTTCCAAAATAAAATGAAAGAAACTGATATGCAGTCGAAAATACTGGGTTATCAAGTGAAGAACAGAAGAAACTTAACTAGGTTTGTATTAAGAAATACAAGAGTACAATTTTAAACTAATGAACAAAAAAAAAAAAAACACATGGTAATGATAATGAAAAAAGCGATAATGAAAAAAAAATCTAATAATCTTCACAACATTTTGCTGAAATGGGGCCAGGAATCGCCTCAGATTTCACCACAGAGCATCCATAGAATCCAAAATTTCCCATGTATTTTCCCATGTAATTTCCCCGAACCCCATGCCGTAAGACACTGCTCCGCGTTCGCATTAGTCCTTGGTACAAATGCCCCAGCGCATCGCCCATTGCAACAGTTTTTTTAAGTCAATACAATTCCTTTTTTTTTTTTTTAAATACAATGCTTGAAATTATGCAGACGAAAATACATGGTTTGCAACTTTGAAGTACACAGTAGCTTTAAAAAAAAATCCTTATAAGCTTAACAACTTTTGCTCAAATAATTCAGGGGGAAAGGGGCCAGGAATCGCCTCAGATTGCACCACAGAGCATCTAGAATCCAAAATTTCCCGGGGCCCTTAAGCGGGCCCCGGACCCCACGCCGTAAGGGCTTCGCGCTCCGCGCTCGCATTAGTCCTCAGAGCAAATGCTCTAAAGGTGTGCCCCCCGTCTAAAGAAATCCTAGATCCGCGCCTGGGATATGCATACAACATTCACACAGTAGACTTTGCATATTGACCAATTCGCCCCCGGTCTCACGAAGATGGCCGCGCATAATACGAACGTTCTACGCGTAAATACGCGCGCGTTGTATCAACAGTTGACGCGCATTTTGGTCACGTACACATATTATGATGTTCTACAAGGAACACATTTCCGTAGCGATTATTATTTCAAAAACGCCGAAAAAGTGATTTGCGGCATTATAAAAGTAACCACTACGTTAGAAAAATTGTAGTAAACCTTGGTCAGTTGGTCAGTGGTGGTGGCCAAAATATAAGTCAAGTGAGCCGCGACGTTACAAAAGAAATCATGCTGTCTATAAAGACGGCAACTTGTCCTTTGTAGATCACCAGCCGGTCTCACCAATATGGCGTCAAATTCGTACATTGTGCGGCTCTTTATTAGCTATCTAGTCTTTATATAGAGATCAGTGGCTTGTACGCACAGTCTCCGGTCAACATTACCGTCCAATGCACGGTGAAACCATTGGATTTCGCCGAACGGCGGGCGCGTGTCACGGTGGATATAGCAGATCCCTATACAATTGTGTTAGAAGTCCCCCTTCTGACTTGAAGGAAGTACGTTTCACTGAGCTGTTCAAGTTGTTCTTGGTAGGAAAGAGTATCTGTAGCAGTCCTGTTTAGATGTAGGGTGAACAAAGGATATTGAAGATGATTTTCTAGCCTTGAGATTTTGTCCCCTTTGGAATCAACTTGGTATTGATCAACAACAATTGCGATTTTATGATGAATGGATTTGTAGAGCAAGGTAGTCTAGATATGGTTCTGTGCGTTCCTACACTGATATTTATGATCCGAGGTTGGTGATCATGGATGAGACACTATACCGTCCTCGTACTCGAACTAGAGGGGACTCGACAATCCTTAGTGTGGACATTCCTCTATGGTTTAACTAAAACCCCTCGAACCAGTGAGAGTCATGAGCGCATGCGTGAACCCCCACGCAGATAAATGATAAATGCCCCCAAATTCAGAAAAAAATACTCACAACTTTCCAAGGTGTTCCAGACACAAATTAAAGCTTATTACATCATCTTTCTTTCTTTTTTCAACTTTATGGGGGTAATTTGATGACTTTTAGGAGAAATTTCCACCTGAAGATGATCACCCCTTAAAACAGTCCCGAAGCCCATCGCCATTTTGAAAAACGGTGCCTACACTCCATTGGAAAATATATCAGTTTTAGGGCCCCCATTTCATCCAAATTTCACTGAAACACAAGCTCGCAGTACAAACCCTCAACTTCATGGCCCACAATACGCTCAAATATTGAAGAATGTGAGGGCATGCAAATCATGATTTGGCCGTCGTAGGCGATTTCGGGCCGATTTACTGGCCTGCAACCTAAAAGCGCACGCATCTACCAACAATTAGGTACTCAATGCGTGGTAATTTATGTGTTTATTCAAAGACAGGTAAATTAATTTTATGAGAAATATGAAACCCATTATGTAGCACCTTTATAAGGGGTATGCAAGGTGTTGTGGCGCATATTCACCGTGCATATGCAGTCACTGCCAGAAACACCGGGGCAAAACCCCTTCTCTTGGCGACAAGTGTTGCTGGGTCACACGACACAACAGGTAGGTATATAAACGCGCCCGTGTTGCTATGCAGAATCTACACGTGAATTATAGGACATCGGGTGTAAAATACGAGCGTGATTTTCACTGGTAAAGTAAAAATGTTACGAAGACGAATACACTCGAGAAAAGAATGTAAAAATAAAGGAACACGTCGAAGGTTTTTATTACATGTACGCAGTTTATACGCGTGGCGTTGTTACGCCATCCACTCTCACGGGTCTACTATTGCCATGCTGTAAACTAAGTTATTCAAGTAAACTAAAAATAAGTTTTTAGGCACTTTTTAAGAATTTCCCCTATGAAGCACATGAGCTTATGCTAGTAATCAGAGAATAAACCGATTTAACATAACTGCATGATTTTACCAAAGAAAAAGTTTAGCGGCTTTGCACAACCAAGTATCACGTTGGGTGCATGTTATGGAGCAAATCTGCTTTCCACCTATAGGCCTACCTATACCATGCGAGGCGCCCTTCCCCATCATAGCATGACCAGTTAGGCCTAGTATTATTATAAGAGGCACTATTAGGCTACGATTCTATTCCCTTTACAAGTATGCTATCTCAGAGTGTACTCCTAGCTCGTAGCATGTGTTGATTTTCCCTAATTAATTGCAGCCCGCTTTATTCTCTGATGCAAACTGATTATCCAGGTTAGGTAATGACTCGGCGTATATACTTACGATCCGACATCGTTTCCCCCAGGAATGAACTATGAAACTGATTACCGGTATAGCCTGCCGCTGACGTTAGCTGAAGCTTCGCCAAACACAATGCACAAATATATCAAATTGGACGGTCCATTAATCACCATGGTTACCAGATTAAAGTGACCATCTTACTCACTGATATTTTTGCTGAAATTTGTCTGACGCAAGATGTTCATTTAGGTATGCCTGTACGGTTAATAGACGCACAAATTGAACCAAGTGAATAATATACTTTTGGGGTACTTTAATGCATGGAACAAAAATACATTCATAATGTATTTCCGATCATCACACCCTGCTCATTCCTCTGAAACTAAAACCACCATTTGCCTCCACCAATCCGCATCCTATATGAAAAGGAAGAAAATTGAGAAGATATCAAATAGTAACGTAAGGGAATGTGAACCTCTTGATCTCCATTAATGCCAGGCCGGCCACAAACAAGGGCGGATCCAGAACACAATTTTGGGGGGGGCCAAAAAAAAATTTGGTCCCCCCCCCCCCCCAAAAGTGGGTCTCAAAAATTACGGCGTGGGGTTCGGGGCCCGTGAGGGCCCCGAAAATTTTTTGGATTCTAGATGCTCTGTGGTGCGATCTGAGGCAATTTCTGACCACTTTAACCAATTTTTTTGGAGGAAAAAATGGTGGTGTACTCATTGCCTGCCTTTATTGCGATGTCACATTAAAAAAAAAAAAATTGGTTTCGTTTTGGGGGGGGCCATGGCCCCCTTTGGCCCCCCCCCCGATCCGCCCTTGGCCACAAAGGAAACTGTTTCCGTTCAAGGTTGGCAGGCGTGTGGGCGTAAGTGGTTTGTTTTTGTATTTTCTATATGCCGATCCCCAACATCCGTTGACAACTGTTGACATTTCAATCTCTCCTGCTTGCTAAGGTGTAATCGTTTTATCAATTAACTCTGACGTCCCAGTACGGGCGGGGTCAGTCTTATCGTGTTTAATTTAATGGCTTGCACGCAATTGCTATCATTCTCCAGAGCGATGGCGCACCAACGCACAACCTGGCTGTTGCTTCTCTCTGCACTTCTAATAATTTCTGGTATATCTGGTAAATAAACGTTGTTTTGAAAACTGCTTTTAACAGAAACCATCACACCACGATTGCTTTCACCCTTACATTTCCTTTCCTCATTTTTTTTTACCGATATGTGCCTATAGGCCTAGTTGTTCATCTGTACTAAGCTTCCAACCATTGTAGTCATTTCCACAGGTAGACTGTATCGCCATCCAAATTAATGCCGCCAATGATAATGTGTGTTTTATCTGGCGGGTATACACGCTTTATATATTAACGGTTTTATAAACGGGACGGGTGGGTTGAATAAAACAATTTTTGGAATGTATATTTTTACCATCTTAATAGTTGATCATTATAGTGTTAGGCCTATGGTGATTGTTCATTTTACAAGTTTGCCATTTATATGGGTTTTTTTTTCTCTCACTATTTACTAATGTTCATATTTCTTATCAAAGGACCTTAATGCAAAACAGCCTTTTAGCAGATTGTTTTTGTATCCTGTATAAACATGTTGAAAATGTTAATAAATAAATAGATTCTCGGTGGCAATTTTCTTCTACATTTTGTTGCCTATAGTTTTCTGTTGATTATTTCGTTCATGCCTAATTCTAAACTATTTTTACAGTCGCCGAGGCGTCCCATGCCAGCAATGATTCGAATGCTTATGCCGAACGTCGTCTCCGTCAAATACTTCTGAGAAGTGGGGAATACGATGCGAAAGAGAGACCCGTCTTGTTGTCTAACAAACCCGTTGATGTCGAGGTGTCCATGGCGATGTACGCCTTGATATCGCTGGTAAGTTAAACAAAATGACACTTCGGGAAATAATTTTTCCCGTACGTCAAAATAACATATATTTTTAATGACTTGAATGTCTTTTCTTTCTTTTTTAAGAAAAAAAAACACGTGTTTTGCAATAGCAAACCACCTGCAATAGCTTGGAAGGGCATCCCCCAAATTTTGTCCGGGGTGGTCACTTTGCCAGGGGATCATGCCCAGATTGTTGTAATAAAAACAAAAAAGGCGCCGTTTACGTCTACGTCCTGCTGTAAAGATGAACACTTAAGTAAAATTGTTATGGAATGGGGGAATAGTATGGAAAGGATCAGCAAAGCCATCCTTGGATCTAACTCCCATTTAAACGCCGAAATCAACCCCAATATCTGTTAGTTTTTGTAAAATGTGGTTTTCAAAAGTTTACTGGAGCTAATTTCAGGATTTCCCTTTATCATATTGTCTTCTGACTTTGTCAAAGCAAAACTACAATTTATTTAAGATTAAAAGTCGTTAATTAAAATGTATTTTTCCAAGCACAGGACGAGAAGGAACAGGTACTCAAGGGTGCGTCATGGATTATCATGGTGAGAACAGAAAGAATGATTATCAGTTATTAAAGTGATGATGTCCAGAATATATACTCTCAGCCCTTTCCTTTACCCCTGCGCAGTTATTAATTGGATCTCATCATCTGAACCAATAACGGGTGATATAATGTCTACAATGATAAGCGATTCGTTATGACGTGTGTAGCAACAGTACATTATTTTTCATTTTCTTTGACATTGTATTACTGGTACTAGTATTAACATAATCGAAGTACATTTTAAGCAAAGGATCTTATTTCAACGATCCCACACGTAAGTTGGTTTCTCCCATACCATTTTCGCCACTGAAGGCGGCCACAATCCGCAGCCAAGGGCGGATCCAGGGGGGGGGGGCCAAAGGGGGCCATGGCCCCCCCCCCCCCCAAAAACGAAACCATTTTTTTTTTTTTATGTGACATCGCAATAAAGGCAGGCAATGAGTACACCACCATCTTTTCCTCAAAAAAACATTGATTAAAGTGGTCAGAAATTGCCTCAGATCGCACCACAGAGCATCTAGAATCCAAAAAATTTTCGGGGCCCTTAAGCGGGCCCCGAACCCCACGCCGTAATTTTTTTTACCCACTTTTTTGGGGGACCCAAAAATTTTTTGGCCCCCCCCAAAATTGTGTTCTGGATCCGCCCTTGTCCGCAGCTGAGTTTGTTCTTATACTGGACTGAAATCTCCCCTTCTTTTGTAAACACAGATCAATATTTTACCTGTTTGCACTCATTTCTATATAATAATATCTACAATACCTCGTAAAATAAATTATCCTGTAACTAGGACCCATGCATCCGTTGTCTTTCAGGAATGGTACGATTATCGCATTCATTGGGATCCCGAAATGTACGGCAATTTGCGTTTCTTGTCCCTTGGGATGGATGACATATGGACACCTAAGATTCTCCTAACGAATACGTAAGTAAAACAGACAACATAGCAAAACTGTTTGCAGACTGGCGGTGGGATTGCTGGGAAAAAATAATTCCGACGATCCGCGTATCCGAGATAAGAAGAAATTCGGCCGGCCGGTCTTATGCTAGCAATACGCGTCCTACATTATTAGTTTCGTATATAACTATTCTTTTCAACATTGTTTCTCATTTTTCCCAATAGCTTTAGAAAAGCCATGCCTTTTTCACACAGAGGAAGATCTTTGTAGAACCATGTCGACATCAGACTCCTTTATCGATATTTAGCCGCAATACCGAAAATATGCAGTGAAGAATAATGGCAGTCATAGTTTGCGCTGCTAGAAATCCCCATTCGTGTCGCAAACGGTTCCAGGTTACAACGCATAACCTTCACGGCACAACTCCGTTCTAGTTATGTCGCACTGATTTAATTTCTGTCTGTCTTTTTGCAACAGAGCGAGTGAAAAGATCGAAAACCCCATTCAGGAAAGTGTATTCAGAGCCTTGGCGTCATGGGACGGCAATGTTACCCTGGAAGGTACGTATATATAGATACATGTTATATCTGAAAGTACGTTCGCCGCAGAGCGACTTAAATCAATGTACTTTCTCATATTTAATAATGATACCAGGACCAGCTCTTATGCATCGAAATTCCTATATTACAGTACCCTTCACCCCACCATTGTTATTCATCTTCCAATATCACTAGCGCGCTGCAGCGCGTCCAACGCATTGAAGTCATTAAACTTAAAGAGACCGAGACATGATAAAAAAAAAAGGTGATTGTGATAAACGAGCACCTCAGGGTTTTTCTATCTTATGGTAATTAACTCAAATCGAATTGTGTGATGTTCGTTAACAATTTTGACGGACCGAACTGAATACTGGTGGTCTCGGAATAGCCTTACACAGTCGAACCAATCATATAGCCAGCGGCGTTTATTTACTTGGGCATATTATTGGAGCGCACCGCACACGCGTCTGTGTTTTAAGACCGTGTCTGGTCCCATGTACCCCAGGCACAGAATTTTGGGAAGGTAACAGCTTTCTATTACAAAAAATGCATTGACTTCCCCCTCCAGAAAATAAGTCCTATGTCCCCCACCCCCTTGGCCCTGTCTGAAAATGACCCCAGTTCACGCCACCTAACACAACTTGCAACATTATGCTTGCCGTCTATCTTTCTCCGCCTAGGTCCTATCATTCACGAGACATCTTGCGAGATGAAGATGTCACACTTCCCATTCGATCGTCAGAATTGCTCTCTGGTTATCTCCACCCAGAACACGCCGAAATGCATCGTCAATCTGGCCAACGGGCCAGCCACACGCATCGTGATGAACGAGGCCACTTCCCAGTGGCAAGCTCTCAACTTTACTGCGGAAACTACTGCACAGGAGTTTCAATACAAGGCCTACTCTAAAGTGATTTTCTACCTTGTCGTAAAGAGGTTACCTTACCATTACCTGCTGAATATTGCCCTGCCGTCTGCCATTCTGACCTTCATTTCGCTTGGAGTGTTTTGGTTGACGCCCGAGAGTGGAGAAAGGGTGAGTTGAGTTTGTTCGTATCGTGCCAACCGTCCTATCTCATGGCGCTAGTGATATGTTTCGAATGCCATATAATTATCGGGTCCAGTGGTTACTTTGTTTGAATTGACTGGACTGACTCGTTATGTGTGCCATTGCAAGGGAACGAGCTTGGGCAAGACATTTAACTACAATTGCCTCTCTCCATGAGTATTATAGGGACCTTACGGTACATGTGAGGATAGAATTCAAAGGAAAATGTTGCCCACATTTTTCGGCTCCAGGATTTTATATATTTATTTATTTATTTTTTTTTGGGGGGGGGGGGGCAGCTATTTTGACATTAGGTGTCGTTATTTACACCCCTATTATGCCACTCGAAAATAGGCCACATGCATGCACTAAATCGTGAGACTGGATAAGTCAATGACACCCCAAAAATTACAACCAGTTGGGGTCTCAAGCTTTCTAATACTTCATGGAGCTAATATTTATATCTATGTTATAACATTTTGTTTTTACATCTACAACATGATCGTCTTTTTCATTTTGCTTTCTCCAGATCTCCATGGCCGTGTCTCTGTTGCTCGGCCAGGCTGTCTTCTGGTTAGTTACAGCCGAATCTCTCCCGCCCACCGGCGGCGAAGGCACACCTCTACTCCTTGACTGCATCGAATATAACTTCATCGTGGGTGGTTTGGCCATCCTCCTCAGCGTGGTCACGGTGGGCCTGCAGCACCAACCCGGCCCGCTGCGGGGCCGGTTCCGTCGGAAGCTGTTTCTGCAGATTCTGCCTCTAGTCGTCTGCCTTCAGTCACGCGGTAGAGGCAAGGTTAACGACGACGATTCGCGCTTTGACGAGAAAGACGAGAAGCTCAAAATGACATCCGACATGGTCAAGATCGTGTCTCTGTCAGACAAGGATGGTCGGGTCATCCAGAAGACCAAAGGTTACTCCAACGTTGATGTCTCTCGGAACGTAAGTCCTGGAAACATAAGTACTGGCCTTAATCAGTATTGCCAATTATTGATCCACGTACGTTTAAGTGCTGTGGACAAGTTGACTCTCTTTCAAGTCCCAGTAGGAATTAAGTCTACAGAAATCACACAGTGTGGTCCGAGCACAGTATTGGTCTTATGAAACGCTAAAAAGTACCAGGGGCTTTTGAAAAAAATATATTTCTTGCAGCTGCTCGTTCACAGACTCATATTCCTATACTTACGCAAAGTATACTGGGTTTGTGATGATGCTCAATTACTATCGTAAAACCCTCTTTTAGAAAGAACTACCGAATAGTTCCTTTGAAGTCATAGTCGTGCTCCTAGTTCATTTCACAATGAAAATATACTGCCTCGATTTCTCTCCATTATTTGACAGGGTTTGGACGACATGAAGTTGGTGGCAGCTATCTTGGATCGCCTGTTCTTCCTTGTCGCGGCGATTATATTCACCTGTGGCAATGTCAAATTGATTGCATGCCTTGTACATGGTATGTAAGTGGCCGGTTGTTGTTTTCAGGTGGGGGTTTAAGTCTGAAAAAAACTGAATGCAAAATTTTCTCGGGGTTGTATGAATCGTTGAGAAATTGAGCTTGAAATATATTTAATAGCAAATTGTTGAGGGGCTACAATAAATTTTGCGCGACACAGAATAATAACTAATGATCACAGGCGAATCTCGGTCAGCTGTATCAGGGGGAGAGGGTAACGGTTGCCATATAGTTAATTCAGAAGGATGAACTCTCTTTTTTGAAGAATTTTAAGGCCTTCCAATGAATGGACACTGTGCAAATCCCAGGAAATTTTCAACATCATTTTCAAACTTTGGGGCCGGGCTCGTAGTCTTTCGATGTTCCACAACTGGGGAGGGAGCAAATTTAAATAGTTTTCGTGAAATGGGGCCGTTGCTTCTCACTTAATTCCGCAAACCATTCGTGATGTGCTGAGAGATCAGTTCAAAAAAACGTGCGCGGTAATTGGCGGAAACTCCATATGTTTTAATAAGGGAATAAATGTGTGCTCCGGAGGTTTTTATCACTCTGTTTAATACCACTTAGAGTCTGGGTGCTGATAATTACCCGAGCCGGAGGCGAGGGTAATTATCAGCACCCAGACTCTAAGTGGTATTAAACAGAGTGATAAATACCGACGGAGTACATATTTATTCCCATTCATAAATACCTTTTCGGTAAAAAAAAATCATATAATTCGTTCAAAACATCCCGATTTTGTTCAACAAATTCACTTTATGCTTTTTGAATCATCCCTCCTGCAAAATAATGGAGTGTTCAGCTGGCGAGTAAGATGAAAACAACCCTTTTATGGAGATTGACGCGCGCGTATCATGTTCTATGCGATGTCGCGCAGAACGCACCTGGCGCGTTGCGTTTTGAATTTAGAACTATAAATTCTAACTCCCTGTTAGTGTTGCGCATGCCTACGTGAGGATTGTGAACGTTCAACCAATGAAACGATAATAGGCACTGGATTTTTAGGAGTCCACATTTTATTGTGACACTGGAAAAGTGTTTAAGACCAGCTAGCCATGTCTTTATCATCCGTTTAATACCAGCCACGTGACGGGCTCTCGACCAATAGGAATGGCTAAACTGTCTGAGGTATATATGAATTAAAGTTAAACGACGTGTTTTTAATAAGTCTTCGATTTCATAGTAATCATAAAAAGAAGAATTTGAAGTTAACCATTCATCTTTCAGATAAAAAAGATTGTACATGTAGTTATATTTCACTTAAAAAAATCCGGACCTAAAAAGAATGCCTTTCTTTTGGTAGAATGCCTTTCTTTTGGTTTGTGAAAATCTGAATCGTTGTTTTACCATTTCAAAATAATTTGTTTGAATTTTCCATTAATCACGATAATCTTAGAGGAACGCTACAATAATTACTTACTTTACTGTTAAAACAAAAACTTCCGATTTTTTTGCCGAATGACTTACAGGCAGCTATAACGAAAATTGTGTAAAATTAGGATTTATATTACACATGACTCATTAACAATATATTTGCACTGAAACACGCATCTGTGGATAAATAAAAAGACAATAGGTTAACACATTTTCCATGACATCATTAAAAGAAAGCCTTATTATCTATTAGTAATAGTCACATTATTGATATGTAGTTGAACAATTTGATCAACAGTAAACTATTTAAACATTATATTGATAAACGTTGTAGTCATAGTAAACTTGTGTATATACTCAAATCGAATCAACACTTAACAATTTAAATGCTTGGCTCACACGTGTTGTAAAACAAAATTGTTTCGGCAAAAATGACTAAAGGTTTGTTGGGATACAATGTTTTGATTACCTTTAAAAACAAACTTGAATTGCATACAAGTTGTCATTTGATTTTATACAACGCCTGAATAACCCCGTCATCTGATTGGCTGGTCGTTGATGACAATGTACGCATTTAATTTATTCGTCCCACGGCCCAGCCGCACCGTAAAAACAGAAATTCTATTTCACGGTCACACTACTGGTGGATGTGACCAATCAGACGACGAGGATATATTCAAGTGTGGCAAACAAAGATAACGCAATGGGAAGAATAATTTCATTCGGTAACAGATGGAATGTTCCATTCACCTCGTGGAACTTGATTCTATCTGTCACCTCATTAATTTATTCTTATAATTGAACTCCTAAACCTTCATTGTGTGTATAATATCTTATGAAAATTGTTCAGTGGACATACTTTATACACATCCAAGCAGAGAATACATGTAGTTGACTTTATGCTTGGGGATTTTTTTAACGCACTCAACGTTCTCTGTTGAGTGTGCTTTTGTCTAATGTCGATAAAGTGCAGAAAGACTTATACAGGGTGAGTCAAAAAAAGCGGAACCCAAACCCCCAAAAATATGTTTTATATATAAAACAAATATGTAGCACCAAAAATGATAATGACTAGAAAGCCAATTTCATAAGCTACTTTTAGATGAAAAAAATTACTGAAATTGCTCAATCCGTATATCACCATTTAAATGCAATAACCCTAAAACCTGTCTCGTCCAAAAAAAAACAATTCATTGTGTGTTTTGACTGTTTGGAACAACAAAGAAAATGACACAGAATACTTGTTTCAACAACTGTCACCAACTGTATACACAATATCTTGAATAACAACCCTGGTTACGCAAACCTTTAAAAAAAACTGAAATTTTATCGCTGGTGATGTTTGAAGACAATGTGACGACGACGATTCTTGAAATCGCATTTTTTTTGGACGAGACAGGTTTTAGGGTCATCGTGTTTAAATGGTGATATTGTTTGAACGGATGACCAATTTCAGTAATTTTTTTTTTCATCTAAAAGTAGCTATTGAAATTGGCTTTCCAGTCATTATTATTTTTGGTGCTACATATTTTTTAGATATGAAATATAATTTGGGGGGTTTGGGTTCCGCTTTTTTGACTCAACCTGTATTAGCTTAGCTTTGCATTTAATATAAAACAAATTCAGTCAAACTTTAACGGAAATGGAAGAGTAATTGCCCAACATTTCCAATAGCCGTGAGATAGTGAGACATTTTGGGGTACTAGATGGAGAGAGTGTGTGTTATAAACACAATGTGCGCCTTGTGATCGGTTGCTTTGATCGCACGCACATAGTGTAGGCCAATCGGCATTTGCATTTATCATGCTTAAATTAGAATTAGAAGAAACATGTTGAATAATGTTGCTTGTAATCCACTCCATTGTTGTATACACTCCTTAAAAAAACAACGTAAAGCTGCATTTTATATAATAATACAGCATAGATTACAATTTGAAAACAAAAAATAATGCACACCATTTATTTTACAATATACATGACTTGTAAACTAGCGCACCAAATTGTGAAATAAAACACGTTAGTCCAACTTACCAGGAAATACCTGAGCCAATTATGTTTCATTTTCAGTAATAGTTTTTTTCATTGCAGAATAAAGATTCCAATTTTTTTTCTACGTTTTAGGCACCGTCACAAGAAGCAATAGTTCCAAGGAGTTTTCCAAAACCAAAGTCATAAACACAAATGTCCTTCCAGAGGACCAAATCACGGCTGTACAATTAACACCAATGCGCTGCACAAATTCATTACGATTTATTCTGGCTATAGATACATGGTGAATATTCATTTGCGCAGTGGATGCCACATAGCGATCGGACGGCGCAGGACGGTCAGCATTTGGTTCCAGTGGGTCAAATTGGCGCCCTTACAGCTGGAGCCGACGAGCACGTGTCCGATGCTCGGGGTCTTTCCTCCAGCAGCATTCTCGGACACTGTGATTCGAACTGTAACTTTCTGTATGTGCAAAGATATGAATCGGAGTAATTTTACAGACCATAGTTCGAGAGAATGAGGGCGCTATTACGACGCTATGTGGGGTAAACGTGATCCTCTTACTGTATGGACCCAGCAAATGGCGTCGTTACATCACTCCGTTCCCTCGAAAACATGGCCTAGGCCTATAGCATTTTTTTATAAATTTAACTCGTCCGAGTCCTTGGCGTATAGAACTTCAATCATTACCATATTTGTCCCTCATATATGTCGAGTGGTGTCCCCGGTTAATGATGTCTCGAGATACATGTATAAGTCTTCAGACCCCCTGTCATACATGCAATTGTAGTTAGTGTATATTCGTTGTCAATAGGCCTGTATCACTATTATTTTGTAGTGACTTGCATTTATTCTGATTGCAGTGAAGCGAAAGTTGGACACCATAAACGTCTGAATTGGTAATGATAATGCTCTTTTCGAGGATATCTATTTCGTGAAATGACACGTCTTCCGATTGAATGGAACTCACACAATGGGTATATGCACCCCACAAGACATGGTTAATAGGCAATGGGAGTAGTGAGATGTGAAGGACAAATAGACCTAAGACATAATGACGTCACACTTTGTTTACATGTTCTTTTTCCTATGGGAGCCATGTGGGGACAATGGTAGGCCTATTAGCTAGCGTCCCCACCTGGCTCCCATATTATTATTATTAATCATTTCTGGTAATGAAACCAAGGATTCCTCAAAAAACACCCTAGCTCGCAAGCCTGAAGAAACCTGTGGAGAGCAGACAGTGAGAAGAAGTTACAGTTTTAGAGGCGGGAGGAAAAGCCCAGAAAAATATTCTGGGGAAAACCCACGCAATTTAGGTAGGGACTGAAAACCCAATCCACAAATTGGCCAAGGCGGGATTGGAACCCGGGTCACAGCGGTGGAAGGCGAGGAAAGTACCGCTACACCAACCTGACTCCCCAAACAAAGCGTGACGTCATTATGTGTTAGGTCTATTAATGAAGCCGTGTCCGAATCCGAGTCTAGAGCTATGTTCTATAGGCATGTCTTTGTCAATTACAACTAAGTTAGCACAACTAACGTAGACTTAGTTCCAGACACATGTAGCCGTAACTCTAGACGCACGTGTCTCGTAAACACTATTGTCAGTCAGAAGGTAGGTTATTTCTTGGTCTTTATCGTTGATGAAACATGCAAAGAATCCAAGAATGGAATGCTCAGAGAGTTTGAATCTTACGTCTAGAATGTTGGAGGGCAGGGCAAACATCATGGATTCGTTGTAGATGGGGCAGTTGTCACCTCTCTTGATGGACGACTTCTTCTTGCTAACTTTCTTACCACCTTGCAGCAGATAGACCTTCACAAATGGATCTGCAAACGTTCCATTTCGATTATTTGATAGATAATCTGCGTAATGTGATTTCAGCAATTATCACTATATCTATATCTATGATTACAACAAGCCCATAAACTAAACACGAAATATTAAATAACAGAGATTAACAACGAAGCGCTGATGGAATAATCACCTGGCTGATGGATGCAAGGCCTCGGAGCAGTGTTGTTGACTCGAGTCGCTGACTCGGACTCGAGTCAGACTCGAGTCGCTATTTTTTTGACTTGAGACTTGACTTGACTTGGGGAAAATGACTTGAGACTTGACTTGACTTGAAAAAAATATGACTTGTGGCCTGACTTGACTGGACTAAATTTGACTTGCTGACATTAACACGTTTCTTAAAGTTACAAAAAAAGCACAAACCTGTGGGCGTTCGTGCGCACTATAGCATAATCGGTTGAAAAGAATGCAGATACATAGCGAATTCGCAGCCAGCAATCGATAGCTGGGCATCCTGATGTACACGATTAGCACAAGGCTACAGGTACACATTGAGTGGTTTACCGTGAGCGTGCTAGATGCAACTAGGGTTTAAACGACTGGAAAACGGCTGCTACCCCCAATCCACCATAAAACAAACAAAATTCACATCATGCATTAAACGAAAACGTTCAGAGGGATAATTTGTAAGACGTCCTTCAAACATTGAACATGATGGAACAAGTCTGAAAATATTATATCAAAATGCGTTTTTAGACTCTTTAGATACAAATATACATGTGCATACATGTAATTTTTTTTAATGACTCGAGACTTGACTTGACTTGGAAAAAAATGACTTGAGACTTGACTTGACTTGCTAAAATTTGACTTCGGACTTGACTTGACTTGACATGGAAAAAAATGTCTTGGTTACAACTCTGCATCACAGGTGTACAGCTGATGGATGCAAGGGTAAACGATACACCACAGCCCAACCGTGAGCTACGTTGAGGGTGAGATGACTAATTGAACACCATTAGACAATATTATTCCAAAATGTATGGGCTTATTGTAGCGTCGACAAGTTTACAAGTGGCCCCTAGCATTGTTTTAAACGCATATTAATATTTTAATATGTATAATTATTGGAGTGTACATTGTTTGTTGTTATTTTGGGTCGGTTTATTTTGGGGGCGGGGGTAGGGATTGGTTATTAAAGACAATGATCCATACCCATATAAGCCTGATCCATTGGCGCTGGTCCCATAATGCGTTGCGAAGACTGCGTTTTGTTCGAAGATGTTTGTAAAAATAAGCGATTACCGATCACGTGTTCTTGGGTAGAACGGTGGTTACAAGCGAATGGGGGAGGGGGTTATAACCCGTCCACTCCCGGCTACCCTAAATCGGTGGATGAGGTCAATTTGACAAACCTGCAGTAACCTTGTTCTCCGTCCACTTCAGGCCTCGAGCCTTGACTATGACCACAGTCAATCGTTCGGCTGTCGGCAAGTAACTCAGTGAGAACAAGATGTCTCCTAAATCAGCTGGTTTCTGAGAATGATCGATAAAACAATATGATTGTGAGAACAGTATGGTATTGGTAACGTTATTTATATTTCACAGAAATATAGCATTGATTAAAACAGCATGTTTAGTGCAACTTCACGTAAATTATCGTGGCAGTTTTGACTGCCGTTCACTTTTCACTTTTGGAACAATGTCGGTCCAAGCTACATTGTGTATTTCCTGACACCAAGATAGTGCTTTTGATATAACTACATGTATAGGTTAGGCACTGACGTGGCAGTCAGGGATTTACGTAAAGATTTTGAATTAAAATGTGGCTATTTTTCTCCATTTTGTTTGTTTACTCGTTGCACATGATCTGAATGCGTGGAAAGAAACAGGAATTGTACTCAAACAGTTTGAAATGCACTATATGCCTAATATTTTAATTACTGATTTGCTATAATGAACAAGTACAGAAAGAAAATTGAGATCTGTATACCTGAAAACAACCTTATCTTGGCAAAAGAAATATGATTTGAAGGTAAATGCGATAAAAGGTACATAACTAATTTGTCATGGCCTCCAAGACGGTCAACCAATTTTACTGTATGACAGATGCGCAGCTTCGCTCTCCTATTTTTTTGTCAGATCACTTTAAATTTTTATTTCTCTTTGTAAACCGATTCCCTTTCGCTTTATGCCCACGGTATGATTATCTGTCGACAATTCCAATTAGTTTTAAATTTCAGTGGACGGTGTGATTAATTATGTAAAACTCAATTTCCTGTTATGTTGGACCCAAAATGAAACGAAAATTACAAGTACCAATTCTGTGTTGAAAAGTGAGCGTCGTTACTTTGGATACATTTTTATTAATGCTCGCATATAGACAATCACGTTATAGGCAATCGTTATACGGCGTGCATTACCAGATTTATTACCTGGCCAAATATGACAATCAGCCGTTGGTCACAATCCAGATGATACAAAGGAAACATTGTGAACATAGAAAACGATGCACTCGTATTCTATCCTCGTTTACAATATTGACAAGGTTGAAATATTACAAGCACCTGCTTGTCGTAAAGGTCTCAGCCTTCTTCTCAGGTTTGCCTGATGGCCATCGGGTCTGTGCAGATTGTAACCCCAAGCATTGAAACACGTCTTGTTCCATCGGCATTCCCAAGTCATGTTCGAAATAATGAGGATAATGAGTGCAATCGATCAGATATTTCAGTGTTAAGCACTGTCACACGTTGGTTTGGCACGCTGTGTAAATTTGTAGAATCACTTCATCTTATTTATTATCTTTATCACATGAACAATAAAAAATGCGACGCCGATGGCACATATGGATCACCATATTTTTGGTCCATTTTCATTACCTCCTCCAGGATACCGTCCAAACACTAGAAAAAATACCACGTGACCATAACATTACTGCACATATCTTGCCTCCGTTTACAAAATATTCATAAACAACGTTACGAATTGTCACAAACAATTATCAGAGTGCATTTACTGACGACAGCATAGCATTATTGCTTAATTTTGGTGAAATATTTTTGGTCAATTTTCGGGGACCGACCGACCGACCGACACCTAAGTGACTTGTAGAAGCTCCTGCCAGAGCTTTAAAAAAATGATTCCATGGAATTCACACTTTGGAATTATTAATATCTGGAATTGATGCACGGTTGCATTTCAGTAGGACTGTGGGAAACAGAACATATGCTCCTTTTTTTGCACTCGACCCTTGAGTCTGTCTCCAAAACAAAACCAACATTACCTCATTGATATCACTTAGATTGAGCCACGTGCTGAAAGGGCCAGGCAGTAGGTCCACATCGCCGAGTTTAAGCGTCGTTTCCCCCACGGCCTCGTGCCTTGCGTGCCGGTCGTAAGAGAACACCGTAAACTTGAGTGAATGCTCCGCCAGATCTTCCTTGGCCACTTTCATGGTGATGCGCTCGTTGTACACCGGATTCAGACTTTTGCGATACACCTGGGAATTACAAAATTGCAATTTCACTACAAATGTTGATTATATTATTTTCAATTACATCAGCTAGACCAATGATGAGACAATTCTGAGTCAATAAAGACCCAACACATCATGCCCAACATGTTACAATGGTATTGTACACAAAGTTATGAATTTCAGTTTTCAAGTTTAACATAACATAATGGGTTTCCTTCAATTACATTCTAACCAAATCATTCTGGAAATACTAACAGAAGCATACAAGATGAACAAACCTGTTCAATAAGTGTTCTTTCTAGTCGTATAATCGTTCTCTTATAAGACGTGATACACCTGCATTTCACTTTGACCAGTCAAACAGATATCATGATTAACATGAGACTCAAGGATACCGCCTACCTTCGTTTGACCTTTCAACTCATGTTCCGGCATCAAGTGAACCTTGACATAGGTGTCGGAGGGCGAGGCGTTATCCCATGATGCTTTGAGGTCTGTAGCCTGCACCAATGTTAATGTGAACCGTTTGTTTTCTGTTGAGTAGTCCATGACGACTTCGATTTGCCCAGCTCTGGAATTTGCAGATCAAAGAGAAATAACACCAAATATAAAGGATCGTTATTTATCGAAAATGTAGGTGTGTTGTTGAAGGTATTCCGAGACTTTTTTTTTTGCCTACTCTGTCAACGCTTTTTAACTTCCTTAAACGGTCTACACTGTTATAAGAAAAATATTGTTAAGTGGTTTTCTAAAATGTATCGTTCCATAATTAACTAACCTTTTCAGGAACCCTTCGTTGAATTATACGTTGATTTTTTTCAGTGGTCAGAAGAACTGTTGAGACATTGCCCCCCGATACATGTGATATTTTTTGTCTTTTAGGAAGTGGAACTGAATATGAAACAACTCACACGTTCATAAAATTGTCTTGAACCGACGACTCTGACGTCACTGAGCTCAGAGATTCGCTGGAGTAACACCGGACCAGTTTGCGCATTAGAATTTCGTCTGGAGTACCGTCACGTGACGCGTCACTGCCATCTTGGTGTTCGACGTCCGGCTGCAGGTTGACCGCATGCGCGTGGGACTCCTGCGCAGCCGCAGAGATGGCCTGCTCTGCCTTGGCGAAGATGGTCTCGTACTCGACGAAACGTCCAGGATCATCTGGCGTAGGGATATCGGTAGATTGGTCGACCTGTGACGAAAACAACAATATTCCAGAGTAGTTGTCAAGGTCTCATATTATAAGTCTCCACCAGCAAGTCAATCATCAGTAATCACAAATCATCCAGGATCAAACTTGCTAGGCAATATTCAAATAATTTTGTAAAAACGACATTTCATTGTCTCCGTTACTTGTGCCCATTTGATAAAGTTATGAGTTGACTTGTGATGGGCTTTTAACGACTTAACAACAAGTTTGGAATAGCCGTACAAGACCTTCGCTCGTACGCCCCACCCTGCAAACAAGGCGCTAGGAAGGGCTCATGTACTTCACATAATATTGTGAAAGAAGTGCGTATGGCATTCTGGGTAACTTATCATGACGATCGCATGCATCGCACGTATGATAAACAGCTGAAGCGAGTTTGTGTGACCCTTTAACCATTTTGTGGGTGCGATGTCCGAGATATGACAAGAAAAGAGGGACTGCACTTTTTAGTGTGCAAGCTGGCCTGTAACACAATGCAGAACCCTTCTCCCCGCCGACGCCAATTGTCTTGCGCATGATGATGCATGGTTATAACATAGAGCAAGGGTTACAATACATGATGATGATTTTGTTTTTGCTTTGGAATTATAAGCCCCAATATTTTACGACTATGGATGTATTTCAACATTCCATCGCAAAACGAAACAAAACTAGATTAAGACTGAAAGGCAGATGCAAATACTCGACAGAATATAGGCCTAAGTTCACATAAAATTAACCGACTTCAAAGAGACGCTGAAGACTTTTCAAGGAAATGCCATTCACTCTTAGGTTTATTTTTTGTGCAAGTGCAGACACTTCCTATTTAATGGAAAATTAATTGACTGGAAAATTAATTTAACGCAGATAGCACAGGAAAGAAGGTAACTCGATGAACTGACCACGATGGAAACCGTGACTCATCTGAATAATTGTATTAATTTGTTCATTTTGGTTTAGGTGGCTTTGCCTGCTTGCGTCGGTTCAGTTTGGTTAACTAGCAAAATTAGTAACTACATTTGTAATGTCGTACATTTCAATCTGGAATAATAATAAACATAACACAAAGGTTAGTTCGAGCAGGAAACGGCACATCTGATACTGAGCCCCGAGTATATATTGTATAAAAATTTCACTGTCTGTGCCTATAGTGTACATATTAAAATTATCATTCTCATTACAGAAATGTGGCCATGATCTGTAGCATAACAGTCAATGTGCAATAAAACGGCATCTCAGCAATTATTTCACAAAATTCTCCTTTGAGTATCATTATAAACCGTTTTGATAATTTCCATTCGCTTACCAGTTTCGTTCATATATCGTTCATGAAAAGGGCGATAATAAGCGAAAACATACATTAGAAACCATTTATGAAACCCACACGAACAAAACAAATTGCTATTGTCAATGTTAAATTGAATTTGAAATCAATTATACGCATAATTGTGATGCAGGTGTTATTCATCAAAGAGAGAAGCAACACAAAAGACTAATCCACATTTTGTGGCGAAGTAAAATATGGATGCATGACAATAAAAACGACAGCTGTGTAGTCTCATGGGCCACATTCTCCATGCATCAATCAACACTAGATGAAAGAACACTGCACGAGCCATATTGATAACAAGACGTGCGCGCATGCTTATCATGAGCAACACCTCGACATGACACTTCCGCTGTCCCCGTATACCACCTTCCATAATCAACTATACGTAACAATCTACCGTATACCTGAGCCATCAGGTGCCCTTGCCAAGCCTCGGAAAACGCTCATCCGTGTGTCTTCTTTGGTGTCGAACTTGGGATGCCCCGCGGCATATACGCAATACACCCAACGGCACGATTCAACTGTACTACACCGTGCATGGATATGTATGCAGTTCACAAATCATCGGGGGAAAAAACTACCAGAGACGGTTGCGTGTTTTTCGCTTGATCCACTATGGTATACCTGTAGTGGATGGGCGAGAGCGTACAAAACAGCATGCATACGCAGCACGTACGTGTGGTTTATTCGGCTGCATGCCGAGCCAGGGTTGGGGAAAATCATAAATTAACGGAGTCGACACCCGGACTACAGAGCCGGCTGTGCGAGAGCGCCATTCGCATCCTGTTTCCTTGATTACGAATCGTACACGCATCGATCGGAGAGACTGGCTAAGCATTTGAACATTTTGATCGCTCACCGAGCAGTTGTACGACAAACGAGGGTCTTTTCATAAGGGATGATTACGGAGCATTATGATGAGGCAAAGTTTGAAAGATAAAATTGATTTCCAAGATGAATTACTATGATCCACTCGATTAATTCAAACATGCATTTTTTCGTACCTGCCATTCATAAGAATAAAAAGATAATAACAGTATAAGTACAGTCACCTACAATAGGCCTACATGTGTACCAAGAACAATTTAGGCAATAATTATTAATGTTCGGTTTCTAGGACTTTGTTCAGTGAGTTTCTTTACGATCTTCTTGTACTAATGGATTTCAGCAAAAAATTGGTCATGCCAACCGTTTATTATAAACAATAATAAACGTGGACTTTCATTTACAACTAATAACGATCTCCTGCAATTGACATGTCAGCATGAGCGAAAGTATACAACTCGATTTGTTTTTGCGTCGGGTTTCCGTAATAATTGTGATAAATGGATGGTGAATTTGATGTCTTAGTCCATTGCTAGCAATCGTGAGGGTGCATGCATAATTACGTCATTACGTGCAACGCGGCGGGTCCAGCAAGCAATAGCCGAGTCACGTCGTATTTTTCTCTGACATACGGAACGAGCGACAGCTATAGGCTATGTGTATTAATGTTATGTTGTATCATTCATCATGCATGGTAAACTAGTTTTCCACGCGTCAAGGATCATCCGAAATTCACCTCCAATTGCTGGGGAGCTTATAACCTTATGGGCGAGCAAAAAGAGGGGGTGTCAGTTTTCATTTGTGGTATTCGTTCTATTCTAATTTGCGGTGCCATTTCTTATAACAGCGGTAACATGTCACGTTTCGTCATGTGAGGTGTAAGACGAAACTATGTACACTCCAATTTCTGACCAGTACAATGTTCCACTTTTGACATTTATTTACCAATTCTAAAGAGTTCTCAAAAAAGTGCAAACCGGACAAGTGTCACTTATTTGAATTTAACGTGGCGAACTTTGGACTCCTGATGATTATTTACAATATTAACTTTTTCATAAGCTTGAATTTCAGCTACTAATTCGTACGCTAATAAGTCCCTGTTTGATCAGGGATATCCATAGGTTCTTTTATGTTACTTTTTGCGTTTCTGGGTTAAGTGACCCGAAACGTGTCGTTTTTTTACCCGGAAATATGTTAGGCCACATAATAGACCTTTCTACGCTTGGTTGGCAAACTGCATTGCCAATCATGGGTTGCAAAACTACGGAAGGTCCAACACTGCAATTAAAGAAGAAGCGTTATTACAGATAACCAACATAATTATTTGATGGTTGGAAAAACAACATTTTCAACAATGCTACAACAAGTACAACATAATTCCTAAACATGCCTTTTTACTTTGTACTGAGGGCGTTATGGGGACTTCCTTTTGGAAAAATATGTTACCAACCACGGTTTCAATTTATGCGCTTGCGGCAGCCCATATAAAATGGCGCCAATGTTTACAAACAAAAGAAAGGTCTATAGAACCCGGACTCGGGGCCAGTCTGACCAGGAACCTGTACAGTGTAATCGTGTAACTGCATGCTGACCGTAGCCAAATAATTTGGGCGTAGCCTTAGAAATGTTCCATCTCATGGCTGAGGGCGCTGCATTCACTGACCAGACAGCAAATGACTGGTTCACGTGTGCTTTGCATGCTATGAAATTACGAGAACATTTTGGTTACCAGGGAGGCGGATCACCCAAGAAGAGCAAATGAGAATTCTCGGAACCTCGGCTTCGTTTCAGCTGTAGAGTCATTACACCTTTGATGTCGAGTGAAAGAATTCCAAACTTTGTCAGATATCATTCATTTCATACACTTATTTCAATAATTCCAATAATGAGATATACATCATATAGTATTTGGAGTTCACCAAGCAGAACTTGGGCCCAATTTGGCCTGGAATGCCAATTCTTTCAATTCCCAAACGAGATCCGACAATATCAAAAGAAGGATCTCTTTGCGTTTTAATGTATATTCATGATGTCAAGAGCTGTAGAAAATAAGTTATACAAGGAATAATGGTGTGGGGACAATTTTTGTCCGAGTTCGAATCCGGTGAGCGATTTTTACTTCTCGTTTTACCTTTGAAATAATTAAAGTGAGGAAGGAACGTTTCTCACAAGACGTAAAGCCTATCTTAAATTTGTGTTGTTGAAAACTAGGCAACGGATATGCATGTATTGGACCAATCAGAAGATGAGAAACGAACGTCGCTTTGGGGAAAAAACAATTCGCGACCGGGATCCCTGAAGTCGGCGGCAACAAAATCTTATTAGCCAGAGGCGGAGAAAAAGCCGATTTTTGAAATGCTTTTCAGGATATGTACCCGTTGTCTGTGGCTACGGAAACATGTAAAAAAAAAAAAAAAAAAAAAAGCCCGATATGACGAAGTTGGACGCGGCCTTAGAATGCCCCCCCCCCCGTATCCGCGGCTGTTACGGAATTAAAAATATGAATATGGACACGTTTGGCGACTCCGCACGTGGTTTGTAAATGTACTATAGTTTGTACTGTAACAATGGTCAAAAGAAGGCGCCACTAATTAACATGTCAAACCACAAGCCGGTTAGTATTGACCTAAAATCGTTATATACCAAACGATTACTACTTTATGAACAATCTCTGTGGATCCCGCGATGTTGGTTGTATAGCGACGTTCCATACCATAAGAAGTATTTAACGCTTGCACATTAGATGAATCAAAGTTAGCATATAGACAAAAATGCCCATTCTGCTTTTAATGCATCAAAAAGTGAGCAGCCTTTGAAATCTGTTAATTGCCTTGATTCAACTATAATGGTAAACTCAACAATAACTGGTTTGCCGGAGACCTTATGACACAAAAATCGTTCACGTGTCAGCAATCGCTAATTTGAAGTGAAAATAATTTCGTGAATAGTCTTATTTTGTCCATTAACTCCGATCTAGTCATCAAAGTTTGCAAGAATAAGACAGGTGTCTAAATACGTTATAGAATATTGCACTTTGAGAACCATGTTTCTACTACAGAACCACGCAGACAAGCTAGATATTGGGTGTTCTTGATATCGACACTCACCTGATAGGCAGTGCCGTAATCCGTTTGTATTAAGCTGGTCTTCTCCTCGTTCCGTCTGCAGATGTAGTCGAGTAGTTTCTGCAAGTCGCACGATCCACAGAATCGTGCCCAGACAGCGACTACACCGACGCCGGCCGCAGTAAGGCCAGAGATAACTAAGGCAACGCCAATAACTGTCATGTTGAATCAGTTCAGTCTGGTTCATCCGAAGGAAAAAGGAAAGCGAAGATCAGTGTGAAATTGTGGCTGTCAACATGGAAGGATCCAATATGAAACAATATGAGCTTATTAAAGTTAAAAACTGGTGCATTATTAATCCTGATATTTGACATAATTCCGGGATCAGTCAGTTGTGTGGTTCTCCTTCACCCACTGGTGTTATGGGCCTTATTCACGTGTCGGCCATATTGAATTTAAAAGGTAAAATCTTCATTTTTGCAACTTGCGAAGAGAAATGAAAACAATGACATAAACTTAATTACACATTATATCAGTCTGTTCTTATGAATAATCATAAATTTGTGATTAAACATACCCTACTGTTTTAAGCCACCAAAAAAATGAAAGTGAGGCTAGAAGGTATAAATAGTCTGGCACCATCCCATTCAATAGTTCACAACTAATAAAATGCATTCAGGGAACCCGACCAAAATGGCTTTCTCGCGAATAAGGTCAATAAATAGGAACTTGAAGAAATGGGGTATAATTACCGTAAAAAAAACGACGTTACCTTTGTGCGTACATTGAAGTCAAACAAAAACAATCCATGCATAATTATAGCTCATGAGTTAAGGCGATCTGCTTCTCAAAAAAGCCTGATCTTTCTTATTTCATTTGATGAACAATTGCCTTGGGAAAAGTATTCGCCACAGCCGGGAAGAGACGTTGTGTCTCCTCTTGTTCCTATATACAGTCTATATACCGATCAATCGCCCCTGTACGACTGTGATAATATCATGTTGGCATCTACTATACAGTAACTATAATATAATGTGCAAATGCCACCGCGTGCTTGTAACTTGCATTAAAAAAAGTCAATCGTAAAAAGCCTCATAGCGCTCATGTATAAGGAACGACAGGGGAATTCGAACCCTGTCAGCATTCATCATTTACATGCGGCGCCGTCCGGGAATTGGTTTTCCATGACATTAAGCCGACCATTATCATTACAAAAGATCGTATAAAAAGCCGTTACTTCAATGTGTTCTGGTAAATGGCCTTCCCTTTGCTTTCCCCTCATGACATTTTGCATTTATTATTATTGGCACATGAAAAATGTAATACTATGATGTGATCATACAACATTCACCATGTAAAACAAAGGATTGTAGCTGCCATTGAACACCTATAGGACACCTCAGTTACAGAGGCAGCATTGTGGTACCTCGTATTACAAAAAACACACTGAGAAGTCACTAAAAGCATTGCTAAAAAGTGCTAAAACTGAAGTATTCCTCAATAATGCGCACTCCAAGTGAAAAATCATATGGTTAAGAGGTCCCCCTCCCCCTGTGCTCCTCAAGCACCTCCCCGCCTGCACACCTGCTTGCCACCATCTCCCTATCAGTCAACGAATGTATCATTACAATGTCTGTTCATTTTCCTCTCTGACCTTATCTGGCTGTAGCTCTAGAAACTGCAAGAAAAAAAATAGATATTGCTTTGATCGAGGACCATCAATAATTAATCTTACGCTTGGAGTAACTGCGTATCAAATGAACCGGAGTTAAATGCTAATAAAACGGCATGGGCTGGTATTTTTCATTCGGTTTTAATTGAGATGGTTGCAGGTGCATAGCGATCAGTGTAACACTAGCTTGTCTCGACCGTGCAGCCTCGATTTAAAAATAGACAGTGACCCTGACCATTTATTAATGATAAAATTGTCTCACGCCGCAGATATATTCTCAAGTAGATAAAATAAAAGTTGTAAAGGAAGATTTCGCATGCAATGCTGAATTATTATCAATTAAAATAAGCTTTGAAATGTAAACATAATTAGTTAAAACTTTGAAACCGTGTTCACTTTATGCCTCTAACAATACTATAGCCTGTGTAAAAACATTACTGTACAAAAACTGCCAAATATTCTCTCACAACCATTTTCATAAATGCAACCAATAACATTTTTATTTCAATTGTTTCACCGTAAACCTAGCAATCAACAGTAATTATAACAACATAATTTGGAGGAAAGTCGGTAGCCACTGGTGCGATGTGAAAATGAATGTCTGCTTTGAAGGCCTGGCTAATATCTGTGGGGTGGGCAGTTGAAACCTACTAGCAACAATTAAAGCTTTGAAGAGATCAGCGAATTTGTCAACGGTTTTCTCCACAGCAACAACTATTTTAAAAGGAGGAGGTAGATCACTAAGGGAAATAAAGCACACATCCGTCGTTGCGAATCATCAACAATAAAAAAGAGCAATTGTCATAACTAATGGTTCGTATCCCATCACCATGGCAGCAATATCTACGCCGTCATGCGTGTTACGACCATTGTTTTCATATCATGCATTTCTGTTGAACTCTTTTTTTTAAAATGATATTTGGTTGATTTTCTCCAACCGTCTTAACACAGTCCTAACACTTTCTGATGTTTCTTTTTAAGAGCTAAGTCTGAAATTTTGAAAACAAATACAAATTTGAATTTTACATAATTATAAGAAGACTTGGAGTCCCAGTTCTGACGTGTGTTAATCATAAGTGCACGATACATCAAACAATTGAACGGTAAGGAATTTATAACAACGGCTTACGTGTGGTTTACCGTTTAATATCCAAGTGATGACCGACACAACATGGCACATGTTAGACACTGCATGGCCGAAACAATAAAATACACATAGTTCACGTAGGCCTACGTACCTGCAATATTTGGCAACACCAAAGACAAGGCACTGAGCACAGGGAGGAAGAGGGAGCCAGCCGTCTACATTCACATTTTGCCCGCGTGATGATACGGCAGAGTACTGCCTCGTCTACGCGGTCCCTGTGGATTATGCTCGCATCGTCAAGGCTCGCAAACCGCGTTGTTTCTCACTCCGTTGATAATAATGTATGCGCCGTGTCGTTGCCATATGAACCGATCCTTGTGTCTGTGGACGGTGGCTCGATGAGGACGTCCAAATCACACCCAAAGAAAAGTAAGCGAGATCTGTTTCGAATACTTAGGGCAGATGTGTTTAATTACCTGCGGACTTAAATAATTTGGTGTAAGTATTGTGGATACATCAATTTTTGGAACACAACCATGAAATGTTGTGGAAACGCACTTATTTAATACAAAAGGGCACTCTTTACAAATATTGGGGAGGGGGGAGTAAACGCTGGTGAAAAAGGACACTTGGCGAAAAAGGGCAGTCTTTACAAAATATTGGGGAGGGGGGGTATTTAAATACCCCCTTACCCCACCCCACCCCACCCCAGCCCCAGATTCCGTAAATTCCCATCCTATGACTAGATTATCAATGCAGTTGTTTTGCACCCTATAGGCTTAAGGACGCATCCAGGCAATGGACGTCGCCAGGATGGGCAATGGGGAAGGGGCCGCTTTCCCACCACCCACCCCCCCCCCGGAAAGCAGGGGGAAAAAGGGAAGGGAAAAAAGGAAAAAAACAAAGAAAAGAAAAAGAGTCATATTTGCTATTAATTTAATGCGTCTGCAGGGGTGTCAATGGGGGTGGGGTTATAAATGTCCCCGCCCACCCTCAAAAACATTATAAATTGAGAATATGCCAGAGAAAATATAATGATTTTTCGGAAGAAAATGTGTTTTGCCTCTCGCCCCCCGAAAGAAATCCTGGCGACGCCCATGATCCAGGCATTGTGACTGTACACTCACGAGGCCCCCTTCAATGAAGAAGCCATTGTGAATGCTACCAAACATAGCACCCACCCAGTGACGGATTATCTGAACATTAGGTAAAGCAATGCCATATGAAGGGGCCTTCGTCGTTAGCGTGCCTGGATTTGTACAGTGCATGCAGTGCGCGGTATGGTGGATACCCAGCGCGAGTGTGTAAGGGGCCAAGTGCGCCCTCTTGATTTTGATATTGATCCAATAACAGATAAGGGTATAGTCTAAATAAAATTAATAGCCTGAGCAAAAATACTACTAACAAACGGACAATCCGAAAGACAATGGAAGAATAACAAAATAAATACAATGAAACTTACCAAATCAATAGTTCTCAGAATATATTCCAAAGTAATGTATTTTCCAAACAAAATTATTTCCTGTGGTGAGTGAGATATATCATATACTGTATATCATATTCTGATGTACACTCCATCATCCACGAGCAAAAACATGTGGTTCCACAAATCACAGAGCTCTATGCACAAATGAGGTGCTTGCCAACTTTTTCTTATGGTTGGTGTTAAAACTCCTCCGACCAATCCCGCAAAAGACAACATCAAAACGGATTGAATGGTTTTCAGAATCCAGTAATCCCATACCTGTAACGTACAGTATAAACTCCACTTGGCTTTGGGAGTAAGGGTAGACTAGCGTATTGAGACTAAACACCAGTAATTGTGCATGTGTGTGTGACTTCTCACAAGACAAATGCACTGTGCCAGTGATGAATGGAACAAAAGGGGTGCACCCATCCGAAGGGTCAACAATAGGATCTGATGTTGGTGCAAGCACAGGGCCAGGCACATTTGCATAAATTGTACGAATACACTCATTCAAAAAATGTGGATTATTCACATAAACTATCGTTGTTGCCAGAATGGACGAGGTGAACAAATCTTCAGTCCCTCGTCCATTCTCCTTAACTGAATTGACTTCATCCGAACTAATCTGGTTGCTTCACGTCCCTGCTGTAAAACATACCATCCCAACAAAAAACTTGTTCCATAAAACAAAATTGGAAGATGGGTGATTAAGCAAAATTTACGATGCCTATACGAGTATTAGACACAAGCAAGGTGCACGGGAAATCGTAACATCGCCCAAAATGGCCCTAATTTTGAGGGGGGTGGAGCTGTTAATTGCTTGAATGCATTGAGTTCCCAAGCAAATGATCGAGATCCCCCGAGATAGCCTCCATCCGAATAATGGACCCGGGTTACAGAACCCGAGGCCTTGTCGTGTTTTGCCTCAAGGGAGGATTTGGGAAGTGTCGACACTTGGTGAACCAGGCTCAATCCTAAATCATAACGGCTGTTTAACTGTCCATGAGTGACCGTTTTTCCTCACATGTCAGTCACTAACGAGTCGTCAAATCTCAAGTCAACCGACAACCTATCCTAATGAACTGGATAAAGGCACTCCTTTGTCGTCATCCTGTCACTTGTGACGTCACTTCTTGTGATTTGATATACGTATCTGATGGAAATAGACTTGTGCTTGACGTTGCCTTTACTCTGTTTTTTTTTTGTCGTTAATTTTGAACCAATGATTTTTATACAGAGTGAATTAAATACCATCAACATTTGCTAATGACTCACAAAACAGTCCTCGATTTGAATGCAATTCAAATTTACTAAACGGTACATGCAACGCAATATACTACTTAAAATTTACCATTCACCACACCAAAACATATTTAATAATAAGTAATAAATAATTATAAATTGTTATAAGTAAGTATAAGAATAAGTTAAAAATAAGAACTGCAACCAAATAAAAAAAATCAAATTAGTGGCATTGCTGTAAATTTAGAATAAAGAAAATAAAGGTTATATTTTCCACGTGGAATCCTGGAAAGTCCCTGGAAGGCTATGTTTCTTTAATTTAAACACTTAAATTCTTGTCCCGACACCAATGCTTTTTCCAGTTGATTTCAACCAATGTCTGAAAAAGACAATCAGTAAGTTTGTGGATTTTCCGATACAGTACTCTTTTTTTAGAAATACTGTATCTCTTTTCTTGGGCTATAGTTATTGACAATATTGACGGAACAGTGAGTATGAAAAACATTTACTGCGCTTTCTTAGTGAAGAACTATACTTCCCTAGGCTATTTCTCTGAGAATATCCATTCAAGAAATCATGCATATTGTTGCAATTGGCAACGGACCATGAAGAATTTGGTAAAAAAGTTGATTGCATACCAAACGGTGAGCATTTGGTAATCTTAATGTTCTTCAGGTCATCCTATTATGTTGCTTAGATCACAATCTCTAATCGGGCCGAGTAAACGAGTAAAACGTACAATCTTGAGTCATCGATAAGGTGTTTTTCTCTGCTTTGTATAATAAAGTCATCGAATTTGGTTTTTTGAAATATTCAACATATGTTTCTTGTATAGCAAAAAGATTAATTCACAATAGAACCGAACATTAGTTTTCTTAAAAAGCACCACTAATTCTTGCAGTTATAAGATTATACAGACATTAATAAAACATAGGCCTACGTGTCTATATGCACTAAACAATACTCTACAACCCAACAATTGATACGCAAAACGGTGTTTAAATTAAGAATGTTATTAACCGGAGGAGCCTAAAACCATTACTCATTGAAATATTCGTACTTAAATAAACGCAACTTATGACGCAAAGAAAGTCAATAAAATCAGCTGAATTCGTATATATGGTGCACAAGTTCCTATAAACCAACTCTCAATATCCTCTCTACATTCATGTCTGACCACGTCTTGAGAAGAGACTACTCCCTTTACTTCTGCCTGGCCAATCCTGGAGAGGAGACTACTGACATCACATCACGACGGCTGACCCTATCAAAGTGCATAGAGCGTGTACCAACACAGCCTCTCTTGCAGATGGACGAATAGTCATTTGAGGGACAGACAAACACGTTGCAGTGGACATACACCTACAAGAAAAAAACTCCGAAATTTTATCTCTGTCTATCTGCTTTAAAAGTAAACGACTTTTTTTCCCCTTTAAGATGTTACTCCGCCACATGATTCAACAAAATGGTAACAAGTATAGAATGAGTACTTGACACTTCCCAAGTTAGAAGCACTATACTCATGTTGCTGTAGTATCGTTATAACTTTTTGCGTAATCGTGGATGAAATTGTGAACCAAGTCAGTTTACCTTGGAGGTTACAAACTTACCGTATCGAAGATACGCCAACCGAGGAAGGCAAAGGCATCCACAGAGAAGCGAACCTTGTTGGAACTGTGCGACTCATGAAGCACCAGAGTCTCATCTTCTATGCACCTACAATGATAAGCAAAAGAAACGTCATTATGAACAAACGGATCCTTGAAGTGATTGTGCTCGATATGCATGGAGAATAAACACTTCTTCAACATTCTTTACTTTTTTACTTAGACGGAATTAAACCAACGCTTGTTGAGATGCACAGAAGCCACGCATTTGTGAAACCACGAACCAAAAAGAGGGAAAACGCCTTATGACATGGCAACTTAACAAGATATTGATTGATATTAAACACTCTGTACATGTTTAGATATACAAGCGTAGGCCGCTTTTCCTTTTACAGCCCTTATTTTCCAGCCCCCTTTCATTTTGGGCCCTCATATGGCCTATGGCAAGTAATTCCCATCTACAGTTTTGATTCGTCTGACCATATCTTTAGTGCATTTTTTGTCACTTATTGAGTTTCAACTTGCATTAGAAATAGCATATATACCGGGCTTTGCATTATATCATACAGTTTGACACTGTCCAATATAGATGTAATGTGAAGGAAAGGTCGTAGTTTATATTTCTTATGTGCAAGATTTTGTTCAATAAAGAGGGGCTTGCTACTGAATAGTGGTTCTTGCGCCTTTCGAATTATTTCGTACGGTTGGATTCATGTCTTACCCGCTTTTGATCAATTCATGACGAGGCCAGTCATATGGATTGTCAGAAGTCGTGGCCCAGCAGGATTGGAAGAAAGCATCGCATTGACGGTTATCACGACAACTGGCCTCTCCCTCAAAGTACAGCCTGGTGTCAAATGGCACTTTGAGTGGCTTCGAGAGCTCGCCATATGCCTGGTCGTAGTTTGCATTGAAGAGCTTCAGTGTGGTGTCTGCCAGGTTATCCAAGAAGTCAGCCCTGCCGTTGAACTCTTGATACTCAAGGATTCCTGGATTGGGGTCGTATGCGAGGGTTTTGATGGTCTTGGCGGGGATGCTGCAGGAGAAGCGAATCTCACGGTGGGGGACCCGGGTAACCTCAGTCCCTTCAGGGGTGTAGGGCTCATCGGGAATGTAGACGATGTTGCTGTATGTATGATCCGTACCGTTACGCTGTTACAATCAATTTCAAAAAGAGGGGAGAAATGTCACTTAACTGCGAGTCCTGATATGTAGGCCTACAACCTTCGAGGCGGCATTTTTCAAGAACATGTACCTGTCCATGCACGTCAGTGCCACTAAATGAAGTCTATGACGTGCAGTCCATGCCACTTCTACAGTGGCACGGACAGAACACGATTCAACTTTAGAAGAAAACAATTTTTTTTGTCAACATTTCTGACGTTAGTTTAAAATCACCCGATAAGTGACAATTAAGTAGTTTGGATATGTGGGTGTTTAATATCTAATCCAAGCAACAAAAAAATTCACTGTATAAATACGGAGCCCTTATTCCACATGACAAAAGGATTGTACCACCTTTTCTACACCGCACCTGCCTCAACGGTTATTCTGAACATAATCTGTCACAATATATTGGTAATGAAAGCGTGGAGGGGCTGGGGGCTCAGGGTGATTATGCATTCTGATTGGTCTCTATGAAGTATGATCACATGCTTACTTACCTGATATGTTGTGCCGCACAAGCCGTAGGAGGTCCACACATAATAGTGCGTATCATTGAAATTGGCACCGGTGCATTTTGGGTCACGCAGGTGCATTATCTCCGGACCGTAGCCCCCGAGCTCCAGGGTGAGTTTGGGAAGGTACAAACTCATGGAGGAGACACTGCAATCAGGTCCATTTATTGCTGCTGCGGCTGTAAAGGAAGATTAACAGATGTTTAAGATATCTTTTCCAATTGCATCCACTTCATTCTTTACCGAATTCGTTATTTAGCACGGTCGCTCACACATAAAAACAAAAAGGCTTTGGCCGTAAGATACAAAGGAGAATAAAACTTGTTTTGTCTTTAGTGCACGAACTCCCATCACTGGTGTATAAACGAGCAGTGGTTGGTTTTCACAACAAGAGTTTGTAAATAGAATTCAAAATAATATTCAATTAAGTTTGTAACTCTTAACTAATAATATTTCCCCTTGGAAGGGATGGGTGGATTCTGTCTCCCACCCTGGTTTATGGCTAAAAACAGTTACAAATTATCCAACTCATTGATGAAAATCTTTCGTGATACTTTGACAGCTGTCTGGTCTTATCATATTATATCATATTGTATTTATTTTCTTTTTATTTATTTATTTTAGTTTTCGTTTTTTTGCTGGACAACTTTTTGACAAATTTTCTAGCTGCCGCGAATACGAATAGGGGGAAGGGAGCTAGACATCATTTGGCACTAGGAGGCACTGTTCATCACTTTGTATCAACTTCAATACTTACGAACTCCAGTGACAAAGCTCCATTCTGCAGGTTTAGATTTCACCGAACACTTTTTGTCATTACTCTGCACGACTCCTTCATCCAGGGCTATGGTATACTCGGTCGCATACTCCAAGAAAACATCCTGACTGTTAGGAAAGGTGAGTGTTTCACCATCAACAATCTCAGCATCGGGTCCCGTTGCATCTACACGCCAGACCACGTCATTGTTGGAGTCACGGAGGGTCACGTAAGCTGGGCTGAACACACCTTTGCGAATCTGTCAGACAACCAATTTCAAATATCCCTGTCAGCACAAGCAGTAGCATAAATCCGTGTCGGTGAATTGGGGGGGGGGGGGTTGACCAAATATCGTAAAACTGATCGACCCGTAGAAATTCTAAATTCGGGCGGGGGGGGGGTGAGGCTGGAAACTACATGAAACTACGGGGGCGCTGTTCATTATACAAATGTACAAACTGGTCCAAAAGTTGTGTGTATATAATTAATTTTGTAACTCTTTAAATAATAATGTTCCCCATTGAAGGGTGGGATGGATTCTGATTTCTTTTTATTTTTATATTTTTTATATTTTTATAGTTTTCGTTTTTGATGGACACCTTTTTTGACAATTTTCCAGCTGCCGCGAGTACAAATAGGGGAAGGGAGTTGGACATCATTTGACACTAGGGGGCGCTGTTATGATTGTCTTTACATCTCCCCCAAGAGCAAACATAAGCTACATGTACATGTTTGCCAGCATAAAGATAAGATAATTTTTAAAAAAACACCAAGTGCGCTCAAATATCTCAGTTACATGTGTGCAATAATCAGACAAAAATGAAGTTAATCCAAGCTTAAACTTTCTCCTATGTTTGCCATTTCTAATGGCTCAACTAGGAACTTCAAAAATTGTCAGCTAATAGGCCTACAGGGCGAATGTCCCTGCCTGAGAACATCAAATTTCTGCTTCTTTTGACCAAGTTTAAAGAAACTAAAAAATGAATTTACGATACATTTCATTTTCCCTTACCCTTCTTTTGAATTTGATGGCCCAATTTGGAATAACAGCTTCAGCCTCTTGGTCACCTTGGGCGGGAATGGAGTTGGCCCGATCCACGGACAGTGCCGTGGGTTCTGAAAATTTACATAAATATAAAATGTTTTCTCCATAAGTAATTTCGAAATACAGAACATATCTTAAAAGTCCTTCGAATGTGCGCCAGTACATACTACTGACTGGAGGAAAAAACGTTATGTTGTCTGGGTTTTTTTAAGCACAATAATAAAAAAAAAATTGGAACTCTCAATGTGTTTGTTAGTCTTGGCCATATGGCCAGTATTTGCACAATTTATAGTGTGTTCTGTATGCCACGAATAGAAAATAAATAACATATGCCATGTAATTTGTGTTATATATGCCCTGTAATTTGTGTTATACTTTGGTATGTTTGAACTCTATACATCTCGCTTCATACAGCATGTTAGTTACTGGGTATTTTTCAATGCAGTAATTGTTCTTGTTTAGAAACCATATTTACTATGTGAACATAAGAACCCAACTTAAAACTTGTTTGGGTAGAATTTAGAGTTGAGAATGAATGCTTTGTTTCGATGTTAAGAAACAACAAATAGTACGGTACTTTATCCATTCTTGTCAAATCAAAGAAGTGTTTTCTATTTACCTGTTTGAACAACGTTCACAATAAAACAGGACTGTGTGCTGACAAACCTGCCAAAAAGAAAGCAGCCAAAAGACACATCGTATTCGTTGCTGAAGATATTTTTTAATATGACGTGTCCAAAGGACTGAATGAGCTTGTGAATTAAAACCAAAAAAAGGACAACTGCTGAAGCAACACCTATATGTCATTTGTCAATCAAGTACAGTTGTTATTACAGTTTTATCGACTTTTAGCAACTAAAGCATGCTTATCAACAATGGGTGGATACAATTGTTCTGACCATACCTCTCATCTTCACGGGCCATCGCACAGATTGTGTACGTCTTCAGTTCCCTTGGCATGAAACTAAAGATGACTTCATAGTCAGAGGCAGTTCCGTGTATCTGCGATGGTGTGTGTGTTGGGTAACCCTGCACATCAATGCTGGTGATTCTGGATAAATCGGCCAAATTTACCAAACAAAATGGCAAAAACATTCCGTAAGACAGAATCCTTCAATGCCGACAAATAATATACACTTTTTAAAGTTCTCCTCAGTTTTAAAGCTAAAAATCGTATTCACAAATTTGTGCTTTGGGACCAACATAAGTCTAAGTAACGGTCTTTAATGTTTGAAGAAATCAAAATCTGTTTGGACGGATTGCCTCTCAGCAATCCCACTGGAAAGAAACAACATAAAACTTTATTACATGTACCTGTAATTAGGAGCTGTAGCTGTGGCAACCATTCTCATCCTAAATTCTTCTCCCAACACGTGAGCAAAGCACATTCTAGGAACATGCAGCTGTGGCTGTCTGCAATCGCCTTCGTAATGGAATACATCCATCAGGAAGTGTACAGGAGTTTTACTCATTGGCTTCTTGAGTTTGTTAGGAGCAAAGTCCTCCAACATGACCATGAAAGCGTAGGTGCCAGGAGGGATCACTTCCTCCTCTCCGAATCGTAACTCACAAGTCTCCTGTGTTAAAAAGTTGAATCGAAAACAAAAATGAAAATAGGGATGCCCTAGGGTTAGCGATTCAATCAACAGCGTAACATCTGTCCAACTAACCAACAAACACAGCTAACCAACAAATCATCAGCCAGTGCCCCTTGGAGTTGCAAGTCTTTCAATGAACCTAAATGACTCTATCGGACATTACTGATCATCTATACAAAACCACTACCAGTAAAACAGAGAATCAACAAGCTAATCAGCCTGTTCAATGGCTGGCTACCATACAGCTTTCCAAGTTTCTGCGATCTCAAACATCAAATTCAACTCTTGTAAATCATGAGGCTACGCGCATGATTGAAAATCATATTACACAAATTGTAATGATAAGTGAAATGGGTGGAGAAGTCAATCAAACACCGAACAACCCCCTTGTCTATAACCCAGTGTTGCTCGTCACTGAGTGAATCTCTCACCTTAGTCAGACTTGCCACCGGTTTCACTCTCTCTTCGTCGAAGTAAGGTTTTCCACAAATATCCAAGGCATTCAGATTGCATTCGTTCTTTTTCTTGCTAGTCCACCTGCACTTGACTACGTCACTGTTGGCGTCATCATCTTAAAATAGAAACAAAAACATATTGATTTGGTCCGAACAAAGAATACGGTACTACATAGGGCCCACTGCAAAGAAAATAATACTGTGATTTTTGTCTTTGTAAAATATATGACTTTTGAATCAAGTAAGAACTTGAAGCAAATTGACGATAATTCTGGATTGTTATTTCTCAACAGTGATAAGCGGAACTTAATCTGCATACAGTAACTTATGCTTTTGTAGGTGTTAGAAAAAGCATTGTCAGTTCTAGATTCTGACAACTCATACAAGAGGTTTCAAAACCTAACATATCAGCACTGAGAGAAAAAAACTGACTGTTTATTTTAATTTCCATTAAGCAAAGCGACCTTCAATCAATAGTAAAAAACTTTGATTCAAATTTTACTTTGGGCAACACATGTTGAAGGGGCCGTATCGTAAGTCCGACGCCTCATAACTCTGACGCCTCATAAGTCTGACATTTCGGAATTATGAGGTATCGGATTTATGAGGCATTGGACTTATGTATTCCGCCTCATAGCTCCGACGCCTCATAAGTTCGAAGCCTCATAAGTCCGACGTCGGAGCTATGGACCGTTACAAAGAAAGGTTCATTTGTCCGACAAGGCAAAAACGAGTTTTACCAAAAATTGTACAACGATGTGAGCGGCGATCCCTTAGGGGAGGAACTCGTGGTGTATCCCTCAATGTGAATGTGTACTACACTTGTATTAATTAATAATGGCTGTCGGACAAACGAGGCGTTGCACTTATGAGGCGTCGGACTTATGGACCGAAATATAAGTAAATTTAATTGTCGAACCTACGAGGCGTCGGAGCTATGAGGCATTGGACCTATGGGGCGTCGGACTTATGAGGCGCGTGACCTATGAATATGACGTATAGTGGCTCAATGCTTTGGAGTGGGGTCCGCGCATAAATCCGACGTCTTATAGGTCCGACGCCTCATAAGTCTGACAAAATCTCATCCCTTAACCAAATAAAGGCACATAAGTCCGACGCCTCAAAGGTCCAATGCCCCATAAGTCTGACGCCTCGTAAGTCCGACGCCTCATAAGTCCGAAACATCGTTTGTCCGTTGTCGGAATTACGAGGCGTCTGGCTAATGAGGCTCGGAGCTATGAGGCCGAATCCCTAAGGGTGCAACAATGCAATAAAATTCCCATAGACACTAGTGCTAAATGCCCATACTTCAGAATTCTTTTTAAAATACTTAGAACTCGCATAGGCATTTAAGCTGCACAGTAAAATGATGATCAACATGTCATCTTTCATTTTCTTTTCATTTTTTTGGTGGGTTGACCATTGACTTTTCGAGGAATTCTCACTCAAAGAATATGACCCCTATTTTTCCCAAAGCGGAAACTGAGTAGCCATCTTGAAAAAGGATCCCTCCACAACATAGCAAAATAGTGCCACTTTCGAGCCCAATTGCATCCAAAATGCTCAGAATTGGAAGCCCCAAGTCCGGGCCAGAGGTTCATTGCCATATCGCTTCAATTCCCCGATGTTATGGCTCTCATAACTCTCTAATAGAGAATATTTTGAGGGTATAACTTTTATTCATGAGCTCGGCGGATGAGTTTAGGACTATTTACAGGTGTGCACCCCTAAGTCCAATGCCTCATACATCCGATGCCTTATTATTCCGAAATTCCGGACATATGAGGCGTCGGACTTACGACACGGCCCCGTTTGAAGTCAAGAATGGATGGACTTATCACTTTGTGGGGTTAATTAAAAATCGGCCAACTGGTGCTTGCGTAAACAACACTACTTCCCACTTGTTTACAATCTACATGTTTACCGACATGTTGGGTGGGGTTCGAACCCAGTGTAAGGAAAACAAAGAACTGCTATACTATGCTCATAGCTCACGATATAATGTTAAATTGCACAGAACAGGAATTGGCACAGAAATTATAATACTTAGAACGGCACAAAAACGTACTTGGAATATGAATACTGTAGGTACAACCAGACATGATGGAATATTTGGCAAATGTTTTGCTCTGGGGAGGGGAGTTGATGGAGACGCCATCTTTGTGAGCAATGTTGATGGTAGACGCCAGGTTCCAGCCCTTCCCATTTCCAATGTCGCGGCCGTTGTTGACAATACCAGGGATCCAACAACATTCTGTGTATCTGTACAAAAAAAATTTGAAAATAGGACAACCAATACAAATATATGATATAGACGATTATCTTCAGGACTATTTGATCCTCACAATTTCAACAAGTAAAACATATTATATTGGATATCTCTTGAGAGTGGGTATAGTTGACTGATGAGCGATTTTTTTTTTACATTTTCTGGTAATGAAACCAAGGAATTGATAACTTTACATACACATGTATATTTAAACAAAGGAAGCATTATTTTAGATGATCATTTTCGGACAAATAAGTATTTAGAAGGATACCTCTAGCTCTATGTTGAAGAGTTAAAAAAATGTTTCATGCTAGAAAGACAAAACAAAATTTCAAAATCATGTGAACCGATTTTGGGCCAAGCTGCAAGCTATAAATTGACGAGAAATATGAAAAATTTCCAAGGTGAATATGCGTGACTCACGATATTTCTGCCTTTGTTTGACCTGGTGGCAAGGTGTACGTCATGCTGTAAACTCCAGTAGCCGCATTTCTTTTCCTGTCCAGGTGTGTGCAGTAATAGTCTGCCCACACCGGTGGTGCATCACCAACGACAAACTGACCACCAGTGCGAAGTTTCTACCAACAGAACATTCAAAATAAAGAGACATATTTGCATTTGACTAAAGTAGGCCTACTAATTGAGAATTCTTGCTGGGGACCTTACTGAATCATTACGAATCATTCACTGTGTTGGGGAATCAACTGCACATTTTACTTTCAAAGAATATTAAAAAAAAAATGAATTTAACCAAAAAAGGCATGTATGTACCGACGCCAGTTTGATTTGGTACATATTTGGAGAAACTTTCACCTTCGTTTAAACATTACACAGTTAGCCAACACACAGTATGCTGTCTGCCCTGGTCTTAATATAATGATTGATCTTGAAAACATCAATTAGTTCAAATGTACAACCTTGTGTTCAGCGATGCTTTCTTCTGTGCACTGACGATGGGTAACAGAGTCTTTCCGCGAATCAAAGTTGAGTTCAAAATCAATAGTGATCTGAAAAAGCAAATTTGTAAGTGATTTAGGCATAACGTAAATTTGTAATAGGCCTTATACATGTACAGACACAGAAACCCATACTTGATCAGCTGTGCCGGTGTATCAATTGTGAATTTAGGACTATGAAATACGGACTCATTGGTAGTATTGCGCATGTCTAACGGAGGATTGTGAACGTTCAACCAACAAAAGGGTAAAGGATGTCATAGGAGTTGAATGCCCTGGACGATTCATTAGTCAACGCAACGTCATTGATCATTTTGAAGCAGCAACTCCAATGAATCCCCACACGCCCCCGCACAAGCCTGGTCATAGAGTCCAGCCAGTATAAGAGCAGAAGAAGCAGAAGTCCACATTTCATGTGACACTGGGAAAGTGTTATATCAACCATTTAATAAGACACTGAATCAAAATAGGTATAGTTAAAGATTCTGATATGAGAAAAGAAACAGATTTCATAGGATTACAGGCGGAGAAACGGAGGTCATAGGAGTCAAAAATTTCATGTGATACTGGGAAAGTGTGATATCGACCGTTTAATAAGACACTGAATCAAAATAGGTAATTATAAGATGGAATTTTGCGTCGGGTGATATAATAAAATTATTTGACAAAATAGGTACGTTAAATATTTCGAAAAACTTAGAAAAACTTCCCCCTTACCTCTCGTGGATTGTTCGCATTGCGTGCCTCCCAAAAGATGGTTCCGCCTTCATAATAGCCCAGCTTGGCCTCGGCTTCGTTCAACACCCCGCCTACTACCAACAGTAGAGTGACGCACAAACCTCTAGCAAACATCGTGTGTGCCTGGCTCCTGGGGGTGAACAAACGTGGTTTTTGTTTTGAACTGTGTATGTAATCACACAGAGTTTGGCACCCGATACAGAAAATTGTTAGTGTCACGGGTTTTTTCGCATTCTAGTCTTATATATTCTTTTATCGGTAGAAACCAAGAACAGAGACGCAGACATTCACTAGCCACAACTGCATTAAAAATATTAACTGCTTTAAAAAAAATATATATTAACAGTACTCTGCCAGACACCATATGGTGCTCGATCGGTAAAAAAATCTACATAAGTTTTTGTTAGTTTGTTGATTTTGTTGAATGATTTTAATATGCGTGTCTACTAAAAAAAAAATTAAATGTTATAATGTAACTTTGCAGCAGGGTTTATTGTCCCAATTTATTATTCATTCAGACAGGCTGCGCCGTAGTTTAGTTCCCTAGCCTGAGAATTCCCCGACACAGTGACGTCTAAATTATTACTTGACTAAATATTCTTCATAAATAGTCATAATCTTTGGAATCAGCCTAGCTAGCTGCGCCGAAGGCTTTGGCGCCATCCGGTTCGTTAGTGACTTTGTCATACACGCGCGCGCACCACTGATTAGCGCCCATTGGCTAAAGACTCAAGTTGCCTTAACTTTGGTTCCAACGGTTCCAATGCTACTTAATGTGCAGTGGGCGTGGTTTAAACTGACGTGACGTTACACTATTAAACGAACCAGATACAGATTGATGTAAATTTGCAACAGACTTTATTGTTCTAATTTTCATTAATTCCAGACTGTGCCGAAGGCTTTGGCGCCATAGGCTACAGATTAATGTATAATGCAAACATTATAATGCCAAAAAAAAGGAATAAAAAAGTCCTTAAAAGTAGTGCATTTTCCTGTTGTATCCATAGCAAATGTTTTTCTTTTAAGCAATAACAATCTTTTAAAAATCTACTTTAGGCAGAATGAAGATGGGTGCGTATGACGTAGCTCTGAATTCAGTGTAGCCTGCAAATCCCAAATCGGTAGGGTTGGCAATTTTGTAAATCATCATGACCTAATCAGGGGCGGATCCAGGAATTTTTGCAGTGGGGGTTCATCAGCAAAACATATTGTGAAATGTATAGACTGTTTTTTTTCTCTGGACACTTGGCCTCCGAAAATCAATAGGTGGAGGGGCTGTTCCATAATTCAATGGGGGCGCTGTTGAAATCCGACGATTATTAAGATATACACAAAATGCAAAAAACCTTAACAAAGCTGGTATGTTGTGCACAGGCAACAATATTACAAGTATGTTTAGGTGTCAGAGCGGGGGGGGGGTGCATTATTTTTAATGAATTTCTATGGCAAATATTCCAAAGGATCCGCGCCTGCTAATAAAAACGATCACTGTTTGTGATCGGATTCTGGTCCTATATATTCTTTTATCGGTAGAAACCAAGATGAGACGCAGACATGCTTTAACCACATGCACAACTGCATTAAAAAATATAAACTGCCTTAGCCATATGGTGCTCGGTAAAAAAAAAAAACTGTTTTTGTTGAATAATTTTAATATGCATGTCTACTTACAAAATTTTAAAAATGTAATAATGCAAGTTTGCAACAGGATTTATTGTTCTAATTAATCATTCATTCAGACAGGCAGCGCCAAAAGCATTGGCGCCATACAGATCAATGCATAATGCAAAAAAACAAAACGAAATAAAAAGTGATTAAAGTAGGGCATTTTCCTGTTGTATCCGTAGCCAAAAACGTCTTTCAAGCAAAAACTAGCTTTTAAAAATCTAATGTCGGCAGAATGGTCAATGAAGATCGGTGCGTATGAGCTCTAAATCGGTAGGGTTGGTAATTAAGTACACGACTTCATGACCTTATCATGATGAATATCTCAAAAGACTTATAATCAATTAATTAGAGATATTTGTGCTTAATATTCGATCAAGTCGAGCTCATTCGGTGAAATTGGTTTGCAAGTATCATAAATGCATTGTCACCGTTCGTCAGACACATCACTGATGACAGTTTTTGGAAACGTTTGTCTAAACCAGGACAATTTGTATTTATGGATTTTTAATTATTGTCCGAATATTTTAAATAAACTTTAAAAAATGCGCGTGATACCAAAATCAGTTTACCGTGGAGGGAGGTGGATTCCACCCGGACCCTTTTAGAGCTAATTCCAACTGTTCTAAGTATGCAGCTAAGCGACTCAGTCTTCAACCATCCAACACTTTTGGCTGTGGTTTACGATTTGCTAGTCTCGGAGATACCTAGTTTGGCTAAGTTTCATTTTACCTGCTCTTCCAGAGATACGTCTGCTGTGGAGGAATTTAGATGTGCACGTTGGTAGCAGTCAGTTCTGGTCAGACGTCAAGCTCTTGGCCGACCGGTGCTAACGAGACACCCTTTTTATACCCTCTCCACACTCTTTGCCAGGGCATCCTATCATGCCCCGACAGCTAAAGCTAATTAAATCATCAATCTCTAAGGGGAGAAATTAATTAAGCAGTTGTTATCACAGCCTTGCCAAGACTTGTCTAAGTCTTCAAATTTTCATAACCCGAGTAATATTTCAACTTGTCAACAGTACATCTGGCCATACCATGTCATGCACGATATACTGGTAGACTGCAAAGTTGTTCTACCCTGACCATTCAATAAACTCATCTCAACCATGCGTACCTTTTGGGAAAACAATACTAAATTATCAAGTAATTAATGAAGACTTCCCATTAATTATGCTCGTACATGGAAGTGGAGCAACTGTTTACCTCTCGGATTTTTTCGGGGGGAGGGGGGGGTAAAGCAAATTTGTCCCCAAAATTCCTTAACTTTTTCATTATATTTTCAATTTATCATTTTTTCAAGCTTAAGCAGGGGAGCATTTGCCCCCCCCCCCCCCCCCAGCAATATGGCTTCGCACCTTTTTTTTTTTTTCTTTTTTTTTTCTTTCTTTTTTCCTTTTTCCCTCGTTTTCCAGGGCGGTGGGGGCAAGCGTCCCCTCCCCTCCTCGACGCGCATGCATGTAGTCATATACACTCAATATCCCTTTGTTCCAAAACATTAATACATACAGTTGGTGCGAAAATAAGAACGGTACGACCCCCCCCCCCTCCCCTTTACCCGAACACACACACACACATCCAGGTTTGTTTATGGTGAAAATCGAGGATTTTCTATTGTTCCTCATTATCGATCTTTTGTTTACACTCTTGTAACTTCTTTGCATTAGCTCCCATTGATTTTATACACGCTTTGGTCGTCCTCGATTTGACTTCTGTCCTCGATTACTCGACGATGTGTGTCCTCGATTTACACCATAAACATGCACACACAGACTCAACTTCCCAGCCTGTTTCCAGACCTCAATGCGTGTTGAAATTCACGCTTCCAATGTTGGCCGCAGTTGGCGATCGGAAGACCATTATAACTTTGGATATGATTACCAATAGATAGCATTAAATTGCCTTTCCATGTCCTGACTGTGTTCTCTCTCTATACAGAAACATCATCGCATGCCAGTGGAGAAAAAAAATAAACAAAGTATTATCTGTCAAACAGCATCCTTATAAGGTACATTGTACATGATGTTTATGTCTGAGCGACATTGGATAGACACCTGCCAATGAAGTTTCACGAGTGAATTAATTTCCTGCGCACAGTCATGGCGGGACACAAATATGGGCGCACATCTCTGCACACATATGGCGTTAGCCACTAGTATAGGCTAATGTCAAAGCACTGTGCCAGCTGAATAACATCCGCCGAAGTACATGTACATGTAATCCCATTCCAAACATTAGGGCAGAGCTGATTCTTAAGCGAAGTTTATCCATTACTATAGAGCGCAAAGTGGTGTATTTAGTAACTTCAAATTACTATAGTAAGCAGTTGTATCCTGTACATGTGAAATAAAAGGAAAAAAAACACCAATCCTTCATTTGCTAATAAACACGCAAAACACAAATTGAATGCAATTGCAATTTTTAATGCTTCATGCAAGGCAAATCATGGCATGTTGTATACAATACCAATATGTTTGAAATAAATATACGTAAAATGAAAACAAAAATGGTCAAAGTATTTTTTAAATAAAATGAATTAAAAACTGCCACCAAAATCTATCAACCACCAAATTTAGAAGAAAAATAATTTTAAAATTTTAAATAAATAAATAAATAAGTCTATAAATAATTAACACTTTGGTCCCTTAAAAAAATGATGTGTTTGGTGCAAGCTGCAAGTTGAACGACAAGCAAGATTTTGCAAGACGACATTGGAACGTTCTGACAACTTGTATGCGTTGCAACTACCCTGGCTACAGCTGGCACATCTACAGTCATGAGTGAGTTATGTGAAAGAAAAGGAAGCAATGTGATTCACATCATTCGTAACATACTGCAAATCGATGACAAAAATCATGATGTAAAACATCATTTCAACCACTGGTCAACCAGTGGCGCACACAGGATTTGGATTGGGGGTGGCTCACAATTTATTTATTTTTTTAAATTTTAGTAGAGGTTAAAATGTTTTCAAAAACTTTTGCCTAAAATTTCTGGCCGCAGAGAATTTTTTTTTGGGGGGGGGAGGCCAACTATTTTGAGGTTGGTGGCGCCACTTACACCCTACTATACTACTCGAAAATAGGCCGCATACAAATCACCAAGGTCAAATCGTGGGACTAAAAAAAAAAAATGCCAAAAAATTAATATAAAACTAGAGGTTGAGGGAACAAACACACGGTGTTGGGCCATGGATTACCGAAAACTTTGCCACACACATCAACTCAATATGCATGTTTAAATCCATGTTTGACTTTTCAACATGCCGCCAGAGGGCGCTCTAACATTTGATGACGTCACCTGTAAAATTTTTGTACAGTGCTGCCTAGGCAGACACTCGAATCGTTGAAAGCAAGTTCGCATCTTCTGCCAATTTCAATTAATAAGGCACTTCCGGTTTTGACCGGAAGGAAGGGTCACTAGATTTTGCACTTAAAACCAAAAATGAAGACCCTGCAATATTTTATCGATTGCCATAAAGAACAAAATCAAATCTGTAGCAGTTGATTTTATATTGATTTTCAAAGATCAAATCTAGAAATCTTTGATTGCTTGTAATATGACACTTGATCACGTCATTGTGACGTCATTACCAGAAACCTCAAGAGCTATATTTACTGTGCTGTATACAACCAAATCTTGACTATATCTATCACGGCATATTTTCTAGCAATTTTTTAAGGTTTAAAGGTCTTTTTATTGTAACTTCTGGTCTGATGACGTAATCATTTTTTTTTCGCGCACAGGTGTTGTCTGCATTATGGTCATCATGTACATTAATTTTGAAGCGATTACCGCAAACTTCGCCACAGACATCAAGTGAAAATGCGTTTTTGACATTTTTTAACCTGCCGCTAGAGGGCGCTCCAACACTTCATGGCATCACCCATTATTTTTTTTGAAAGGTCAATCCAGGCAGACACTTAAATCGTTAAAAGCAAGCTCATATCTTTTTCCACTTTTAAATTATTAGGCACTTCCGGTTTCGACAGGAAAAAGGGCCACGTGATTTTACGCGCACAGGATAAAATGAAGATCATGTATTACCATGTCGATTCCCAATTTCAGGTTCCGGTCTCTCACGGTTGATTTTATATGGAATTTCAAAAATTAAATTTATTAAACTTTCAAGTGACGTCACGTGACCCATGATGACGTCATGATGACGTAATTGCAAAAAACCACATCTGCGGTGGATTGGGCATTCATGTATTGACAAATGAAGTTCATATATGTTTCCATTTTTCCAAACAGTTCTGGAGAAGGATTTGCTGAGAATATGCGGAGAAGAACAAAAACAGTAAATTCTTACAAAACCAATAGGTGTTGGGCTCAAGGCCCAACACCTAAAAAGAGGACGTCTTGGGTGCACCAATGTGGTCAACAAATCATGTACATTACTATTCTCTCATATTGAGTTGTTCGTCCCATTCATTGTTTGGATAGCCGACAGAGGGGGCTATTTATTTGTACAGCGCTCACTATGGATACGCACTTTTAGCCAATCAGGAGTACGCGCGTATCACGCGCGCGATCGATCGATATCAACGCGACGTGTGCACGTAGCTGGATTGTGCATGTAAACAGACGGAAATTCGAGACAAAACCATGTTCTTTTACACAAATCTGAACGATCCATATATTCCTAGACAATGTACTTGTAAAATAGGACCTACACAGCCTTCTTGGAAAGCCGGCGAACAAATTGACAACACGGAAAGTGCATTAATTTCCAATAAATGTGAGTGTTTGTCGACCGTTTCATTGTTTCCAGTGACCGTTACCATGCATCAGTTTTGCGTATGTCGTCATATGATAATTCCATTATACTTCAGGGAGGATAGTATTACCTGAAGCGCGCAAACTCAGGCCTAGCCTAAAGGCCTGATAACAAAAAAAACAGGCCCTAGACCTATGAACAACTTTGAAAATGTTACACATCGTGGAGCATGCAAGATTATCTAAATTTAACTTTATGTAGAAATAGTTGGCAGTATTATTTTCTAAAAATAAAACCTTGAAAGAAATGAAACAGTCCAGTTGACCAAATATGGTAACGGAATTCCCCGTGGCGTACCGCTACCAAAGTTGAAACGCTGAACTTCTGAAGTTCTTTTGAAAGTAAAAAGTACTAACACAAAATTTTCATACTGAACTTTTATTAAAATATAATTTGGATAGTTATGAACTATTCTTTCATATTCCGAGTGAGCAAATTGCATAACAAGGTTCAATGGGACACGGCACGTCGCGAAAGAGCAGTGTTGTGATTCGCTTGAACGAAGACCCATAGAGAATGCGCGTATTTCGGTTGTAACATGCATGTCGAACTTCAAACATAAAAGTACTTACACAAAATTTTCCGAGTTTGAAACGATATTTTCACGACATGATCTTGAATAAATGTAGTTTCAGATACCGAGTGAGCAAATTGTGCCAAGTACTTCAAATGAGTGGTATAGAGTGATTTCAAATGACACAGCGTACTCAGCATCAAATTCTACACGCATTTCTCTGTTCTGCCGTTGGCGGCGCCCCAATGAGACGCTTCAACTCAATATGTATGACAAAGAAGAGTTTGGCAGCAGGTCACTGACATAATTTACGATATAAGTGAATGTTAGGTAAAGAGACTTGCACATATTGCTTTTGGCACATACATCAATTGATAGTGGTTTCTAACAGAAAAAACAATCTCTAAGAACTGAAATGTTAAATAAAAAGAAAAAAAGAACACTTTTAACACAAACAATTTTGTTACCATAAACTAAATTTTGGAATCACTGATAAAACCCAACACCATATAAGGCATTAAAATGTTCATGCAAAAAATATTGGCATAAATGTAAAAGAAAGTCTTAACACTCAGCTGTCCTTTCAATTTGTAGGGTTCGTGTGTTCCAAACATCATTTGGTTTCCACTCACTTCTCTGACCAAGATTTGAGAAGAGACTACTCCTGTTACTGCCTGATCAATCCTGGAGAGGAGACTACCGACATGAAATCACGACGACTGACCCCGTCAGAGGTCATAGCACGGGTCTGAAGACAGCCTTGCTTGCAGATGGAGGAGTTGTCACTCGAGGAGCAGACAAACACATTGCAATGGACGTACACCTACAATCAATAACAAGATTGCTCTGTTAGGTACGTTTTCAAGTAATCACAGTTGTGCTGTTTTTTAGCCTCTAGTTTCAAAGATAGCAATTTTCAGGAAAATATTTTTTCGGACCTGATGAGAATATTGGTAATAATGGAACAGTAAGTGGTTTGACCTTACCTTTTTTTAAAATAATATATGTTGTACTTAGAAAAGTTAGAAATTGATATTAATCTTTCTTTTTTTTTAGTACTGTTGCTGTGTCACATGAGATAAAAAAAAAATATCAAAATTGTATCCAACAGCAAGTCATTGAAAAGAGGAGATGAGCATCAGCCATATACTTTCTCCTAATATTTCACTTAGATACAGGGATAAAGAGCAGCCAGTGTGTTGGTATCAGTATGACCCGATGATACAGCCAAGGTCAACTTGCTTGAAGTACTTACAAACACACAAATAGCCAATGGTAGAATGTTAAAGGTGCATAGGAAGTTAGCAACCCATGCAATTTCAGAAAGTTTCAAGGCATTGTCTATCTTCATAATTATACATGTATAAGTTCAGGTCTTCTGTCTAGGAGTCCGGTGGCTCAAAAAGCACTAAAAAGTCCCAAGCTTCAATCAACAGACATCTGCATTGTGCAATTGTCTTTTCAGTGCAGCACACCTGCCACAAAAGTCAATCAGATTTTAAATCTAATAAACGGCAAGTTTCTTGTAGAAACTGCGAGTCAATGTATAGACAAACTTACCGTATCACGGATCCGCCAGCCAAGGAAGGCAAAGGCATCAACAGAGAAGCGAACCTTGTTGGAAACACCTGTTTCATGGACTGTCAGCGTGTTATCTTGTATGCACCTGCGATAATAAACACGACAGGAACTCTTTAAACTGACAGGTCATTTCCATAAAGCTATATAAAATTACTACCATGTAGATCATTAACTCCTCATTTTCTCGCATGTCTTTGCATGTCCAGATGATATATCTGAATGAGGTTCATTCAAATTTTATTGTTCAACATATTAGACTTGCATGCTGTAAACATTTTTGCTTCTAATAATCCCTCATCTTCCAGCCCTTTTGAATCTGCATGTAAATGTGAACAACAAGCTTTATTCAGTACAATAGTACTCTGATTTCATACTCACCCGCCTTTGATCAATTCATGACGAGGCCAGTTATAAGGATTTTCGGAAGTCGTGGCCCAGCAGGATTGGAAGAAAGCATCACATTGACGGTTATCACAACTGGCCTCTCCCTCAAAGTACAGCCTGGTGTCAAATGGCACTTTGAGTGGCTTCGAGAGCTCGCCATATGCCTGGTCGTAGTTTGCATTGAAGAGCTTCAGTGTGGTATCTGCCAGGTTATCCAAGAAGTCAGCCCTGCCATTGAACTCTTCATGGCCGATGGTTCCTGGGCTAGGATCAAATGTCAGGGTTTTGGTGGTCTTGGCGGGGATGCTGCAGGAGAAGTGAATTTCGCGGTGGGGGACTCGGGTGACTTTAGTTCCTGCTGGGCTGTATGGCGCTTCAGGGATGTAGATAGTGTTACTGTACATATAATCTGTCCCGTTACGCTGTCAAATCAATGTTAAAATGGAGGACTATGAGCTATTAACATAGTTAAATTGAGCAGAACACCACAGCAGCAATGCCATGATTTGTGAATCCAGAAAGCACAGCATTGAGGATGTTGTCTGAGTTCAAGACATTCAACAAAGTATAAGCAGCAAGATTTGATCACTGTTGCACAGTGGAGATTACTGTTTAAGTATTTTAATTTACTAGCGACGTAAATAGGATTAAACTTCTAGGCTGCACCTGGGGGTGCACCAATTTTTTAAAGGAGACACTGAAGGCAACTGATATTTTATGTGCAGTTCAAGATTTTATATGGAGGGGGAGCGGGACCCGGGGGTATGGCCCTCTGCTTCAAACAGAATTTTAGTGTGTTTTTGGTCTCAACATGATCAAAAATTACTGATAGTGATTATCTGAGATATCACAAAAAATAGCAGGGAGATTTGGGTACATATCAGTGAAGCCTGTACCCCCCCCCCCCTCCCATCCACAAAGAAACATTGTGCTAGCTGTTTATCGGACCAATACTAGCTTGCACAATGCTTGAGCCATAACTTGCAAGGGGTGCAATCTGTAAATGTAGAATTTAGTGATTCTGCGCCCAGATTGGTCAATATTACATTCTTACCTGAAATGTTGTGCCACACAAGCCGTAGGAGGTCCAGACATAATAGTGGGTATCATTGAAATTGACACCCTGGCATTGTGGGTCACGCAGGTGCATTATCTCCGGACCGTAGTCCCCCAGATCCAACAAGAGTTTGGGAAGGAACATAGTCATGGAGGAGACACTGCAAACAGGTTTCAGTATTACAAATGTAGGCTCAGCTGGAAAGATGGATGGTTCACAAAAAAATTGTCAAACACTTAATTTTTTTAATGCTAAAAAAAGGGAAGGATCGACAGCACATCAATTGACACAAAGGGGCACTGTTATTTTCACCAGGCAACACAACTTCAATACTTACGAACTCCAGTAACAAAGCTCCACTCTGAGGGTTTGGATTTCACTGAGCATTTCTTGTCGTTGCTCTGTACCACTCCTTCATCCAGTGAGATAGTGTACTCAGCCTCATACTCCAAGTACACATCCTGACTGTTAGGAAAGGTGAGTGTTTCACCAACAATCTCAGCATCGGGTCCCGTTGCATCTACACGCCAGACCACGTCATTGTTGGAGTCACGAAGGGTCACGTAAGCTGGGCTGAACACACCTTTGCGAATCTGTCAGGCAAATCAATCCCAATATCTTCATCAACAGGTGCTCATTTCCCACAAATCTGACCATTTACCGATAATGGGCTGTAAATTGCACAAGTTGATTTTGCAAAATTAATTTGTTGGCTGTTTTTACATTTTCTGAAAACAATAAAGTTTGAAGCAATCCTAAGTTCTAAAAAAAAGGTGTAATTGACAATCCACACCCCCCCCCAAAAAAAAATGTTTAAAAATACAAAATATATGCATTTATTTCATTAGACAAATCTTCAAGCTGAAACTTTGTACTGAAGTCATTGGTTCAAACAGGAAACTACACACAAAACGAGATCAGCTGATGTGAGGCAAAGTTCCATGCAATTTCTAGCAACTTTAAAATGTTAGCAAGTTTAATGAGACTTCAAAGTTAATTTTAGTGTGATTTTCACAGCTTGTTTCCTACCGTCCTGTCAAATTTGATGGCCCAATTAGGAACGATGGCTTCAGCCTCTTGGTCGCCCTTGGCCGGAATAGAGTTTGCTTGATCCACTCTCAGTGCTGGTGGTTCTGAAGAGTACAGCAAATGTCTCATTAAAGTGTGAATTATTTCCGTTTCAAAGTTATTTTAAATTTTGAATATTAGTTTCTTGGTACGCTTTCTTTTTGTCTGGGGTCTGCTTTATTATATTCTACTTTCTGATTTTGTGGCTTTTTTTTACATGTTGTGTATCCTCTTGTACCAGAACACCCAAGTATAGCCCGTATATTTGGGTATCAGCCTAATGTCATACCAGGATTTCAGGTCTCTCTTATCTTGAGATATAATCTCCTTAGGGCAGTTTATCACCATTATTGCTTGTCTGAATGACTTGGTGGGCGTGCCTGAATCCTTCTTCACTCAGTGGCCTAAATGCACGTGGAGTTTTCATAAATTTAATATCCAAAGTTATATTTGTTTTGTCCAGTAATGAAACCATGTTTTTTTTTTATCGTTTACATTGATGCACAAACAACAATAGATCCTAAAAGTGTCACACTGTAAGTGTGGACACTGCAGAGCACGATTTAATTAACGTATGCCTGAACTGCAGAGTGCGAGAGTGGAATAGCTTCCTGTGATATAACTTATTACCTTAAGAGATTAACCAAATAATGTTACACTTGACTCAGTCAAAGATAGACATCGAAAATCCTGGTATGAAAAGGGCCCAGGTTTTTAAAGGGAAATCACCGCATGATTTGTGAGGGGATAGTTCAATATACCATATTCATTAAGGAGGTATCAGTGGGCAACGGTTGTGTCGCTATGACAGGCATGACCAAATCTTGTGTGCATTCATTGTTGATAAATTACAAAAATAAGGAACACCCCATGAGATACCAACAAGGCATCAAACATAAAAACATCTTATAAGTCTCAGGGCTCTTGTCCTTCTACTCAATCTACTGACTACAAAACAAATATCACTTGTCATCCACGTCACTTAAGACTGACAAATTTCTCTTACCTGTCTGAACAACATTGACGGTGAAACAGGACTGTGAGCTGATGAACCTGTGGACAGAAACAAAGACGAAGGTTTGAGCTTCCATCATCATGCCTTAAAAACATTCTTGATAGTTTGTTTAATGTCAAAATTATGTTCAAAGGAGTGAAGGGGATTCTGACGAATAACCAGGTGCCAAATACTTCATGGAATTGCTCAGCACATGTATATGCTAAGCGCAGAGAAATAGTTGCTTACAAGAAACAGGTTACCAGTCATAATAAGGCATCCCTTTTTAATTCTATGGTTCTTGAATTTCTTATCTGGAAAAAAAAGTAAAACCATCAGGATAATCTGTCCAATTTCATTGAAAACATTAATGCCAAAGTTATGAACAATATTTTACGTGCGTGCATTCACAGCGGTACAGCATGGTACATATTGAGATGAGGTACTGTGCATGTGCTAACACCACGCTCAGTGTTTTTACTACATGTACGATGTTTGCACCCTGTTGGGGACGAACGCTGCATGCTGCATCAGGAGCAACGACTGTATTCAGTTTGTTCAAGTTCTTACCAAGCACTGTATTTGTCATCGACATGTGAGTGAAATTACAAGTAAATTTTAAACACTTTTAAGTTAAAAGAAAAAATATAGTGATGTGGTTATTAAGTTGCCAAGGATTAGTTTTTGTCATTTCATTTCACTTATGCAAAAAAGTTGTCTTTTTTGTTTATTTGAAAATTATACACAATGTGTTTCAGCAAGAAAAACAGGTATAGCAAAACAGGAATCTCAAATTACAATTCACCGGTCCACATTTCTATTTTTAGTTTGCCAAAGATGATTTACGTTTTGTTCATTATATTTATCACGCTGGAAGTTGCCAAAGACAGGTTCGTTTGATATTTGTGTAACACTCCTGAAAATAAAAGCAAATTCAGGACATTTTTATACAGCGTTTTGTGCATTCAACATGTACTTTTATTTTATCCAACACTTTTTTTCCGACCGACTGACCCTCCTTCAAGGCCAAAAACTATGAGGACAAAAGGGACGCCCATATCATGCAATGGTTAATACCAGTGACTAGTTATCAGCTGAACTCTGCTTAGCACATAACTTTGCTAAGTAGTATTTCATGCTTAGTAGCTTATTGAATTATGGCCTTAGTGACATTTTGGAGAAGACAAGGATAACTATAGCTCCTATCAATTGTATGCTGATGTGAAATGTCTGGACAATTGTTTGAAATGTTACCTCTCGTCTTCATATGCCAACACACATATTGTGTAAGTCTTCAGTTTCCTTGGCATAAAAGTGAAGATGATGTCATAGTCCGAGTCCGTTCCAGAAACCTTACTGGGCGCATCTGTTGGATAACCCTGCACATCTATGCTGGTGATTCTGTTGTCAAAAAAAAAATTCAGTTAGATATCACAGGTTTTTCAAACTACATGTTTGTATTTCAATTTTTTTTTGCTCCAGAAAAAAGTCTCTAAAATGGTTAACTTTCTGCAATCCCTCTTGTCTTTCAGCAACAGATATTCATGGAGTCCACAGGAACACAAAGTCCTTGCAAGGGTCATGGTTGGTGTATTTTCATCAGCTTTGAACATGACAGGATTCTTAAGAATCTTAGATGGAGACAAAGCCCATGCTGGGGAATTGAGGTATTTTAAATCCCAACATAAAAGATTAGAGTACCTGTAATTAGGAGCTGTAGCCGTGGCAACAATTCTCATTTGAAATTCTTCTCCCAAAACGTGAGCAAAGCACATTCTAGGAACATGCAGCTGTGGCTGTCTGCAATCTCCTTCGTAATGGAATACATCCATCAGGAAGTGTACAGGAGTCTTACTCATTGGCTTCTTGAGTTTGTTAGGAGCAAAGTCCTCCAACATGACCATGAAAGCGTAGGTACCAGGAGGGATCGTTTCCTCCTCTCCAAACGTCAAATCACAAGATTCCTGTGTTAAAGTTAAATTGAAGAAGGACTTTGGATTGCTAGAAGCATAACACAACTAACCAACCAATCAATGCAAACAACCAGCCGGACAAAAATAGCCAGCCAGCCAGAAAACCAGCCAATGACAGTCAACCAGCTGGCCAGAAAACCAGCCACCAAACAAGCAAGCTAACTAACCAGCCAGCAACACAGCCAGTCAATCAGTCAACCAGCAAACCTGCCAGCCATTAACCAACCAACCAGTCGATCCACCTGCCAACCAGCCAGCCAACCAGCTATCAAACCAGTTAATCAATCAACCAGCCAACAAACCAGCCAGCAAACCAGCCAGCCAGCAAGCCAGGGAGCAAGCCAGCCAACCAGCCAACCAGTCAACTCGATAGGCAACAAACCAGCCAGTCAACAACCAGCCAGCTAAGCAATCAGCTAACCTGCCAGTCAACCTGCCGGTCAGTAAGCAAACCAGTTAGCTAGTTAACAACCCAGCAAACAACTTTTTCCAAAAGTAAATCACAAATATTACTTTAAATAGATATCTTTATTTCAAAATTCATATAAAAGTGAACGAGCGACACTCTCACCTTATCCAGACTTGCTACTGGTTTCTTTCTTCCTTCGTCAAAATAAGTTACTCCACAAATATCCAAGGCATTCACATTGCATTCGTTCTTCTTCTTGCTAGCCCATCTGCACTTTACTACGTCATTGTTGGCGTCATCATCTGAACAATTAGTATAAGAAAATGATCACATATGATCAATAAATGACCAAAATGGCACTACTGAAAAAGTGTGTTTTTTATGTCTGTAAATATGGTATGAACCTTACAGGAATCAACTTTTAATTATTTGTTTAATTCATTAGAATTGCTTCAGACCTTGCAAACGATTCTATACTTTGAATTTGCTTCTCCTAACTTTGTCTCACAAATAGATGTGATTTCAACCAGTGCTGTACAATATTGAAGGATGCAAACATTTCAGTAACAAGTCCAAGCCAGATGAGTATAGATAAAAAATGTAACTACTGACGGTTCAAGGAATACGCTGGGTGGCTGACTAAAAATGCTTCGAAGTCAACACCTTACTTTTATTAACAGTAAAAGTGCTGGATTTCTTTGGATGAAAGCAAAAATGATTAAATCTCTCTCACTATTGGAGACTCGTTAGATGTGTAGGATTAAAGCATCAAATTTGCTCCCAGCTGTGCAATAAACTCATGATCAATTTCATGAAGCATTAATTGGTGTATCTGCGTAACGTTTTAATTAATTCAAACATCTGGAGCAAGAAGCACAACAGCATTCATGATAGCTGTTTGTGTTTTATTTTTATGTTCGGTCACAAAACAGTCATTGAATCGTAATAAATTCCATAAATTGTGGCTCTAGTGGAGTTACGCCATTAAAAGTTTTGAGAAATCGGCTGCTGTTCAGAGTTCAGAAGCCTAAACAGACATAGGGAGAAAAAAGTGATGAATAAGTGTTAAGATTTAGAAGTGCAAGGAAATCTCTACAGTGATATTCCAAAGAAAGCCCATTGAATCAGGCGGGAACAGAACCTATAGCTCAATCCATATTTTGGCCAGGGTGGATATCGAACCTGGGCCACAGAGTTGTAACACAGTGACTAATTGACTAACCTGACATTTCTGCATTCTTAGTTAAACTTATATAAACTTCAAGGAACGAAGGTTGGCACAGAACGTACTTGCAATACGCATACTGTAGGTACAACCAGACATGATGGCATATTTGGCAAATGTTTTGCTCTGGGGAGGGGAGTTGATGGAGACGCCATCTTTGTGGGCAATGTTGATGGTAGACGCCAGGTTCCAGCCCTTCCCAGTTCCAATGTCTCCGCCATTGTTCCCAATACCATCGATCCAACAGCATTCCGTATATCTGTCACATAACCAAATAAAGATTCAATGCATAATCTGAAAGGTAATATACATAGAACAACATTTGCAAACATTAACCTTAAAAAACAAAACTACAAAACTACCAAATTAATATGATAGCCTCAAGCATCCTGCAAAATCATGGCACCTGGTGTGCTGTCATTTTCAAGAAATTCATCAAACTTAGTCAGTCCACATTTTGTTTGCAATTGGTTTCACATTCTGATTATGAAAGGAAAGGTTCCATGAATTAACAGAGGACATTGACCATGTTGACTGAATTTATGTTTATTTTTGATGAGTGCAGATTCAAGAGATACTATTTTTGGTAAATAATTGTTAACATGTAAAAACATGAATCTCATTAATCCATTCATTCATGCGTGTCACTAATTAGATGACGAGGTAAAGAGCTATTTAAAACACGTAGACTTTCACAATACAAGGCCAAGAAGGCCAGAACATGTAAAAATAGAGCAATGACGTGGATAAATCTGGCATTCAAATCTAATCAATTCTGTAGTGCACTCACGATATCTGTGCAGTTGATTCACCTGGTGGCAATGTGTACGTCAAGTTGTAATATCCAGTTGCTGTTTGCTTTACCGGGTCCAACTTCACGCAGTAATAGTCAGCAAACATCTTGTCATTACCAACGATAAACTGACCACCAGTGCGAAGTTTCTGCCGGTGGAAGATTTAAAAACAATGTTATCTTTGTGCACTGGACTGAAGTACTGTGCTTACACGACTGCCTACAATTTAGGCCAACTGAAAACAAAATACCAGTTGATCAGTTTTTCCCAAAAAGGAGGACCTTATTTTTTTTTTTTTTAATGACAAGATGGCTGTTGGTACTTTTTACATTCAATTTCAACAACTGCCCATTTCTCAATCTGAACATGCATGTGCATCACTGGGTGTAGAAACGAAACACGCATGATGGAATGGATTTTAATAAAGTGATTGGTCGATTTTTGGCAAAGTTGAATAAATCGGCCAATGAGAGGATAATTTGTTTGGGTCACGTAAGATTTGTGGGTCGAAGGTCAAATCCGTTTATTGAACAAACGCATGGTATCATGGTAGTCACAGAGACTATCAATAATATTGCATCACCTAAAATTCTCAACTGTTTCGGTTTATTTCGGTTTTTCAAAAGATGGCTAAACCGACCCGAACCGAAAATGCGAAACAGAAACCGACCCGACCCGACTGAAAAGATGGACAAACCGACCCGACCCGATCCGAAGTCGGTTTCGGGTCGACCGTCGGGTCGGTTTCGGGTCGGGTTTGCATATCATTAGCTCCCATTAGGTTAAGAATTCTCAAGCCTTATGGCCTCACTGAGGTCACCTCAAGCTCCAACCTAAAGGATTTTTTGAGAGTTTTAAGGGGTACAAATTGCAACATCTTGCAACATCCACTGACATTTGTAGAAGAAAAAAGTGGAGGGAAAAAAACGTGTCGCGGCACAACTTTAGGGGCAAGCTCCATACCAGAAACCACAGACTTTTTTTGGCCTAATGCTCAGCCTGGGTACTTTTGATCGGAACTTTCCAGTGGTGAATTGGCTTAAAATCCATGAAAAGGAGATTCAATTCTGACTAGTCCGCACAGAAAAGCCACTAAATAGTACAGACGTGATGTAATTTGCACGACTGCAAGGTCTAGTGACCTTACCTTGTGTGTCCTAATGCTTTCTTCAGTGCACTGATGGTGGGTGCCAGAATTCCTCCGTGCATCAAAGTTTAACTCAAAATCAACAGTTATCTGGAAAAAAAGTAATTGGCATAATTAGTGACTAGTAAAACAATGTAATTAACAAACCTTGTCATTCCTGGTACTTGACATACCTCTAGTTTTTGTCATTACAATACAGAATATTTATAAATGCGTCAGGATACATTACTACAATCTATCTCAAATGATAGACCTTCAAATTGGTGGAAAAAATCTCAAAAGAAGTTTGATTGTGAACACTTGAATTAATTCAATGTCATCAAATGATCCGTAACAAAGCCAATAGAATTTTGGGTCTGCTTCGTAGAAACATCTACAGCTGCTCTTCAGATGTAAAAGACTTAGCATATAAGGCATTTGTTCGTCCAAGACTTGAGTATTGTAACGCAGTTTGGGACTCCCACCATGGAACTCACAACCACCATTGAAAGAGTGCAACGGAGAGCGGCTCGCTTCGTCACTTAAGATTACAGTAGGGAAAATAGTGCAACTGTCCCAGTGGAAAACTTGGAATGGGACACCCTAGAGGATCGTCGTACAAAAGCCAGACTCACAACAATTTATAAGGAAACCAATGGTTTGATCCCAAGCAACATTGAAGAGTTTCGTCACAATGACTCACACCACTCGATGTCGTATGAATGGAAAGTGCTCATGTAGAACACCTAGATTTAATAAAGATTGTCTTCAGTTTTCACTGTATATAGATCTATCCCAGAGTGGAATCTCATCCCAGAAGATATCTGCTCCACACCAGACCTCAATGTCAGGAATCTAGTTAGCCGATTTAGTATCTAAGCTCATTCCTTTAATGTTGTTGTTGTAGTACCATTCATTCATATTGTGAGGTCAAACTGATGATGTACGACGCGCCAGCAAAACCAACCAATCAGAGCGTGAATTCATCAGAGTATCCCTGCGTCCTGTTTGCAGGGCCAGGGCGGGGGGGGGGGGGGGGGGGGTACGAGCGAACTCATCCCATAGCTCATTAGATCATGCACATCACATTATGTGCAGCATCTACAAAAATGTACGGGAAGCTGTGGGAGGGGAGAATGGGGGCGTCCCCTCCGTGAAAACTCCGCGTTCAGTACTTGAATGAGACCCAAAAAAACTTGAGCTTTTGACAAAATTAAGAACGTGGGTACATTCCCCTTCAGAAAATCCAAGGCTCCCTTTCCAAAAAAGTTCGTGCAAAGCAAAGCAGAGAGAAGACTAAACCCACAACAATAGGCTCAGTCTGCGGCGCAATTATGGGTTACTACCTGTACCTGGGGTGCACAATTGTTTTCAAGATGGGGGGGGGGACTGAAGGCAAATTATATTTGGGGTTTGAATTACTGAGTTATTCGCGAGCGGGAAGCCAACCGGCCGCGGGGCACGCGGACCGTATCACGCTAGTGGGTTGTTTCTTTCAATAGAGGACGTTGAACAATAGAGGACAACTTCCTCGAACTCCCGAGAGGTCCCCAATTTGGATTCGTGTACAAAACATATGTCTTACTTAAGAGGGACAATATAAATAGGGGGTCCCCGATTGCAGGGGGCCGGGGTATGACCCTATGCGGCCCCCGGTTAGTACGCCACTGAGTGGCACCTTAAGAGTAACTTGTAGGAGCGATCATAGTTTCGCCTGTAACTTTCCCGCGATCGCTTGTACCATGAAGGAAATGCTTGTACCCACGTAAGTTGACTTTGACGCTGAATTAAAAGTTATTGTATTGACTGTGTTTACGCCAATGGTTAATGGTAGGGATGGGGAAAGGTATACAACTTAGGAAACTCACCTCTCTAGGATTATCCGGGTTACGAGCCTCCCAAAAGACCGTTCCGCCTTCGTAATAGCCCAAAGTCCCTTCAGTCAACACACTGCCCGCCATCAGCAGCAAAGCTACTAAAAAGCAATCTCGAAGCATCGTGTCCTAGGAGGGAATGTGGCGACCGAGACCGACAATAATGACAGTCCTTTGCTATGGCATAATCCTCAAAACAAAAACTCTTCAACTTCAATGGAAGCATTTGATGTAATGAAATAATCCAGTGAGTCACCGTGATATAAATGCCACTCCAAAAAAAATTCCACATATAAGTTAATGTAAAAATCAAATTATTTCATACGTGCAAACATTGAAAAGTGAACGTGAAGGACAAAAATGCGTTGGCGCGCATTGGGGTGCGCATGGCCGCTCCTACAGACTGGTGCATGTTTTGGCGATATTATTAAGGAAATAAATGTGTGCTCCGGAGGTTTTTATCACTCTGTTTAATACCACTTAGAGTCTGGGTGCTGATAATTACCCGAGCCGGAGGCGAGGGTAATTATCAGCACCCAGACTCTAAGTGGTATTAAACAGAGTGATAAATACCGACGGAGTACATATTTATTCCCATTCATAAATACCTTTTCGGTAAAAAAACATCTTATAATTCGTTCAAAACATCCCGATTTTGTTCAACAAATTCACTTTATGCTTTTTGAATCATCCCTCCTGTAAAATAATGGAGTGTTCAGCTGGCGAGTAAGATGAAAACAACCCTTTTATGGAGATTGACGCGCGCGTATCATGTTCTATGCGATGTCGCGCAGAACGCACCTGGCGCGTTGCGTTTTGAATTTAGAACTATAAAATTCTAACTCCCTGGTAGTGTTGCGCATGCCTACGTGAGGATTGTGAACGTTCAACCAATGAAACGATAAGAGGCACTGGATTTTTAGGAGTCCACATTTTATTGTGACACTGGAAAAGTGTTTAAGACCAGCTAGCCATGTCTTTATCATCCGTTTAATACCGGCCACGTGACGGGCTCTCGACCAATAGGAATGGCTAAACTGTCTGAGGTATTTGTGAATTATAAATAAATAAATAAACAAAACCAAACAAATAAATTTTAAAAAATAAAGAATTGGGTGGTACCCATTTCCCTGTACTCAGGGCCATATGGTGGTGGGAGTGGGGAGGCACTAATGCATTAAGGATCCAGGCGCACTGTAGTGAGTTGTGACAAGGTTGTTCAGTATCATAAACTATAATTCATAAATACCTCAGACAGTTTAGAGGTATTTGAGCCCAAAGCGTAGCAAAGCTTTTCAACTGCATGACGGATGGACTTCCCGAGAAAAGTGCCATAAAATAAAAACGGTTCTGGAGAATTCCCTTTGACTACAACCCAATACGCCTTTGCTATGAGCCAGCGTGATAGCTTTAGGAACTCAACTTATAGGTACCTTTTTACCCGCTTGCAGTGATGTCTGTGGCTGGCGAAAGACTTGCCCAAGTAAAGAACCGACGAACCAGCACAGGAGTTGTGTAGCACGAGATGTAAGCTCTTCGATGTAAGTCGTGGTGGCCGATTGGTGTTGATGAGGCACCCTTTATAGTCTCTCTGCTATCAAGCCTCGTCAATTAAGGTTTATTAATTCGTCGATCTTTTAAGATGAGAAAATTAATTAGGCAGTAGTTACCTTAGACCGTTCCCTCAGTTATCGAGAAGTCTTTTGATACTTAATCCAGAGTAAGTTACATTACAGATGTCATCTGGTTTTGTCATGACAATGATACCTGTAGATTTCAAAGCCTACTCTGTCTAGATCATTATTCCACAACCATGCCTACATTTGGGAAAAACAACGCCGGAGAGCTAAAGTACGAAGGCCCTGTAGTGCCATTAAGTATATATTTTGTCCAAGTTCGTTTTTATGAGATACATTTTACCCAAAGTTCGTTTTTACGAGATACATTTTGTCGAAGTTCGTTTATATGAGATACATTTTACCCAAAGTTCGTTTTTACGAGATACATTTTGTCGAAGTTCGTTTATATGAGATACATTTAACCCAAAGTTCGTTTTTACGAGATACATTTTGTCGAAGTTCGTTTTTATGAGATTTTCTTGTGTGCAAAGTGTCACGTGCGCGTTGGCGTTCATCACTTGTTATTCTGTGAGGACAAGCGAGTTCTGGATCGATCCTAGGCCTAGCTCACAGTACAGGCCCCTGAGGCACGCGGGAACGAAGCAAAGTTCAATTTGCTGTATATTCAGTCCGGAGTCCCTAAAGGGACATCCAAATTATTTTTTTTTATCTCGTGCGCACGACATAATATCTCGTGCGCACGACATATATCTCGTGTGCACGACATAATTATCTCGTGCGCACGACATAATATCTCGTGCGCACGACATCATATCTCGTGCGCACGAGATATATGTCGTGCGCACGAGATATATGTCGTGCGCACGAGATAATTATGTCGTGCGCACGAGATATATGTCGTGCGCACGAGATAAAAAAAAATTTGGATGTCCCTTTAGGGGCTCCGTAGAACTTCGACAAAATGTATCTCGTAAAAACGAACTTTGGTTAAAATGTATCTCATAAAAACGAACTTCGACAAAATGTATCTCGTAAAAACGAACTTTGGGTAAAATGTATCTCATAAAAACGAACTTCGACAAAATGTATCTCGTAAAAACGAACTTTGGGTAAAATGTATCTCATAAAAACGAACTTTGGGAAAAATATATCTCATAAAAACGAACTTGGACAAAATATATACTTGATGGCACTACAGGGCTTTCGTACTAAAGTACCCATAAGGAAGGTTTACCGTGTGTGTGTTGATGGAGCTGTTTACCACTCAGGCTACGGAAACGATATTGTTTATTCCAAAACAACAGTTGAAATTACGGAATGTGATCCCTTTGATCGCGTTATTATTTCAATGATGACGGGCGAAAAATAGTCTTACTATCACGACGGGTGGCCACACTTGGTCTGTACTTTTTCGTCTTCTATCAAAGCTGGCAATACACGATGATTAAACTGAATTCGGACAACCGCGCACAGAAAAAAAAAACAGAAAAAGAAAACAAAATAAATATCTAATTCCGGCATTCATCAGTTCCCTAAAAGAAGTTCCCTATATGCCACTTATCAAACCATTTTCTGCATAAAGACAACGATGAACGCCTTTATAGACAGCAAAACAGGAACGGCAAAATCGACAAGAATTTGAAAACTAAGTCCTTCACAAGCACTCCAACTTATCGCACCCCTGGATTTCTCCTGTTTTCGTTTGTATCTGTTAATAGTACACGACACATAATCGAATCTGCTTCACCGCACGCGATGGTGCCGAATTACCTGCAATAAGGACTAAAATGTGGTTAATTAACGAACACTAGACGTGATTTTTAAGATCTTATAGCAAATTGATTGTCTTTCCATACCATAAGGTTCTTCACTGACACGGATACATTGCAAGCCGGTGGAAAATATATAATAAATAACGTATCATCTGTCCAGTAATTAGGCCTTATTTTTCACCAGGCACGCTAGGCGTATTTAATATTACTTTTTGAACAGAAGAGGTCTGCCAGCAAGGGATATATTAAAAAAGAAGTAATGTTCTTTCCAACAATTTTAGTCGACGGTCTCCAAATGTTTGTTTCCGAATGTGAAGTTATTTGGCCAAAATGTCTTTTCCCATCTGTATTCATAATGTACTTCAGAAACTCATGCTTGTTTACATTAACAAAAAAGCGGGATGTAATCCTTCTTTTGTAACACTCCCATATGTATTTATTGACCAAAATAAGAATAAAAAACAGAAAGAATTGCTGTCAAACACAAGTGCTTTCCAAACAATACTGTTCAAAGTACGACTATCAAAATCTGTGGGAGAATGTGATTAGTTTGTTAATTTGTTCACATTTTCCAAAGAAAATAGAGACAGCAAATAATCCAAAAAACATTGTCAGTATTAAATACGTACCTGTGCATACAACTACAAGTAATACCTTAAAATAAATATGGCTGTACATGTATATGTTAATACAAAACATGTTAAACCGCGCACAGAAAAAAAAACAGAAAAAGAAAACAAAATAAATATCTAATTCCGGCATTCATCAGTTCCCTAAAAGAAGTTCCCTATATAACACTTATCAAACCATTTTCTGCATAAAGACAACGATGAACGCCTTTATAGACAGCAAAAACATGAACGGCAAAATCGACAAGAATTTGAAAACAAAGTCCTTCACAAGCACTCTGCTCATTGTCACACACCTGGATTTCTCATGTTTTCGTTTGTATCTGTTAATAGTACACGACACATAATCGAATCTGCTTCACCGCACGCGATGGTGCCGAATTACCTGCAATAAGGACTAAAATGTGGTTAATTAACGAACACTAGACGTGATTTTTAAGATCTTATAAGAAATTGATTGTCTTTCCATACCATAAGGTTCTTCACTGACACGGATACATTGCAAGCCGGTGGAAAATATATAATAAATAACGTATCATCTGTCCAGTAATAAGGCCTTATTTTCACCAGGCACGCTGGGCGTATTTAATATTACTTTTTGAACAGAAGAGGTCTGGCAGCAAGGGATAGATTAAAAAAGAAGTAATTGTTCTTTCCAACAATTTTAGTCGACGGTCTCCAAATGTTTGTTTCCGAATGTGAAGTTATTTGGCCAAAATGTCTTTTCCCATCTGTATTCATAATGTACTTCAGAAACTCATGCTTGTTTACATTAACAAAAAAGCGGGATGTAATCCTTCTTTTGTAACACTCCCATATGTATTTATTGACCAAAATAAGAATAAAAAACAGAAAGAATTGCAGTCAAACTCAAGTGTTTCGAAACAATACTGTTCAAAGTACATGTACGACTATCAAAATCTGTGGGAGAATGTGATTAGTTTGTTAATTTGTTCACATTTTCCAAAGAAAATAGAGACAGCAAATAATCCAAAAAACATTGTCAGTATTAAATACGTACCTGTGCATACAACTACAATACCTTGAAATAAATATGGCTGTATATGTTAATAAAAAAAATGATACACATAGTGTGGCTTCTAGATGACATGCGAGTGTTAATAAATTAAATGTTATATGTAAAAGTGCTGCACAGTTGAATTGACGGTGTCTCAGAGGGTATTCTTTACCATTGTTGACAATGAATGCACAGAATATTTACTCGTGCCTATCGCTGCGATACATACTCATTCCCCTCTAACTCCACCTTAACACATAAGGTCTACACTACTAAAAGGCAAATGAGTTGCACTTATGGTTAAAAACTCTAATGTGCAACGGTTCGAGAACTCAACGTGCTCCGTTTACAAGCTGAAAGTTTCAAAGTATATGTACATTGTATTTGCATTTATGGCGTGTAGCACATAACGACCATATACAGGGTGCCCCCCCAAAAAAAACCCAGGGTACCACCCCCCCCCCCCCCCCCCCCCCCCCCCCCCGTACTTCCGCTACAGAATACTTGCACAAACCAGTTCAGCATCATGTCTTGCACTCCACAGAACATTATGGTTTACTGAATCTACGCTGCTTGACAGGGTTTTTTTTAAATCCACAAAATAAGCAGTAATCTTAATAATACATTCATGTATGTAATCACCTGACCCAACTATACGTAAAATATGAAGTAAAATGAAGCAAAAACCTCAAGGAACGATTTGAGAAATGTTCAATCATTCTACGTTACCAAAAGAAAATATCCGAAACACATTTCTTCATTGGTGTATGGAAGAATTATGTCTCACGTTACCAACACATCACAGTGACACGAGGATAAGAAGAGTATAAAGTGATTCTTAATTTCTGCCTTAACATCAAAGACCACCACATGAAGAAAAGTGAAAACAGTCAACTACCTGTCACTGACCGGCGGTTGCAGAATTTTCGATTTCCACGTGAAGGTCACATTGACAAACAAGCAAATGCAATATTATGCCAAACAGGGCAAAATGGAAGTTGTAATGTTGGTCACAAACTACAATTTTGTATTTTAATGTCAAAACAACCGAAAGCATGTTTGCGCAAGCCCCCTTTAACATAAAATGTAGAATGCTTTGATCTTGATGTCATTACATGACAGCAAATGCTTCAAGGATTACTCCGCAGTAAATCTGAGGTTTAAGTTCTTGGGGGCAAAAGTCTTATACTGGACAAAGGGCAGGTCACCAACAAAAAATTCAGTACATTTCCATGTATAGACCGAAAGGGCCTTCAGGGAGAACATTTCTTTGATAACTAATAGAGCTATCCTGGTTAAATGAGGCTCAATAAATAAACAAACAAAAATAGATAAATCCTACAAAATAGTAAATATGGATAAATCTAATAAAACATAATCACAATCACTTCAAACCAATTTGAAATTATATGCACTTCATGTGAAATGCACACGACTTAAAACACAACAATGTAAATGGAAGACTTCTGGTTTCCAAAACATTCTGGTGTTTGGTTTTTTTCCTTCAAATTGCACCCAAAGAACCAGAGATGCAGTAGCACAATTCAATCTTGGAAATTAGCAAACCATTGAAATTTGAATTGTTTGGAAATTAAGCAACAATTTACAAAGTGATTTCTTACAATAGTATTTTAATTTCGGAACTCCACTGCTCATGTTGCAACAAAGAGTAAGGGATCCATTAAAGAGAATTTTTCTTAGAGACATATTTTGTGAACTTTCTACTCCTCTTTCAGAAGAATGAACATAGGGGCAAAAATCACAAAAATTATATGATTTAGATTTTACAATGAGTACATGTTAAGATTCATAAAATCATAAACAAAAACATATTAAACTTAAAAAAACTTAAATTATCCTCTGCTTTTAATTGATGCAGAAAACATTGAGTGATCACTGGTACAAGACTAGTTTACGTACGTAAAACACAGCAATCTGACTGACAACATGAAAGTGCTTTCATCAGGAAGACGTTTATAAGGTTATGGTATGCTTTTAAAACTTGAACACCCCCTTAGTTGCTCTCACATTGTGACTAAGATTTCAGAACTGGTTCTAAAACCACCATTTGGATCCGACAGAAGGGAAGGCATAACCCTCTTCTCATCCCTGCAAGAGGTTTGGGAGCATCTTGGGTCTTGGAGTGGATCTCGCTCAGGGAACGTCTCAAATGTCTGACAACAGGCTTCATGGGGTTCTCCCAAGGCACTATGGGTAGAGTTCTGATTGGCTGTTGATTGCTGTTGGCAATGCGTGCATGCCTCAGTAGGGTGCATCAACTTGGAAGACAAACGGCGGTTCAGGATGTCGTGGTCGGACCAGAAGGCTACAGGGGGAGGCTGATCTGACCAAGCTGTCAGCAAGGCACTGTAGAACATCACCAGGGATTCTCTCAGCCTTGTGATCTTGGTCGACAGCTTGTGATCTCGCCAGGACCAGGAATTGGACAGAGCACAACACTTCCTGCTACCCTGTTGCAGTCCACCATCTTGTATCCTTTGCTGGTTCAAGCAATGCTGACATGTATCCTCCCCCGAAGCCTGCTGGGAAACATCGTCAGGTGACTCAAGTAGCTTTCCTTCTCTTGACAGAGCCTGGTGCTCCCGTTCATACCAAGGCACAGAGCAGTGAGGGGTTGTGAAGTCAGAGGACAAGACCGATGGCATTCCAGGGTCCTGGTGCATGTAGAGCTGCAGCACCAGGTCAAGCAAGAGATGGTTGTAGATGTGGAAGGACTCAGTCGACTTGGCTAGATGGGGTCCGAGGGGCAAAGGCAGGCATCCATTGGTCGGTTGAGAGGGAATACTGGCTTGATGCAGAAGCAATGCAGACCACATGGTAGTGGCAGCACACAGACTGTAGACCAGCATGCATATACTTAAAACCTGAAAAATAAAGTTGTGAAACCAGATCACATAAAAATGCATTGGAATAATACAAAATTACTTTTAACAAGTTGCTTTTATGGAATATGTAGCTATAACAAGCATCTGAGGTAATAAAAATCCTTTAAAGTCGAGAGATGCCACAAAATTACCATGAACACTCTGTAACAAAAATGCATCAATTTCTTAGTATTGATCAAGCTAAAAAACTGAAGTTTCAACAACTAATCATTATTTTCAGGAAGTATATTAGAAGAAAAGTAGATCATTGGTGACTAACACCAGCATTGTTAACCTCCAGAGCTCAACCAACCGTCTTAGGATGTGCACGCTTGGTGTAATTCACTTGGAAGGCAACTGGGATGTCATTACATTCTATGTGCTTGACGAACAAGCTTCCAAGGTCCCTGGGCTGCGGACCAGGCTTTGACGAGTTAAACCACTTCTATGTGGCCACAACCGTCTCCCTTCTCTCAGAGCTTTGCTTTGGTACCAATAATATCTTCTGGAAAGCTTTGGAATTTCTACTGAACCATATTACATAGCTTCCTAACACTGCTGCATGGAATGTTTTTTCTCCTCCCTTTGCATAGTGGCAGGGATGCATTGTAAAAGCCTCTGCTTCCTATTTCTATTTCAATTAATAACACATACTTTTGTGGGCCTTCTGTAAGTTTATCTAGATACTTTTGTGTTTATCAATCCCACCTTGACCATGTGATGCATCACTGCACAGCATGCTTCACACCACGCAGGATGCTGCATCAAAACACTCAGGTCCGTGTAGCTAAACCAGCCTCTTTTTCTGCCTTCGCTCAGTGCAATCCTGCATCAAGAAAAGAGGCCGTGCAAAGACCAATAAATGATTACAAAGGCAACTTTATTTTATTCTTAACTTCTGTAATATTTTCACCACATGTACGTGTGTGACTCTGAAAAACTAAAATATTACTGAACACAATTACTGAACTGAAAATTACTGGACAAAAAGACATAGAAAAGCAAAAAGGCACAAATAGCTAAACTAACCTTGTCTCAACTCCAAGCAAAAATTCATAGAAATCCAAAGGATCGACCAGAAGCTTCCAATCCTGAAACAAAAACATTTGAAATGGCCAGGAAATTAATGTTGAATTGACAAATAAGGGATTTCCTTAACCCATACCCTAGGGTGGTTGTGAACCCCAGACCTTAGGATTTATTATACAGTCAAACCAATTACTAAACCACTGTGTGTGAATGGCAATGGCAGGTTAGAATCTCCGACAGGTGGCTGTAATCCAGCAATAATTGAGTCAATCACACGTCAGGTCACAGGTCACTTGGGTTGAACAATGACAATGCTTCATTTGAATAACAAAGGTTTATTAGAAAAATAGCCTGGTCTGCAACACTGGAGACGTCTTTGAATACAAAACACAGACAGCCTAGGTTTTATTTCTAAAAAACTGTCCCTGTCTTTGACTCTAACTGCCTATACCTTTTGGTTCAGATCCATCCTCAAATCCTTCAAAATCCTCCAAAACATTATTTCTTGAATTTAAAGTGGAAGGGTGATCACTACCTCAATCCTTCAAAATCTTCCACCAATCACTGTAATATGATGAGTCAGTGCCAATGATACCCAGAAGCAGTACCGATGGTATCCAGCATAATGTATGGCTGAACATAAACACTGCAGAACATCATAAGACCTGGATGCAATGCATCCTCAAAAATCAATTGACAATTTTTACCATTCATCTTCCATCCTTCAAGATCGCCCGGTTGATTTTGGAGGATTGAGGGTGGTTAGTGTTGCCATACTGCCCACCACAATCCACCCAATGCATTACGCATGGACAGCAAGTCAATACTTACAATGGCTGCAAGGAACTCTCTCTCCAGATCATGCACTCGGTTCACGTCAATTTTCGCTGTAAATGAAGAAAAGGAAGTAAACAAAATGAAACCAACATGTAACGTATGTATGTTACAATTTCCAACGACCTAAAATTCAATCACACTCTCCCCTCTTACTGTCAGTGCAAGTGCGTAGTCTTTTCCACAGTGTGCATAAATTGGACATCTTTGTCTCACACAAACATTGGTGAAAGACATACACTACAATGCGACCATTTTGAGCTAATTCAGTCAGGAACACACATGATAATACATCAACAGCTTCTTCCCATAGTCAATTGACTCCTCACACAAACAGCAGAGACTGTTGGGTTCCAGTGTGTGTGCCACACTGTATGTGTATTACACACAGTTGGAGGACAACAAGACAAATACAGAACATATTTGTTAATGTCTTTGAAAGTACATACTCGGTCCTTGAATGTAAGTGTGTGTGCTTAGTCTATGGGAGAGTGTTATAGTGTAAGAACAAAGGGAAACTCAATACCTTGTCCTCAGATGGAATGGTAAAATACGCACTTATGGTCTGATCAACCAGAGTCTAATTTTCTTCCGGATGTGGACAAACCGAGAGCATCTTAACAAGGTGCAGAGGCCATGGTCAGTACAGTGTAAGGGTCCAATCAACGTTTACTTTGATGGGACACTTATCCATGGTTAACCCTCCTATTTAAGAGGTCACCAATGGTCAAAATGTTTGTATCTCACCTCCTGCCATACTGTGTACAAACCAATGGGGTCTTGACCAATATTGACCCAAGTAATAACCAGGCTGACAATGCATGTTTCCATAGGAGGGTTCATGAGAATCATACAGACCAATGAATGCTTACCTGCCTCAGCCCATTCATCATTGTACAATTCTTCCTCCTCCCCTTCATCATACAGAAACTTGGTTGCAATCATCTATGATACAACCATACATATTCATGTTACTGAGTCATCTATGATACAACCATACATATTCATGTTACTGAGAGCAAATTGCTCCTCCTCTTCATCATACAGAAACTTGGTTGCAATCATCTATGATACAACCATACATATTCATGTTACTGAGTCATCTATGATACAACCATACATATTCATGTTACTGAGAGCAAATTGCTCCTCCTCTTCATCATACAGAAACTTGGTTGCAATCATCTATGATACAACCATACACTGAGTCATCTATGATACAACCATACATATTCATGTTACTGAGTCATCTATGATACAACCATACATATTCATGTTACTGAGAGTCAATTGCGCATCTAATACTCATTTGTTATGCATGAAGTTCATGATGTTGTTTCCCATTAACACCAAACAGCAACAATGAAACCTCAACATGTTTATACATGTTTTCCTCATTACTCAGTGTATGACTCACCAGCTATTTTAATGCAGTACCAGTTATGAATTGAGACCTTGTATGGTTGACTGTACTATGGGAGTATTTTAAGAACAAGTGTTATAGACATTGTTGCTAGGAACGCTCCAAAATCTACATATCTACAGTACAGAACACCAATGCACATTCTTTGTACTTGAACTTTCAGGTGCCTCATGAGCCCCAAGTCAAATAAAGGTGATTCCTCAATCCTACAGATTCCTGCAAACTCCTGTAATAAACCTGATAGATTTTGTAGGGTTTTGTTGAGAGTTAGGGTTGGCTCACTACTTCAATCAGTATTTCAGTATAGCCATCATCAGGAAAGTGTCTGAAAACAACACTAAGATAGATAGATATACCCACCGCACACCTAGCGTATACAATCAAGGCATTTGAGACAAACAATTGAATGAACCTGGATTTTAAACAGCTTAAACTGACCTACCATGGACACAAGGAACAGTTCGGCAGGCTTGATTCTAGTCACATACTCAGGGTTGCATTCACGTAGTCGCTTGGTGTACATCATACTGAGAAAGAGACTACATTGAGTGGCATTGGATCTCCTTGAAAAATAACAAATAGGGTCAAAATCATTACCAGCCACACTTCCTACTTAATCCTAACTTCAAGATGTTTTAACTAAAATGGGACATCAACCTCAATGTAGGATCTCCAGTCCTGACTCCATCACACAATTGCAAACGTGGGAGTTTAAAGGATTTATGATATTCAGAATTAATTTTCTTTGAATACCATTGTAGCAACGACTGGAAGAATGAATGGTTCAATAAGGAGGGCAGAATGAGTGGAACCAATTTGCAAGGAGACAACCGGTCAACATGGCGGGACAGAGGGTAATCTACCATCTCAACTTGAGTTTAAAGTGAGTCACAGGCTTTATTCATGAGTAGGCTATATCAAATTGAAAGCGCTCGAGGTAAAATCTTCATTCTTGGAAATTGCGAATAAATATGAAAGCCATGAAACGTAAAAGATTTTAGGCTTTGCATGGTGGAGTATCACTTTTGCTTCAGTTTGCGGTAACACCATGTGGTAATAACTACTGCTCAGTAGTATTTAGTTCTGAAAAGAAATTATCCTGGTTATTATCAACTTTCGCTAAGTACTTTTAGTTCTGATAAGAACAGTCCTGCTTTAAGTTCTAAAAGAACTTGTTGTTCTCAACGTTTAAACTAGCCTGCTCTAGTAAATAAACGAGTAAATAGTCTGGCACCACCCCCATTCAATGGTCAACAATTTATAAAACACATTTAGGGAACACAATCCAAAACAGCTTCCTCTTGGATAAGGTCTGTTCCAAGTCAATTCCAAGTCATTACATGGCAATCACATGTCAGGTTACAAGTCAACTCATTCTTTGTCAATGTTCATGCCCCATTTCTATTGTTTTCATATGATGTGATTTGGCTTTAGATCCAACATGCCTTTGATTCCATTGCGGCTCTGTCCAACAATGTCTTAAGAAAAAAACACACGCTCACAAACCAACACTTGTGATTTGACTTTTGATTTGATTTGCGATTTGAATCCTCTACAAATCTAAATCTACCTGGTTAAGTTTGCCACATGTCTCTTGCTCAATTGTCCAAAGTGACCCTGTTCCACATTCTCAAATAACTCCACCACAATGTCTGCAGGGAAGCAAATACACACACACACAAAAGATTAAAATTTCAACAAATGGAATAGTAAAAAAAAACCTCAATGATTGTAGTGAAGGAAATTGTGCTGATGAAATTTACTACTAGTGCACATCTTGTATCGCTGGTATAAACATAGAAATAGAAAACACAAATTTGTATAACAAAGGTCCTTTCATTTTAATGTTGACAAAAACTGAACAAGTAATCTATGCAGCATAATTAGCCTGACACCACTTGCTGGTTGTGTACAAAGTCTATGAAGAGTCATGAAATTTCCTAAATGTATTTTCTAAAAAAATGGAAACATTTCTTATCCAAAATTCATGTGATAGCATTACATTTACAATGATGGACCATCATTTGGAAAAGTGGTGTCACAATTTTGCATTCTTCCCCCTATTTGTACAGAAATTCTAGTAATCACTGATTCAACCTTGCGCAGACCAAACAGCAATTGAATACAGATGTTTGTTTGGGGACTGTACCAGTAAGTGGAAGAGAAATTCCCCCTGAATCGGCTTTGCCAGCGTAGAGCGTCTTCCTCATTCGCTTGGTCAACTCCGCATGAACAGGAGAACACTGCAAGACAAGAATAGAATAACTGTTTATTTAAGATTCATATTTCCATCAGCCAACAGCGAATAACCGCCAACTACAGACCAAGTTTTGAAGGGGTTTATCAGTCATTGTGAATTTGAGTCTAAAGTAATGTTATGACAGTAGTCTGCTACTGTTACTTCAATTAATACCAAATAGATCCTCTGCATTACAGCAATCTCAAAAGATGTGTGCTTTTACTCAACAGGGTTATACTATAGGGGGCCTACGTGAGTAGATCTCTTGATCTATTAATTAATCCAGTTAATTATATCCAATAAATGCAATACAGAAAACCTTCCCCCTCCCCAATTATATATCCACCATCATGACCATGGAGCTGTAGCTGGTTCTGAGCTTCATATTCACGCTTGATTACCTATTTGTGGTTTCCCACTACTTAAGTTAGTTTAACCGATCTTAAGAAGCACCGTTGGAAAGGTCTTCTTTTGTTGATTTCTTCAAAATGACAGCTTGCCAGAAAGAATAATTTCACAGGGAGTTTAGTCCCCCTACTATCTTTCAACCAAGTAAAATTTCAACAATAACTATGCCAGTTACTTTTTGGATAGCTGCAATTTAAGTTTTAATCACAATTCATAAATACGTAAGACAGTTTACGCATTCCTAATGGTCGAGAGCCCGTCACATGGTCCATCTTAAACCGATGATAAAGACATGGCTAGCTGGTCTTAAATGCTTTTCCAGTGTCACATGAAATTTGGACTCCCATGAAATCCGGTGCCTTGTAACGTTTCATTGGTTGAACGTTCACATTCATCACGTATGCATGCACAATACTACCAGTGAATCAGTATTTCATGGTCCGAAATTCACACTACACCAGCCCAGCAGCGTTTTGCGCGACATCGCGCAGTACGCGCAACGCGCCACCAATGTCCTTATAAACGAGTTGTGGATGGGCATTCCATATTTTAGTCAGAGGGGTGTTTCATAAAACCATGGTAAAAATGATGTAAAAACTAAAATTGTTGAATAAAATTGTTGGCAACGTCTAGTTTTTTACTTATTTTGATTTTTTGACTGAAAATATTTGATCTTTTGTCCGAAAAGGTACTTATGAATGGGAATAAATATGTGTTCGGTCGGTATTAGGCAAAATAAAAAAAAAAAACATGTTAAGCGTCCTGCCTCTTTTTTTCTTTTCAAAATGGCCGCCTGACACATTTTTCAAGACAACGCGGCCGGGCTATTTTTCAAGATGGTTACCAGCTTTTGTCAAAATGGTCGCCACTTGGACTCATTGACTATTTCCACAGCTTTATACACGGTATAAAAGTCTAAAAATATGATTTCTTTCGTCAGAGATCGTTAAAATTTATCAATTTTTGTCTTTAAAAAAAAAAAAAAAAAAAAAAAAAAAAAGGAGGCGGCCTCTAAAAAGGAAGCGGGCGGGGACGCTAAACATGTTTTTTTTTTTACTTCGCCTTAAACATGTTAAACAGAGTGTTATAGGCCTACCTCCCAAACACACATTTATTCCAGCTTTAATACATGTAATAATTAATAGGCCTACGCGAGGCGTTTTACTCAGCAAGCTGATGACACGGGTCCTACTAAAGCGCGTCAACAAGCGTCAACAAGCGTCAACAAGTTTTAGTAGTCGTTAAGTGCGCGTCAACAAATTTTGTATAGGCCTTTGAACAATAAAAACAGCTTTATATGGTAGAAAAGGCAATAATGAACATCTTCTGCATATCAATTAAAGTTAAAATTACTTAAAAAGTGGTTTTCCAGCGCGAAATCTACGACGGGTTTTTCGGTTTAGTATTGGCCGCCATCTTGTTTGAGATCTACATACTACGCATGCGTGGAGTGTACCATTCACGCATAGGGGTGTCTTTATACGATACGCTTTGCGATACCTCGTTTGCCGAAAATATTCAATTCTAGAATTTCGGAAAACTATTTTTTTTTCAATTATAAATTATGCCTACTGACACTGTTCACAATGTCTGCCAAAAAAATCCCAATGCAAAAACCAAACTAGGTATCGCAAAGCGTATAGTATAAAACCCGTCGAAGATTTCGCGCTGGAAAACCACTTTTTAAGTAATTTTAACTTTAATTGATATGCAGAAGATGTTCATTATTGCTTTTTCTACCATATTAAGCTGTTTTTATTGTTCAAAGGCCTATACAAAATTTGTTGACGCGCACTTAACGACTACTAAAACTTGTTGACGCTTGTTGACGCTTGTTGACGCTTGTTGACGCTTGTTGACGCGCTTTAGTAGGACCGGATGACACTACGTTCACGAGTCTACACGATTACAATACCAAGCATGCCAAAGTAGGGCCTAAAATCAAAACAATACAAAAGAATTACAATATCCTCTACGTGGCACTAAATTTCAATTGCGCAAAAAACACGTATCGTGCGTCATCACAGCACATAAAACGTGCATGATGCATGATTGAAATACCCGAGGATACCATTACCAAGCATGCCAAGTGCACAAAACTAATGCGGTAATATTTTGTGTCAATATATTTTCAATAATTAGCCTATACGGTACATTTCAAGGAAAAGTAGGCCTAACCCTTGTAGTTAGTACATTTGCATCTATAGTCATACAAACCTCCAACCCGTCTAGGTCTTCGTAAGATCTTTCAATGTCGTTTAACTGTCCTAAAAGCTCCATTTCGAGACCAGTTTTTCTCCCGGCTTTATCACTGAAGCCGCGCCAACTGTAGAAAGGATGGATCGAAAGCATGCGGTGAATTGTGCAATGCGCTTATAATGAAAGGTCCCGGATGTTCTACGCCCATTTTATAGAATACATGGTATAACGGTGTTTTAATGAATAGTCAGTAACCATGGAGAACGCCCACAATATTTGCATCGATGAATATTCAGATATTCAATTCTAATTGTTGACCGGTTTCTGAACAATGACAATTTTAGGACGGAATTTACTTTTGGGGGGGGGGGGGGAGGATTTAACTACTTAACTAGTCTAGGTTCTTTTAGGCGGTTTTTTTTGGGGGGGGGGGGCAAGTCTTAGAATCATCCGTTGTTCAACTAATCCAAGCCTGCTATTGTGCAAGGGCTGGGGGGGGGGGGGGGGGGCGGGACACGACAGCCTAGAGTTTGCGAGCCAGGACTCCTGCCCAGGAGGGATGGAGCTTCACACTTCAACCTAATTATATAAAGAAGTTTCTTATTTTGGCAGATGATGGGACAAATATTCCTGTCATATACCGATACTAAATATTCTTCAGTTATCAGAAACTCAGACTGGAAAGACAATCCTCATATTTTTTAAATATTTTATTTGTGTTATGTTACAATGCTCAGTCCACAAAATATACATATATACAATAATTATGCTTTTTCTTTTATAATTATCTGAAGTGCATATACAGTACAACACTTTGTTAATTATAGTTTCTGCAATGTACACAGTCATTGGGTGAAAATTACATTTTCCAAAAAAAACAAATTCAATTCTGTCATGGTATAATATGTCGAGACGAAATTCAAACTCGTTAATCTGGAAACAGGCAGTTAGTATGAAGCCACATTTTTCCCCATTTATCTAACACACATCAAAGTCCCATCAGCATTATTGTCTTAAAAATTCTACTCGTCTTGGTATTTTACCCTGCACAGATGATCACTGTTGGCATGGTGTATAGAATTTAGATCAAAGCTTTTCCTGTGACCGTCTTCACTTAGAGTTCCTGCTTTCATGTCTTTTCCCCTTTCAGTTACTTTGGCTGCTGAACACGAACAATAATTCTCAAAAGATGATTTTCATAACGCAAAAAAAAAAACCAGAACTTTTGTGTTTTAAAATCCCTCAAAAATCCCTGTCATCTGATTGCGGGTCGTTAATCACGTGTTACTGAATTTTTCGTCCCACACACGGCACAGCCACAAAGCAAAAATAGAAGTTCTATTTCTAAGCCAATAGAAGTTCTGGTGGCACTGACCAATCAGAAGGATCTAGGCATTGTATAAAACAAATAAATGAATGTTTCACATTCGTGCAATGCAGAGAATAATTTCACTCGGTGACAAATGGATTGTTCCATTCCACTCGACTTCACCTCATGACATTATTCTTACCATTGCACTCGTAAACATTCATTATTTGTGCAATATGCAACTGTGTCCATGTCTATTGGTAAATTTCATGGATCTGCTAGGCAGAAATATGCTGCAGAGCAAATCTAATCAGCTAATAATCATTGGTTCAAAGTTGAACCAAGAATGGACTGAAGCAGGGTTTGAACCTGCGACCTCCAGATTGCAGTTCCGGTGCTTCCACCATCTGAGCTATCCAGCCCTACATGTCCATGTATGTTGGCAGTTACCCATAGTGTCTTTGTTTAAGTGTCGGGTAGTCAGGAGCCATACATACGTATTCAGTCACAATTTACATTATATAATCACATGATAGTTGGTTGATAACACAAACAAATCGTTCCTGTGTTCAGTAATTTTGCAGTGCCATATTTGGCCAAAGGTTGTTTTCAGAAATCATAAACTTGACTTCCAGTCCTCATACTGCACTGTGATTCATCCTTAATTTGCTTTTGCCACATTTACCTACAAAAATTGAATTCATTGTATTTCAACATTTGTGTATCTAAACACACTGGGGTATTACAAATCTGAGCACCTCTTCACAGTGTTACATTGCAAACTACTCAAAAGAATATGCGTTCCACAACGGGAATTTGCCAAAAAAGCAATCTTTTCAAACTAAACCCTCAAAAAGTTTTGAGTGCCCATTTTATGGGTCTCTACTAAATGTAATAACATTTTTATTCATATAAAATTGTTTGCAACAGCTTTGGTTTCATAGCAAGGCAAATTAGTATGCAGCAAAAATGTGCTAAATAAAAAGGACAATAAAAACCAAACTCAAACCTCAAAGTTTAGAACCTTTTATGGAAGGAAGTTGGATGGGGTATGGAAATAATCCTGCAATTAAAAAATACTAATGTAACTCATTAATTTACAATATTTGAAAAGGGGGCAAATCTTGTACAATGCAAATATTAATAGAGTTGTTACAATTTTATGCCAGAACAGAAAAACAAGGAAATACATAAACACCCCCCTGCCCTTAAGGAAGTAAAATGAAACTGTGAAGACTGCTTCAAACGATTGCCCAAGTGAACTGTATGCACTGTAAGCACATGGTTGAGTTATGAAATATGTGCATATCTCCAGCAATATCAGGCTGGAAGCCAGTTGAAATGTTCAGACAATGCACACCATTCTTGTAAAATTGGTAACAAATTTCTGTTTAAGTCAACTAATACAGTTTCTACTGACGTCACAAGTTATTCCTTTCACGTGCACGATGGTTTTTAAAAACGGCCTTTGAAAAAAATGACAACATCAAAATAACCTCTTGAACAAAACAAACATGACCAACAGGGAAAATATTTTTCACAATCTATTGCACATAATTTTCATGAGAATAAAGAACTACTACGACAGGTTCACAGTCCGACAGAGAGGTACTTTTAAGAATTGTCCAAACTGGCAAAGATGTGATATAATCCAACCCAGTCATGAATTTGAAAGTCAGCTCCATGTATGGTCCAAAACGGTAGAAAAGGTAATAAGTATGGACACTGCAGTCTAATGTAACCAAAAAATATCTATTTTGGGGAGAGATTGTTAGTTTGAAATGAAAGTCACTCAAATGGGCTGATAACGGGTCAAAGTATATGGGGGTCATTCGTATAAACACAGCCCATTCATAAAACATATACATGATATTACTATGAGACCTGCCTGAAAATGTAGCTCTTTGGACCACATCAAACAGCACACAAAACAGATACGTTTCAAAAAGTGATACACAAACACACTCTGAAAAGGGGTTCAACAAAGGTGTGAAGGCCTCTCACAAACATTCCTTTTGCCATACAACGCATCAGTGCAATTTCAGTGCAAAGATTTAGTTGACAGAAAATACCAATTACTATGTCAACAGTGACTCCATTGCTGGGTGCATATTGCTGCATCACACTCACGTCTTGGGCTAAGTCTTATAACTCTTATATCATGACTTCTGTGCCGAAGCACCCCTAGAAGGGGACAGACACAGATTTAGACAAACTAGAGCACCTTAAGCAAAGATGATACATGTTATGTGTGCTGCATGGTTTTTGCAACAAAAAAACAAAACTTCGGTATGTGCACTGCGCCATAAATTCGTGAGACAGTGCACACAAACAATGCAGACAATGTAAGTGGTCAAAATGTGCCTTCTACTATTTTTCCACAAAGGAGTGTTTTGATGACAGTTGGTGTAAGTGCACAGAATTTTTCCCACAAAAGATTAAAATTAATATGGTAGGTTTACATGAGCACTGAGTTCTCATTCATACTTTAGTCAAATACTATAAGATTGAAATGTTCCGTGTCAATAGGGCTTTTCAAAATGCTATTCCTTAAGAATGCCTAGCGTTCTTGGAGTACAATCAGCACATTCCGGTGTAATCAAATTTCATGGTAAAAAATGTTGAGCATGCTCCTTTGGTAATGAAAGGAAAGCATGGCTATTTGTTTTACTTTACAAACCTTATTAGTGAGGGGTTTGTGGGAAAGTATTGTTTACTATTTAAGGGGAGTTTGATGGTTTTCTCAATTAGGTATAAGTATGACAAGAAACAGCAGACAAATTGAAGTCAGGTTATTGTTGAACAACCAACCCTAATGCCAGCCTGCTTTACATGTGAATCCACATCACTCAACATGGAGGGGTTGTACAAGGCTGTTAAGAAAGCGTAATTTAGAATGTTAAAATAAACTAAAATGACTATTCACCAGATTGTTTCCAAGAACTCTTTTCTCAACAATTTACTAAGAACCCAGAAAACTCATTCTAGTTATTTTTTTAATAATTTATTGTAATTTTGTTGCTTGGCAACCTTGTGTGTGAATATTATCCACAGAAGCAATTTTTATTACTCTGTAGATTTTTATATGCAGGTCATGAATTCATGATCTGTTTGGGAAAATAACATCTGATGGATACCAATTTATCACGGTGCTTTAAAGTGAACACAACAATATAGACTTCTATATATATATTTTCTTATGATTTTTAGACAAGAAAACAAAATGAATTTGCCGACATCTAGTTAATAGCGTTCTACTGCGATTAGCATGACAGACGGGCCTCAGCTTCTGGAATCCATGACATTGATCATTCGATCCGAGTTGGTGACACTGAACTGGCGGATGTCTGAGAGTTTCATCATGAGACGAGGGAAGACCAAGCGGTCGTTAGGGTGGTTCAGGAGGATCTGAGACTGCAGAGCTTGCACCACCTGTAGCTGTAGCGTCTCAATCTCATCTGGCACGCGTAGCCCTGGCCGATCTGATAGTGACAAAAAGAACCGTTGGGATCAAATTCTTTGAAAAAAAAAACCCATATAAATAGTACTAGCCTTATAATGAGGTCTGGGTATTTTTGACAAACACACAGATGCACGGTGTACACCAACAACTTATTTTTGGCCTTATCTACATGTTACTTGTACTGTTATGCGAACTTGTCTCATTTAATTTTGACACTGTTGTAAATGAGGAAATGTATTCTTTAGCTTTGTCCGTGGTCTACAGTCCATTTGACAGCCCAATTCAACTTGCCTTTCATAACAGAGAATCCTATGAAAAGGAATGAGGGCTAATGAAATGTAAGTCTGACAATTTCCCAATGCTTTCAAACTGGGAGTTCTGGGAATACTAAGGGGCTTGTTACAACACAAAGATGACCTACCGGCTGATAATAAAATGACGGCAGTGAAGAGCGCCACCTCACAATTGGTCAATTGCAGCTGTTTGAACTTCAAACCAAACTCAATCACACCCTGAATGATCTCCATCAGTGGTGTCATCTTGATTTCACCTTCCAACATTTCCTGGTGTGATTTAAAAACAGAATCATTATGAAAGTCACACAAGTTAACTGTGAAGCCCAGTTTGTATTTAAAGATGCATACCCCGTGCTCTTCAAAAATGGATTTCTTTTGTTCGAATGTGCAATTTGTATATTTTCTCCCAATAAATGTCCAACTTGTATGTTTTGTTTCAGAAAAAAAGCTACTTATCACAATTTTGGGCATCTTTTCATTCAATGTCTCATTCAATGTCTCATTCAAAAATGAATACCGTAAAGATTTCTAGGAAATTGGCAGCTGGCAAATAATCCTATTTTTCGACATGAAATCGAAAATAGCAAAGGGACTGTATCTTTAAGACAACTTTTGGAACATTTGTAATGGTAACAATGAACAGCAGTGAAAGACATTACAATTCCTGCAGTCCTGAGAACTGACTTTGATGTCATGTGAAATATGTACCACACTTCATAAGGACGCTTTTCTCTTTAAAACAAAAATGACTGAAATTGTTCCATAAATAATTACAATTCAAACCTCTGTCAGACAGTTTCAATGAGTCGTACATCATATATCAAAACAAATGCAACCGTTTTTTTCAGAACTTTTCAGAACCACACATCTTCCCAAAAGAGATTTCTACACGGTGTTACCGCAAACCTTCACTAGTTCATACCACCACCATGCAACGTTCCAAATCTTACAACGTGGTTTGTTTTTGGGCAAACATTTAAAATGTTGTATTCATATTTGTGGATATTTCTACATCCTTACCTTATGATATTCCATCAATGCACACATGCCATCCTTGACTGTGATCACATGTGCCAGACGGACCAATAGAACTTCTAGCGATCCTCCCTTAAGTAGCATAATCTGATCATCTTTGTCCAGATTCAAGAAGCCTGGTATCATCTTGGCGAAACCGATGATGCGGGTGATGGAGGGAGTGAAGTTATTGGTCACCAGGTCGGTGATGAGCTTGGTCTGAGCATCGCAACCATTTCTACTTATCTGAAGATTGGTTTGACAAGAAATGGGACAATGAATTTATTTCCAATCAAAATGAAAACAAGCTCTGGAAATAAATACTCATATTCAGTTCTGAGTAGCAGAGTGCAACATCCTTAGCAGTTTCAGATTCCACAAACAATATTTCTTACTAAAGATCACCCATGCACTCCTTGAACAACAAACCTCTCCATCAGCAACCCTTTTTTTGGAATTTGGAATACACAATTTTATAATAAAAACAAATTGGAAATTTGTTTTTAAAATATTTATCCCAAACTCAGTCAGGGGTATGTCTAAGCAGGTGAGCTAAAGTTAAGCACCAAACACGCTTAATTACGCAACCAACAATTTTGACTTTTAAAGGCCTAAAGGAATCCAAACTTTTAATCTGTTGAAGTAGTCATTCTTATACTAAGCATGTCTGTATTCAAACTCTTACAAGCAAATAAATGAGATGGTCATAACCAGTCATGTGAGGGTGCACCAACAGTAAATCCACCGTACTGTAGTATATTTTTTATCAATCACTAACGTCTTGGATCAAGACTTAGGTATGTCTCGTCTCATTATATTGTGAGGGTGTACTTGTGCACGGATGTTGTACATGTACTTATGCTTATCACCAAGTAGCTGGTGATGGATTTGGAGTTGATATTCTTACCGTGGAGGGAAAGTACTCGCTCCAGCCACTGAATGTGAAGCCATCCCATAGCGTCTTCTTCTGCGCCTCATGAATGCTGAGAATAAGCTGCTCCATCTTCATCTGACTCTCCTCGGGATTGATGATGTACTCCCCTGAGGGAGACTTGGGAGGGGAAGGGATGGGCATACCCTGGGGCTTGCATTTCTTGGGGCATCTTCCTAGTCTCACAGCTGTGTGGGGAAGGGGAGGTTGGAACAGAAAAAATACCTGCTTAACACCAAGGCACAACTTTATCTTGTCTAAATGTAAGCAAAGAATCTAAACTCATTTTGGCAGGATTTTCTGCACTTATTAATTCTAATCTTTTTTTAATTTACAAGATTTGTTTCAATCAAATTTGTGGTCTGCAGGTAGCTCTGTAGGTTGTGGGTTCATGTTCAGCCTGGGGTTGTGGTGCCTGTGCCCTTGGGCAAGGCACTTTGTCACTCATTGTTTCTCCCCACCCAGGAGTAAATGGGTACCTGTGAGGGCAGAGGTGGTGGTTGTGATTCATTTTAGCTGTATACTCCCCAGGTAGCTGAGATTGTTTTCGGAACACTTCATTGGCATAATGAGCAGGGTAATAATGATGTAGCACCTTGAGCACCAATACTACTGGATATGTGGGCTTTACACCACAGGTGCAATACAACTGAGTCATCATTAAAATGGAGGCATGATGGAATATTGCCTTTACAGTAAATGTACATATGCATATCTTCTAATTGAGTATTCCAAGCTTATATGGAAATATACAATTTCTGTGCTTGTGATGAACTGGAATCTATTATATACGACACATGACAGTTTGAACTCATATTTATTGAAATTTATGCAACTTATCTAACTCAACATGGAATTGTACATGTGTAAATCTCATGTTACTTGTGTGATTCTTTGTTTTTAAATGTTGCTTTACCAATATAAATCTTTCCATTTTCCCAGTATGGACTGAAAAAAATTAATAGATTACAGCATTTTGGCTTTCAACACAGTAAAATTAGGTCAACGGCCATTCCAAGAACTGATGCAAGCCAACACTGCTCATCTCGGTTTTCTAATGATATTCACCACAGACCAAAATTAAAACGTATGAATTTAATATAATTGAAGGAAATTTGGAGGCCTTACCATCCTTGGACATGCCAACATATAGGCACTTCTTGAGTCGACAGTACTGACAGCGATTCCTGTTGATGCGCATGATGAGACACTCATCGCCCTTGGTGCAGACCCGGTACTTGACATTCTGCTGGATGCTGCGACGGAAGAAACCCTGCAGCAAGGAGGAGAGAGGGGGAGAGAAACAGAAGACGATGAGAAAGTCAGATGGGTGACAAGGTAATTGGGGAAGTTGTGGGAGGTCGGAGGGTGTCAATGTTAGAAGTACATGTAGGTCAGAGTTCAAAGCTGATGCCTTGGATTATAGAGAAGACAACCCAACTAACAGCTTGAATGTATATCAAGGGCTGGTTTCTTAGAAATTCTAAGCACAGATAGGCCTACTGGACAGTCTCATTTTAACAGCAAAACCAGGTTGACAGCCAAAATGTTATGACACACTAATATACTGTATATTGCATGTTTGACTGGTTGTTGGCTGATTTCAGTTCATGAGCATTAATTCGCTGACTGAATTTTACTGCAGAGCCATGACATTTCATCCTGGAACATGGAGGGACCAGACACGTGAGATTCTCACTGAAAACAAAAACATCTCTCAAGCCTACGGGAATGAATGCTTCCTGCAGCTAGAAATGTAACTTGCTTGACATATTGGTCCAAAACTTTTTCCCCATCAAAGGCAATGGGAAAAATTGTTTGTCAAACAAAATTATTTAGCAACCTAATACAAAAACACTGCTCAAACGAACATTTCTTCAATGAAATCACCGTCAGTTATTATATGCAACTTCTTTTGATCTTTCCAACTTTATTATAAATGCTTTGCACATTTTTTTTCTTTTGTATTTAATTAGTTTTGTCCTTAATATCAAGCTTTATTCTGTCCCTTCTAAACTAACAATGCATTAATGAAATAACATGATTGCGTTAGATTCTAAACATACATTTCAAAATGTATTTAAACAAAAATTATATCACTAGGTATAAATGCCAGAAGCAATACTAAAACTAGCATTAGAAACCAAACAAATATGAACTGATGACGACTTTAAAAACTTATCAGTATAGCTTTTGTCACCCATATCGAAATCTGTTAATTACACACAATATGAAACACTGACAAAGTGATAGCCACAATAACAAAAAGAGTACGCAGATTCTGTAAGATTTGAATACCGGCCAAAATCAAAACGTGGCTGTGCGTCACCAGCATGGCTGAAATGATCAATTAAAAAAGAAAAAAATATTAATCATATACTAAACATCTACGTAACTCCCACACATCATCCGACAAATATGTGCTAACTGGTGCTTGCATGGAATCATTATCTTGGTCCATGGAAACAAACTCTGAACCGGCGCAAGAGTCAATTAGAGTTCACTCGGGGAAGAGACAATTGGTACTTGAACTGCTCTGGTACGAGTACAAATGACGTCGATTTCTGCACACTGTAAATTTGAAGGGAACGCTTTCAAACCCAATATGGGTCATTTGCCAAATCTCTCAATGGTGACTTTGACTTTACACAACAGATGTCACCGACGTTCAAACTCCTAACACTGATAAGATTATTAGACCAGAATTTTTTTTTTTCAGTAGAATCCATTTTAATATCAACTTTTTTTGTTTAAAGATTAACACTTATTTTGTGTCCTGTCAATAGGGCCTGTATTTGCTGATGGATTGATATCAAAGTTCGAGGTTGCCAGCAATAAACTTTTCCCCCATTTTTTTTTTTTTTTTTGGGGGGGGATTCAAATTGTGCTTGAATTATTACGGAATCTCTTTTACTGGTATGTTTAAGTATATGTGTACATGATTCATTTCAATTTCACGTGGATTGCCACATTAGTCAAGCTAAATATCATGGCAATTATAATATGAACTATCTGGAATTCTATATTTAAAAGTTGTCCTGAACAATTAAGTCACAAGAAATGACTTTTGATCAAAGTCCTGACTTGGTTGATCGTATTTGTGCGGTAATGTTTGCTCAGTTAACCAAGGAAAAAATTCTAAATATGGACTTTTTAGTTTCCATGCAAATATCCACCGTCCACAAATTCTTCCATGACTAACTCCATTATTTGCTCTTATCTCCTGTTGCCCTCCATTTGCACTTTACCCACGAACAAGATTAAACTATCATCACCCGATTCAGGTCCCTGACAATAATTAACCATAAGAAAACAACAGGCTCCGTTAGATATTAAGGTCAAATGCAGTGTTACTGATCATTAATTGGGCGTCGTTTGTGCACTCAATATGACAATATGAGCTTAATCTAATGGAATGGAATTTATTGTCTCAACATAGATGGGACCAAATAGCAACATTTTACAATTTAACCATTCTAAATTAATTTAAAATGTTTTTTTTTCCAAAATTCCTATAAGTACTTGTGTTACTGTGTACCATCCCCTTCAACATTTCTGCAATACTTTTCTCTTTTTTCTGTTTAATACACTCTTATTCATGAATATAATTTTGGTTAAACTCAAAGATTCTCTTCATCAAACAATAGCTCTCTCCAATTCATCTGTTGCGACGGGTCACACATTTCTCTTTAAATGACAAAATGCTTGCATTGTAATTACCTTGCATCCTTCGCATGCATGAACCCCATAGTGGAACCCTGACGCCTTGTCACCACACACTCGACACAAGACGGCGTAACCATAGCCTCCTGTAACCACACTCATTCTGCCCTGCAAGCAAATCAGCAACAAAAACAATCCAGACTTTGAATAGTTGATACTGGCTGCCGTTAATCCAGCCGTTACCATGAGGTTATCATGAGGGACTTGAACCAGGGATTTGGACGTTCAAGATTTGGAATAGAAATCTGAATTGTAAACTGTTCGCGCTTGCTCTCTCACAATGTAGTGATAAAATCCAGCTGGAATTGAAATGGCATGTTTCAGCAAACTCTTGGGTTACTAAGGGTCAGAGCCAATCATTGTACTACAAATCTACCAGCGGTCAAGTGGTCTTAAGGAGCAAACTATTAAATTAAGAAAAATGTTCCCGCATCTTCCGGTACATGAATGACACGGATTTCCCCTAGGTTTAAGAAACGGATACAAAATTAGCGCCGCAATTTGTCAAGTACTTGGTTCTAAATGGAATATGACAGCAGGAAAGTTTGCCCATGTTTAGGTTGCAAAAAGTACTAGTAAGGTTTTACAAGTAAACAGAAGTTACATCCATGTAACACATCAGTGGCTTTTCAAGTTGAGCAGCCGTGTCTTAAACATGTAATTTTTCTTTGATCACAGAACTGAGCAGATGAATTGGCTACCATGCTAGGTAATCCAATCAATCTCCAAGGATGTTTCCTGGTTCCATGATTTCATAAGTGCAATAACTTCTGGACTTGCAAGAGGGTTTGAACTTTGGAGGAAGACAAATTGACAAACAACACGTTTTACTTTTTCAAAAGATACATAAATCTGTAATTAGACCTTCTAGGTTTTTGACTTCATGCCATTCATTCACTTGTCATGTTGCAAGACTTTGTACATCTACATTTTAGACAATGTCTCTTTAACCAGAATAAAAAATTCTCAGAATCAGCGAACTGAATTCCCCCAAAATAATTAAGAACCTTAAAGCAAAAGTTTGTGAATCATGGTCTGACAAAATTCAAACATTCATGTGACATTCTATACTTCTGTAACTTAGCATTACTTGAAATTTGTCAGTATGTGTTATAGCATACATTTATAGGTCAAACTTGAAAGTGAAAGTGCATGGTGCACTTTCACCAACCCAATCCGTCTGGGAGACTGTCAAGGAAATTGATCATGGACACACCTGGTTAATGGGGGCCAGTTGTTTCAACCGGTAATCCAATATGGGTTTAAATATAAACATATGGAAAGACAGAAAGATGAAGGGGAAACGCAAGGTGCTATCTAAGCAGAAACATGTTATCAAAGTAGGCCACGCACGTAGGCACTGCTGGAGAATACAAATAAAAAACAAAACAAAATCAACAGAACTCATGTTTTATCCATTTTGTTTCTTAAACTGTGTAAATTTTTGAAAATTGGATTCAAATCCAGCTCAATTGCCGATGAGCTTAACGTTTTTTTCTAGTCCCAGGAGCTGAACTGCTCACAAACAGACAGTAGGGTGTACTGCACTTGCTGATAGTAAACGTGCATTAAATAATACCTCCTAAGCAAATTGAATTTAAGAGACTGCCGGCAAAGCTTGATGGAAAGCAGTCCTTCCACGGAAAGACAGCCTCATGAAGGAATTTGAATTGACCTAGTTCTTCATGGACAAGGCATATGTAGCCTGCCAACCCAGGTGAACAGTACCACGTGTACAGCTGCATGCTCCGCTGGGTGATGCCACAGCTGCCCATGCATGTATGGATCAGACCAAAAGGTAACATTTTGTCCCTCACATGCAAGGTGTGGAGAATTTCTAGGAACAGGCCGGGGCCGACTGATCTGGGTCACAGACATCGAGACCAGTTGTTACAATTCATGCGGGGAGAAGTATATTATGGATTATTTGCCAAGCATGACGGCAACAATCCCCGGGATGAGACATTAAGGCCAAGAGGAATGAGCCTGCAAGTATATTGGCTCTGGACTAGAATATCAGGAGATGGATTGCACTATGTTGAGAGTAGGCATAAAGGAGAAGAAAAGAAACATACAAACCACAAAAATATTAATAACGAGTATGTTGAAAGGGAAGAACAGACAGGAGAAGAGATGAATATATTTATGAAAAGTGGAAAGGGAAGACCAGGAAAAGGAGAAAAAAAAAGTTATTAAGAAGAGTTCAAAGCACACAGATGAATTAAGGCATAAAACTTTTACCATTTGGACAAGATTTATGAAATGTTTCTTTGGCTCTTATAAATGTGATGGCCATACAAAGTCAGAGCTTGTAAACTTTCATATACTCATGGAATCATTCTGTTTATCAAAATTGCTTTTATGTACATTGTACATCTATGGTAACGTCATATCAAACGGTATTAAAAGACATAGAAGTGCACACACTCGGTTCCATTTTTCCTTTCTGGAAAAAAATTCAGGCCCCAGTTCGGTAGAAACTGGAACTCCGGGCTGGCCGGATTATGTGGTCGACAACCCTTAGGCTTCACAGTTTGTATTTCACATGGCCCAGTTACACTAATCTGTCTCGTCAGGAACCAAGCATGGCAACTTAAAAAGTAGAGAACTGAGACCGAGGGGAAAAAACAGGCTTTTCTTACCATGGTTGTCTCAGGTCTGGTTACCGAAGCTTGGTTTAGGAATTGGGGGGGGGGGGGGAGAGGAAGGGTTGGGCACAGACGTGACATGAATCTCCAATGACGGATTTACTAGGAGGTCAATAGCAGGTATAGGTGTTGGATGGATTATGGATCTAGTGGGTCTTGAGTTACAGAGTAAAGTTATTGGGGCTGACTGCCTATCGGACCTGGGGTAATATCATTCACCAGTGTACTTTTTTTTTTGAGTGGCACAGCAGGAGATTGAGACTGGCAAGTCTGCGGCTAAATATTAATAAACTGTTTGACCTGATTCGGTAAATGGACTGGGATCACAGCTTATCCCTCCAGGATAAAAAGGGGATGACTGATGGAGCCAGACTACATTAGCTAGGAGGGCTCTTTGCTTACATTTCATGAGCGTCAAAATATTGTTGTTTAAAGAAAACGAAATTTTAGTTACTGTCCCAAAAAGTATTCATGATCAATATCTTCAAAATTTGGTGCCTTCAGGGTTGAACATTTAAACAATTTACAATGTATGAATGATTCAATTTAAAAACTGTTTACAAACATATCATGCTTATTCAGATATTAAATGGATTTTTTCCGTTTTCAGACGACAAGAATTTGCTTCAATTTGATCCTGTAGAATAATCATTTTTGTAATAAATTTTTATATAGGAATTGTGACATTCATTTATGGAAAAAGAAATAATTTTGTAACTGTTAGGATAAGAAGTCAGGCGTATAAACTTACCTTAATCTTGGAGAGCGAAATCACGGATTGCAAACTTAACAGCAAAGTTCTGAACTCTAGCCAAGAATGTTTTCTGCACACAAGTGTTTTTAAAAGCCGTCACTTTGACAAGCAACAGGTTACACAGAGACTCGGATCATCAGAAAAGAAATCTTTGCAAGATCCAGCACAGTTCCTTGAAGAATCGTAACACCCCAGAACTCCTGATCAGCCAAACTGTAAGGAACCAAACGGTGGTTGCAACGGTGCTTGGATCCTGAGCACTCCACCAACAACGCACACACGTACACACAAACCACTTCCCCAGCCAATGACTGGATCTGCTGAAATGAGGGCAGCACTGCCGGTGATAGACTCCTGATTAAACCTAGTGGCCTGAATCCTACATGACCTCAGAGTCACTAGGATGAATTCACACTCACACACCAAACTGACCTTTGAAACCCCAAATATTATGACTGCTTAAGTTAAACATATGAGGAAAAGCAGATCCATGTGTGTGTCAGTGTGTGTGCTAAACTTTACTTCACCTTTGCAGAATAAACTTTGAACTTAAACTAATTTTTTTTTTTTTTTGGCAAGAAGGGGAGTGATTACTGATAACGCCACTGACTGTCGGTGCTCCGTGAAGAGCCTTATTTGGCAACTCCGGACTGAGCACGCCCACCTGATTGCTTTACACATGTGATCCACCGCGCCAACTCACGGGAGAAAACAATTATCTACCATACTTTTACTGTGTCATTTAGGGGAACGTGTTTTGTCATAGTACGGATATATTTCATCATGCGGCATGCTGACGTCAAACTGATATCATTCTGTATTTGGGAACAACACCAGGAATGCAACTAGAGATACCATTTTCCTTAACCTTTCCTTTTGCAATGCCATTTTGGTCATCAGTGTTCAGCAAACTCTGCTATTAATTGTCGTCCTTTTAATGTAAACCAGGTTTCCAAGCGAGAGTGGTCACTGATAGCTGATGGGCGTACCTGTGTATTGGTCTAATACGATAATGCATTTTTGCTTGGAACCTGCATCAACACCCCCCCCCACTCCCCCTGTGGATCATCCCCCCCCCCCTTCCGATTTGGTTCTGAAAAAGAATACTCAGAACAACTACTGACACAACAAAGCATCAAAATAATGCATGAAATGGCACATGTGAAACCACACTGGCAGAATGACAATAACACAATGCACCCCATCTTTCATTGTTAGACACGCCCCTATGGAGGGCAAACACAATAAAAAGTAACAAAGGAGGAAGACTGCGTGATCATTGTACAAGCATGAGTCATGTCCCTGGCATCAGTGACATATAAATATTTTGAACCTTGCACTACTTTGTTAGATCATAAAGCAAGGACGTATGTATTTCACAACCACAATGCACATACCGGTAGTTTTTGGTCTTTGAATTTCTATTTCAAATTGTGAACATATGCATATACATAGTTGAAATTCTTTAAAATGTCACTGTTTTGTTCATCAAACTTCCAATTCTATACAGATTTGATAATTCGATCTGTTATCTCGACCATGAACAAAAATGATTTCTTTTTTTGTAGACACCTATCATTTCATTGACATACCCGGTACATGTAACTGCATCAGCTGTACTTGTTTATTATTTTTTCTAAACAAGATTTATTACATCACTTGGTTGAAAAACAATAAAACATGTATTTAACTTTTAAGGGTTTGCACACAAGTCATGTTCTTTCATTGTTGATAACAACACTGAAAACCTGGCGTATGTTTCATTTCCAAAAACAAAGAAATCAGAAACTCGGTCAAGCCTCTAAAAATAGCTCTAAGCCAGATGATGAGCAAAATACGCAGATAAAAATATATACACATATAAATATAAAAAGCAGGTCAGAATAACTGGCTGCGTTTGTCTTGGCCTAGATACGGGCTGACCCACTTTCCATGATCCATCGGCCTCGCTTTATCCTGACCTATTTAAAGTTGCGACTGAGTGGCTAGCCGGCTTTTACTCACCGACGGACGGATGCTTGTTACCCGCAACGGTAACTTCAGCTGTCTGTAACTAGACCAAGGGGCTCTCTGCAACCACGCAAGAGAGAGAGATAGAGAGTGGGGGGGGGAGGAGAAGGGGGGGAGGTCATAATGTGATGCTGATCATGTATGTAAGTAGGCTGCGATGACAAGCATGCATCATTCGGTAAGGGGGGGAGAGGCGGAGGATTTGTTCACATGGACCATCGCGCGCATGCACGCCGCGGCGTATAATATTATTAGATGAGAAATGAGCATCGCCCAAGTCTGTGCTAGTCTTTATCTGACAACTGCCGCTGGAATTTCTAGGGCGGGCAGACAGCCAGGCGGGAGTGATTATTAACGTGACCTGATTCTCTGACCTGATTTCATCGTGGCCAGTTTTTTTCTTGATGATGAGGGGGGTTTCTGGTCGAGTTCTGATCCGCCATTGCCAAAGGGGGGAGGGGGGCCGTTTCCGACTTGCATTGTTTTTACCGATGACATGGCTTGGCCAAGCCAGGGTGGCTACAAAAACTACAGTTTGTTTGGGAAGACAACAAAGGCGACGCACCAAATGTAGGTTAATCAAACAAAGAAAAGACAGCTGTCCAACTTTTACTACATAAACAGTACATTTGTTGAATGGGGGAAGGGAGAGAAGATTTCATGTCATTCAATCAGCAACCTCTGCCAATGGTTGAATAAGGTTTTTCAGACCAATTTATGTTACTCATTAAACACCGTACCCTAAATAATGGTGGCCTTTAACCTTCATAAAGCCCAAATTGCTATTAAAAAAAGTAGTGTTGCCCTTCTTATCTCAATCCTCAAATCCTCCAATATTAAAATAAGAACAGCGACAGGAAAAAGACTCAACAGCTACAAATACAGCGTGACCACATAGAGACACGGGGACTGCCCGCTTGTTTAGACAGTTCAGAAAATGAGGTCAGTCAAGCCCTCGGTTGTTGACATGTGTTATTGTACACGCAGAGCGGTAGTGTGTTACAGGACGACACCGTGCTTGTGGCCGCGCTCAGCTAGCAGGGCTCTGCTGCAAGCGTATGGTTTCTCTGTGTATCAAGCAGACACTGTATGTACATGTACATGTACCTCATTCTCACTGTACACACAATGAGTGGCTTTGGCATGACAGGGGAAGAAAACTGGGCCTAAGTTCAACGGAGGATATGAAGACTGGCATGTTCATTGGACAAGGTGGAACGATGCCAGAGTTAACTGGGGAATATATGCCTGATTGGTTTCCTCAGCCATAATTCTTAAAGGGAAAATACAACATTTGCAAACATCACAAAATAAAACTACCAAATCATTTTGAAATACCTTGCTGGACTGTTAGTGAATGACAGTGTAAAGCATCCTGTAAAATCATGGCACCTGGTATACTGTCATTTTCAAGAAAAGTGGTATTTTTGTATCAATTTCCAACGCTGATCGGCCGATCAGCGTTGGAAAAAACTGGCTTTTTTTCAAATACTGGCCCCAATTGACCATCGCACTTGTTTGCAATCGATTACAAACCTATGAACGGGTACGAGCCAGCTAGACTGGTTCCCTGACCTTACAATTCCCCAATGTATGTAAACTGCTCTGTTTCTTCTTATATGGAGTCAGGGAACCAGACTACAGGAAAGTGATTGTTTTTCTTGGTTTTTATAGCATTTTCGAACCCAAAACCTCAAAAAAGTCAGTGTAACTATATTTGCTATATATTTCCAACCCCCCAATTCCATCCATTTCTGAAAATTACAGCAAAAGCAAATGATGTATATTCCCTTTAAAGGAAATATCAATTATTTACATGAACAAGTAACAGCTACTGCGATAAGTTATAAATGACCTGACAATTTAACAATGAAAAATATATATAAAATCAATAGACACGAACAACACCGACTAAAATACATCAAAGAACAAATGGATTACTTGTTTAAAAGAAATACTCAGTTAACAATAAACTTATCAAGACGGACTTATCAGTCAATGCATTTCCACCACATGCTTAACAATCTGCATGAATTAAGTCCTTGGAAAATTGGAATTTTGATTAAGAAGTTCAACCACATAAATGACTCCACCAACGAACAGAATACATGTAACCAACTGACAAACCAGTTGACCAAAAACCAGCTAAGGCGACAACTAATTGACAAACTGACATACAACTGACAGCTAACAAATCAATTTTGCAAACTAACAAAACTCAACAAACTGATCCACCAACTAACAACCCAACTGAATCAAGCAACCAATCACCAAACTTATCAACAAACCAAGAAAGGGACTAAGAGCAAAAAAAAAATTCTGCTTCTGATTACATGGCATTCGAAAATAGGGTACAAATGTAGGTAGGTAGGGATTTTTTTTTTGCCAAATTTTTTGTGTGTACAATCATATGGAGGCGTCTGCATGTAGTCAAGGGTAAAAGGTATAAAGTGATGGTTTTGGGTGTTTTTTCTTCTCATTTTTCCAATAAAAAATTAGGGTAGGGGCTGTCAGAATAGGGTAGGTAGGGAAACCGGAAGCAGAACTATTTTTATTTTTTTGGCCTAAACTAACAAACGAACAAAAATACCAACAAATGAGCCAGCCAACCAAACTAAACATCCAACCAACACACCAAAAACCAAAAGACCAACAAACCACAGGAGCACTTAGGCTATTGATCACAAAATCACTTTCAACGTCAATTTAAAAACTTGAAAAAGCTATCAAATTATTGATTCCTTATTTTCTTGTCTAATGCATCATGCAAGTTCCCTTAAGTCTAATTATCTAGCTATTGCCCTACATCTGCTTAAATGAAAGCCAAGGTCAAATAGCCTCCCGCCAGCCTGGCACCACAAAGACTTCCACTAAATGGAACTGGTGACTTGGCCTAACAAGTCAATTATCCAGCAAGTCTGCCAGGCTGACAAGCAGATCCTCTTTCAGTGGAAACAGGCTTAATGAAAAAAGCAGAACACTCAAAGATTTTCTTTTCCAGCAAAAACATAAGTTTTTTTGGTTTTCTTCACCCATGAGTCCCTTCCTGTATTACGTTTTAAAAATGCAGGAAAAACGATTCAAACTTGATACTTTCTCAATGCCAAACACGTATTAGGATTACTTTAAGCAGCTCAATTTCCATTCTGCAACATTTTACAGGGAATAGAGAAAGAAAGTTGTTTAAAAAACACAACTCCATCCCCTCCCTCCAATCCGCTTCTTAAATATTTTTTTGTGTGCTGAAAGAATTTATCCCAGTATTTCTCACAACTGTTTATAACTTTGTGTAAAAAAGAGGAACTGGTGATCAAATTAAAGGGAATAAAGTAATGTTCAGTAAAAAGCATAATTCAAAAATTTGATGATTGAACTTCACTTTGTGAATGAATACTCACCTATTATTGTGACTCAAGTACTGTTCTACTTGGAAACCAGGATTCTAGTCTGTCCTACTTATGAGCACAGCGTACATGTAGGATGATCTACGAGCCAGAGAATTAAAGCATCAACGATCTGATATGCCTGCCTTCTTTTCAACGACTGAACATCCCCCTTCAGCAGCCACGAGCTCAGCCCGACTCAGGAAAAACTACAAAAATCTAGACCAAGAAGTCGCCAGAGAGACAACTCCAGTGAACACAGGTCGTCATCATCATCACAAAGCAGGAATGGACCACCAAAAAAAAAAGCCCAAGCAATAACAGAAAAAAACTCCAAGCAGCGGAGGCGAGGGAGAAAAGTGAGACAGGTCTTGCGTTAATGGTGTCAAGCGCAGTGGGGATTGGCCTATATTTCCCCCCACGGCTCTTCCAATCGCTGACCCAGTTTTGGAGGGAAAACATTTCCAGTCTGTCTGCGCCTCAATCCGGCTGGAAACATGAGATGCTGTATATGTGTCACAGACGGAAAGGAGCCTGGTTGGCCAGTCATGGTTGTCTGATCTGAACAGCACGCAATCTAGGTGAATGATGCACACCCTGAGTGGCTTTGGTGTGATTGCCAGGCTATCTATGGGAGGCTTTGAAACAGCCCGGATAAATTTAGCTTTTTTTTATCAGTGAATGTGCCATATCACGTTCTGCTCCTGGTGGTTTGTTAAAAAAAAAATTCGCTGTCCGAGGTGTGAATAAAACCTAGTTCCAGCAGTATGTAGGCCATAAAACAAACTATTTAATTCCCAAGCCCAAGCTGGTATGTTGCTACTATTTATGATGACGTTTTCATAAACAAACTGTCTTGTTTATTTATGGCCTGATCCTAATGTGTTTTAAAGTGTTGTGCAGTGATTTGTTACCCCATAAAAAACTGGAAAGCTGGTTTGAATTGATTGCATTGATCTAGTTTCAGAGGGAAGGTGAAAAGTGCAGTCAGGATCCTTCTTTCAAGTCTGAGCTGACCCGAAACATCGGCTGCAAGAGGGCCAAATAATTAACTCTGAAACAAATCCTGCAAGTATACCAATCCCAATGACCAACATACCGTAAATTACAAAGCCTTAGAAGTGGGCCAGGTTATCCCACAATTTGGTTTAGTAGTTTGGGATGAAAAAATGAACTGAATGATTTTCAATCATGGTAAGAAGTTTGTACACTGTAACTTGGAGTTGAAATCTTTTCTCAGATTAAAAAAATGACATTTCAGTGCACTGCAGGCAGTCAGCATGCTCAGGGAGGCATCATGTTAATGATTCGGTCCACATATGTTCATATAATTACTAAATAATTCAAGAGTTTCCCAAATTTGGTTACAGTAACAACATGTATTACCAATGTTAAATATTCAAAACCCAATCAGAAATAAAACTATGATGTATTTTTGTATCCGGAATGAGGAGGGATTTTCTTGAACTTTACAGAACTTTTGTGTATCCAATTGATAGAAGAATATTAATGAATTGATCGTTGGAACAATTGGAGGAGAGAAAAGAGAAATTTTTGCAAATTAGAGACTTGCATTAATCTGAATCGGGATGGGCAGTAATGCCCAACTCCAATTTTCCAGAATGGAGTACATGTACATGAAAATGTTTAAAAATCCTGTTCAAATGTTTGTCCACACTCAAACTCTGAGTGGGTGTGGCAATCTTTTCTAAGGGGGGGGGGGGGAGGGGTGCCCTCCCAACTAGGCTTTCATTACAGACTTTTCCTGTTCCACTTTTAATACTCAGGTTCTATGCAACGGATAATGCATTTAGAAAAAAAAAGCTGCTTTTCTAGAAAAGAAACAGGATGTTCAGTGTGCGTCTGAGTCATACAATATGACACTTCAACCTAGAAATGGTGGAACAATTTTTCAACAGAGTATTGAAGTCTATTTCAGGCAAGTTTACATCCATGATCAAATACAAGGTACTGTACCATTTTGTGCACGCGGCTCGATCACAATGCACTATTCAAGGACAATAGAAATGAGTCATAAACTCACTGCAAAATTATCAACGTTGAATCCAATGGATTTGTATCAAAAGGAAAAAAGAAAAAAGCTTTTGAAGTTGTAGAAATAACTCCTAAAGGTGCATTAAGTGGAAATATTCAAATATTCAATGACGATATAAGAGAACTTTAAAGCATGCATCAAGCACAAAACAGAAAATATACATGTTTGTAGTTCAAAACTTCACTTTGTTTAATGCAAATAGCCCCTCATAAAAGTTCAATGTTACATGTACTTACCACACGAATGACCGACTTCAAAAAGACCCAAAACTACCAACAACAACTAGTGTCTGGTTTCCACACTCACAACTGTTACAGTAAACACAAAACTGATTGGTCCCAAAGTAAGTGATCACGCAATTTAAACACAGCAAATACAGGGCAGTACAGCAAAAGTACCTCGCTTGCAATGTCTGGTGGCTTGGCTTTCCAGCAGAACTGAACAACCACAGCCCACAATCTGGAAAATCGGATTTCTATCCTTCTTGTGGAAAAACATAACCGACAGAAAAAAAACTCAGTGTCATGGACCTCGGGCAGCACAATGAACAAGTGCAAGTTGGTTCTTTTTTAATACAAGGTCGTCGGCCCACTGCCTGATTGACCTACATAAACCTATGTTGGGCTTTTCCTGCTTCAGATGATCAATGCTGTGTGCCAGTTTAAATAGGCCACAATTAGGCCAGTCATTTAAAAAAAATTGTTTCTGTTGGATTTAGGAATTTATTTTTTTGCTTAAGTTTGATTTGCATTGTGGGATGGTATTTTGTTTTTACTTAATTTTTTAGAGGGGAAGTTTTGAGTGAGAGATGGTAAAACGCCTTCTTTGCCAAAACTAGGATTTCGGGTGACAAATGGAAATCAGAGAATTAAAAAAGAAAATTGGGGGGGGGGGGCAGTTTCAGAGATATGCCTGACTCCAGACAATGCACTTGGAATACAAATCAAGAGATCCCTGAATTACATGTACATGTACCAGATTCCTTCAAAAGTACTTGCAGTGCAGTGTCTAGCCATCTTAGATCATGAGAAATTTATTTTCCTCAAAGGGAATAAACATCATTTGCTTTTGCTGTAATTTTGAGAAATTGATGGGGGGTTGGTACCTGTATAAAGCAAATTTTTTACACTGTCTTTTTGACGTTTTGGGTTCATACATTGTAGATGCTATAAAAACCAAGAAAAACGATCATTTTCCTGTAGTCTGGCTCCCTGACTCTATTTAAGATGAAACGGAGCAATTTATAGACGTTGGGGTATTGTAAGGTCAGGGAACCAGTCTAGCTGGCTTGTACCCGTTCATAGGTGTGTAATCGATTGCAAACAAATGTGAACTAACTAAATATGGTCAATTGGGGCCAGAATTTGAAAACAAGTCAGCGTTGGAAATTGATACAAAAATACCACCTTTCTTGAAAATGACAGCACACCAGGTGCCATGATTTTACAGGATGCTTAAGACCGTCATTCACTAACAGTCCAGCGAGGTATTTCATATTTTTTTTTTTATGCTTGCAAATGTTGTATTTTCCCTTTAACTGAGCGTTCATAGACACTGGCCTGCAAAATCTCACATCAGATGGTGATACTAAAAGGACAATGACTAAATCAAAACAAATGCCAGTACACTGTACTGATTTTATTCTGGGATTCAAGAAAGAATTTGCTTCTCCATTAGCTTCTTAAAAAAATTAGGTGGGGGGGACATATCCTGTTCAGGATTAACGCGAGCGCGAAGCCCTGACGGTGTGGGGTTCAGGCCCGCTTAACCAGTTTGCGCCGGGATAATTTTGACAAGAACGGAACAGGGTGCAGGCTTATTTTTCATTCGACTTCAAGCCAGGCAGGTTGAAGCCATCACCCTCAGGCAGCATCTAGGTAGAATGTTATCACCTATCTGCCGTACAGTGTACTATGTTTGTCCCCGAATAAATCTTGTAGTCTACAATTGATTCTATAGCTCAGCATACCGGTAGTTCGAAAATGATGTTTAAATGATTATCCTTTGCTCAAAAACATTTGTTAAAGTGGTCAGAAGTTGCCTCAAAATAAAATTGCATTCACACTGCATTTCCAACAGACCCAGCAAACAAGACTTCAAACTTGCCTGGCCTCAGTGAGAGTGGAAATTAGGCCAAGTTGTCTTTTGTCAGCCAGCAGAGCTTACGTGTGTCAAGCACCTTTAAGTCTGCCAAGGGTTGTTGCACAGCTAGTTCTTGGATGATGTTGCGGGTGATTATTAAAGCCCACCCCTACTCTTTACAAAAGCCCCAGACCATGGACTCCTGTAACCCCCCCCCCCCCTCCTTCGAAACCCAAAACCTGAAAACAAACAGCCCATAAAAATCAGAATGCTCTTGTAAATACCAGAGGGGGGGGGAGAAAAATTACACACTGCATGGCACACAACATCTGGGCCGCTCCTGATAGAAATTGGGTCAGTGACGTCAGATGCTGGGCTGTGATTGGCCAGAAGAGAAACCCAGGCAAGGTCATTACGGGGTGGGCAATGGCGTGAAATGGCAGCTACTGAGTCCCCCTACAGGCTGGTATAGATTTCACCATTCAACTAATTTCTCTGCCATTTTATACCAGGTTGATGTTTGCATCTTTGGCAGGCCAACACGTGTTGAATGTCCTAATTGTTGGAAGGGTTTTTTCCTCCTTTTTAACTATTTTTACAATAATTATTTTCAAAGACTCCCCTTTCTGAAAGGACTATTTCCAGTTTTGTTTGGGTAATTGTTGACAGCATTTCACAAATCGCTTCCCCCTTGAATTGCATGTAATGCAAATCCAATCTGGTTTTTAGTTGCTGTCACCTCATAAGTATGGTTCATGAAACCCTCTGTGGGTTCACTGACCTCACCGCGTACTATTCACAAGGAAAGAAAGAGCAGGTAGTGTCAGCCTAAATGAGGTCAGTTCAGCTTGGTGTCAATGGCACTGCTGACATTATAAGTGATACTTGAGGGGCAAATGAGGCCGGGTGACATACTGCACAGCAAGCAAAAGTGCATTGAAGAAAAAAGATCTTGAGTCACCTTAAATGAAAGGTGATGGCTGGCAATTCACTCTACATTAAGTACAATGTAGATCAGCTTGCTAAAAATACATTGATCGATTCTACATAAGAAAAAAAGGAGGTCCGGGACAAAAGTTTGGAATCCAATATTTTTGTTGACATGATAGTAACAGACATGGCACTTTGGCACATACAAACATTTACAAAAAAAGCAATGCCACCGAAGTTCGGTCAGCGTTAGTCCCCATCCCCCGCTTTTTAAACCACGTGAACTGTTAAAATATAGACCAAGTCACCCCGACGCGTCTACAAATGTACATGTACCCCCGGTAGCTCTTCTTAATTCTTCAGAGGCGGGCAAGCAACAACAACTCCCTCCCCCCTTTTCAGCTTCTTTTCCCATTTTTTCCCGGTGTATATATAGCCATCCTCAAGTGATGAAACGGTGTATAAAAAAAGTGGTTTGTTTTGTTT